TACAGACGGAACCAGATCACGGATTTTATGTAATGTGTTGAAACGGACCTGGATCTTGTGTTTATTCAAGATTTTGGAGATCTTTTTTGTGATCCCAGCAATGTAGGGTAAAGTGATGGTTTTGAAAGGCTCCTCAAGAGGGTTCTTCTTCATGGTTTGAGTGATAGCTTTGCGGATTGTATAGTCGGAGTAACCATTAGCCCTAAGAGCTTGGTGTACGTGCTTGAGTTCACTGCTTATGTGTTCCTGGTCGGATATGCATTGGGCTCTATGATACAGAGTCTTGATGAGAGAATTCTTCTGTGATGGATGGTGGTGGGAATCCGGTTTCAGATAAGCATCCGTATGGGTAGCTTTCCTGTAGACAGAGTGGCTCATTGAACCATCAGGTCTCTTTTTAATTAGGACATCCAAAAAAGGTATCTTGCCATCTATTTCGACTTCCATGGTAAATCTGATGGCTGGGTGTATGGAATTGATGTGGTCGAAGAATTGGTCTAGAGCAGGCCGGCCATGTGGCCAGATGACAAAAGTGTCATCCACGTACCTCTTCCATAAGGTTGGGCGCAGAGTGGCAGTCTGGATGGCGTCAGTCTCAAATTTCTCCATGAAAATGTTAGCTATAACTGGAGAAAGGGGGGAGCCCATTGGGGTGCCCTCAGTTTGTTTGTAGAAAGTTCCATTCCAAGTGAAGTATGTATTGGTTAAACAGTGTCTCACCAGGGGGGGTACCTCAGTGTTTAGTCCTTGATGAACCAAGTCTTCAATGATTGCAATGGTGTCAGGTACAGGAACCTTGGTGAATAAGGAAACTACATCAAAACTGACAAGCAGGTCGTCTGGGGACAGGGAAATACCCTTGATTGTTGATACCAGGTGAGTAGAATTTTGTACCGCAGAGGTGGTCTTTCCAGTGAAAGGACGCAGGATTTCAGACAAAAAACGAGCTAGTTTGTAGGTAGGGGAGCTGATAGTAGAGACTATGGGACGAAGAGGTGTATCAACTTTATGTATTTTTGGTAAGCCGTATAATCTTGGTGGCCTGGCAGCAGAAGGTTTCAACGAAAACTGTTTAGATTGATCAATTAATGCGGTTGAATCAGAAATTATTTTGTTGGTTTGTGTGACGAGGCTGTTGGTGGGATCTCTTTTTATTTTTGTATAACTACCATCGTCGAGTAATTCTTTAATTTTGTTGTTGTATTCTATTTTATCCATGATGACAGTAGCATTGCCTTTGTCAGCTGAGAGAACTACAATATCATTCCTCTTTTTTAATATTATATAATTCAAAACGCTCATCTTTGCTGAGGTTGCTAGCTGGCATCTTAGCGTTTTTGAGGGTTGCAGCGATTTCAGATCTTGCTACGTCTGCAGCGATGTGACCCAGGCCCCTGAGAGCAACGTCTACTTGGGCAATTATATCATTAACTGGTATGTGTTTAGGTGTGACTGCAAAGTTTAGACCTTTAGCTAAAACGGATTTCAGACCATCGGAAATAGAACTGTTACTGCGATTAATTACGACTTTATTAACGTCTAACTTTTTGGTGTGTGGGTCCGGTCTTTTGTTGAAGAGGAGGTTAAATTTGGAAATCAGGTTTTCCTTACATTTGGTCGACATAGTAGCAGCTGAAGAGGCAGTCATATTGTCTACATGTTCCCAATCCGATGTGGACATTAATTGATCAATCTAAACAGTTTTCGTTGAAACCTTCTGCTGCCAGGCCACCAAGATTATACGGCTTACCAAAAATACATAAAGTTGATACACCTCTTCGTCCCATAGTCTCTACTATCAGCTCCCCCACCTACAAACTAGCTCGTTTTTTGTCTGAAATCCTGCGTCCTTTCACTGGAAAGACCACCTCTGCGGTACAAAATTCTACTCACCTGGTATCAACAATCAAGGGTATTTCCCTGTCCCCAGACGACCTGCTTGTCAGTTTTGATGTAGTTTCCTTATTCACCAAGGTTCCTGTACCTGACACCATTGCAATCATTGAAGACTTGGTTCATCAAGGACTAAACACTGAGGTACCCCCCCTGGTGAGACACTGTTTAACCAATACATACTTCCCTTGGAATGGAACTTTCTACAAACAAACTGAGGGCACCCCAATGGGCTCCCCCCTTTCTCCAGTTATAGCTAACATTTTCATGGAGAAATTTGAGACTGACGCCATCCAGACTGCCACTCTGCGCCCAACCTTATGGAAGAGGTACGTGGATGACACTTTTGTCATCTGGCCACATGGCCGGCCTGCTCTAGACCAATTCTTCGACCACATCAATTCCATACACCCAGCCATCAGATTTACCATGGAAGTCGAAATAGATGGCAAGATACCTTTTTTGGATGTCCTAATTAAAAAGAGACCTGATGGTTCAATGAGCCACTCTGTCTACAGGAAAGCTACCCATACGGATGCTTATCTGAAACCGGATTCCCACCACCATCCATCACAGAAGAATTCTCTCATCAAGACTCTGTATCATAGAGCCCAATGCATATCCGACCAGGAACACATAAGCAGTGAACTCAAGCACGTACACCAAGCTCTTAGGGCTAATGGTTACTCCGACTATACAATCCGCAAAGCTATCACTCAAACCATGAAGAAGAACCCTCTTGAGGAGCCTTTCAAAACCATCACTTTACCCTACATTGCTGGGATCACAAAAAAGATCTCCAAAATCTTGAATAAACACAAGATCCAGGTCCGTTTCAACACATTACATAAAATCCGTGATCTGGTTCCGTCTGTAAAAGATGTGATTCCGGACATACAATACCCTGGTGTCTACAAACTAAGTTGCCTCTGTGGTAGTAGTTACATTGGAGAAACCAAACGCCATATCTCGGACCGCATTCGTGAACATAAAGCAGACCTTAAACACGGTAGGACCAACACCTCGGCCGTAGCAGATCATTGTTCTAATTCAGTAGGCTCACATGCCATTGACTTTTCCAAGACGGAGGTTCTTTGTAAGCCATCTGGCTTCCATGAGAGATTCGTTCATGAGGCTATCCACATATACAAGCACAGAGACAATTTCAACCGAGAAGATGGATTCTATCTTAGCAATCATTGGAAAGATTTGAAAAATCATTTCAGTTCTTGATTGATTGTTCACGCTTACAGTGGCTTTCAGACAGCATACATAAAAACAAATTTCGTCTCCCCCCTCCTCTTTTCAAAAAATAGATGGACTAGTCCTGGGCAAACTGCCAATCGTTGCGCGTGACGCAAACGTTATTTTTTATATATATATAAATAAATAAATATGCCGTTTTCAAAATAAATTTATGCAAACCGACACACCTGATGATGACCGTTTGAGTTATGGTCGAAACGTCGTGAGAATTTTTTTATTGTTTTATATATATATTTTGTTATTTTGTTGTTTCTCTTCAACGTGACTTTACCGAAAAAACTAAGAATATAATGTCCACGTACATGAATATACAGTACTTTAGACAGGGTCAAGCCATTTATTGTTACCACACTTTTTTATCTTCTTCTAATAACCCTCCCTCTCTCTGATTTTCTTTGCAAAGGCCAATTGGATATTTGTGAGACTTTACGAGACAATATATGGCGTGTATATAATGACACGTGTTATTGAGATCACTGGGAGACGTCGTATCAGAGATTTTTTTATTGAATGGGTGCTTTCGAAATCCTATAGTAACTCCTGCCAAGTTAAGTGAGCGCAGGAAAGTCTATAAACGGAATGGCTACCATGGCTATTTGGCTGCTATCAATTATTTGGCTGCTATTTATATTCTTGGTTCTTTCGGTAAAGTCACCACGTAGAAGGGAAACAATAAAATAATTAAAATATAAAACAAATTCTCACGACGTTTCGACTGCAACACAAGCAATCATCATCAGGTGTGAATACCACAGCATTAAAAAACCCGCCACTTTTTTCAAATGTTCTTGCTGTGGTTTTCACACCTGATGATGATTGCTTGTGTTGCAGTCGAAACGTCCTGAGAATGTTATTGTTATATATTTTTTGTATTTTATTGTTTCCCTTCTTCGTGGTGACTTTACCGAAAGAACCAAGAATATGAATCCCTGCAGTCACGAAAGCTTTACATCACAATGTATTTGGCTGCTATAAATGTCCACGTAATAAGCCGCTTCGGTGAGCTATCATTTTTGTGGCCAAATCGCTTCTGAAAAAGAAGCGAATTGCTCAGTGGGCGTTATCTAGCAAAATCTAAAATAGTTTAGTTTTATTTCAAAAATGTTTCGTGATTTGCTTACCTTTTCCTATACTTTGCACTCATATCGTGCTTTTGTATTGTTGCAACGTTCAAACCCACCCCTGCCACTGCTGAACATCTGCGGAAAAAAGAGCTTTATAGCTCATCGGATTCCTCAAGTATGAATACATATTCTGACGATTTACATTATGAGACCTCCTTTGCCAGTAACAAGAAAAGCCGTCTCGGGTGTGGACCAATCAAATTCAAGGACAGTGCATATTATTATCAGAGTTGTCTCTTTTGTTTGCATTTTGACTGCTTGTGTTGTGGTTATTGCAAACATGATGCCTTGAATACAGGTGTCAGTTTTTGTGCCAGTTAAAAGGGTAAAACCTGATTTAAAGCTTTTGTGACTGCAGTAATTAATATTCTTAGTTTTTTTCGGTAAAGTCACGTTGAAGGGAAACAGGTGTGTTGGTTTGCATGCAAACCAACACACCTGAAGACGACCGTTTGAGTTATGGTCGAAACGTCGTGAGAATTTTTTATTGTTTTATATATATTTTATTATTTTGTTGTTTCCCTTCAACGTGACTTTACCTAAAAAACTAAGAATATAGGGTAAAACCTATTACTACATATTCTGACGGTTTATCCCGTGTTCAAAGCAAAGCAGAACAAATCCACAATGGGTAAAAGACAACGGCAATAACAAACATCCGTGAAACTTTGTGTGTTTTTATCTCTCTCTCTCTCTCTGGCGCTCGTGTGTGTGTGTTGCGTGAAAACTCCGACCGAGTCACATGACACCACGAGACTGCCGCTGCTGCCCTCTGACAGAGCGGAACAGCTCCGTTCTTTGCGGACCAACAAAGAGATCCAAGCGACGTCTCGTCAGTTCACCACCACCACATCATCATCATCGTCGTCGTAACCATCATCAGCAGCAGCAGCTCACTCTTCATCTCCGTGGGAGGCGGCTCCCGTTGTCATCACCCTCCCCCCCCATTGTTATAATCATCAGCTGCTGCTGCTGCATGGCTTTGTTTAAACGCCCCTCGTTTATCCTTCGCCATTGTTACGAAGATCATCGACTGGCTCTTCTCGTCGTCGCATCATCATCACCACCACAAAACGATTCGTCTCGTCATCATCAATAAAAACAACACCACCATCATCATCGTCGTCAACTGTTTTCTGCGTCATCCTCATCATTAAGATCATCACCATCAGCCGATTAGTCATTTGTAACCTCTCATTATAAGCATCAACATCGTCATCAGCAGCAGCAGCGATTGGTCTCGTCGGCTCTCTCATCGTTATCACAACCACCACCACTGTCAACATCATCATCAACATCATCATCACCAGCACCCTCATCACCAGAAACTTTAGCACGCTTTTGTTTCGCAGTTGCAACTCGAGGTCGAGAACGCCGCGGGTTTTTTTTGTTGTTGCGCTGCTTCAACAACTCCGCCACGCAGCGGCGTGGGTAAGTAACGACATCTCTCCTCCTCATCATCATCACCACCATCATCAAAGACATCAATCCGTATCGCCTGAACAGAACTGTAGGGGCAAGTGCTATTAGCGAGCAACCTATGAAGGGTCTGCACGGCACACGAGGGCGTGGGTGGCCAGCGCCACGCCCGACCGCCTTTGTCTCCCCAGTGGCGATGTTCTTACACACCGCACCAGGTACTCATTTGAGGCTGAGTCGACCCAGGTGAGGCCCAGAACCGGGTCGGATAATCGTCACCGGGGTTGGCCGTGTGCGGGAGTCCAACTCGGGTCGCCAGGTTCGTAGCGCGGCTAACGACTACACTACCGCTCCCCGAGTAACAACATCTGCCATCATAACACAGTGGGGCCACATGCACAGCCCTTTGAGCAATCAATCCACCGCCTAATGAGGTCTCTCTCGCGCCGTTCGAGGCTTGTGTGGAGTTGTTTAAGACCATTCTTCATCGTGCCGTGGTGGGGTGAATAAAACTTTGATTCGAAGAGCGGAAGAATAGACTTTGAAAAAATATATTTCTGGTAGAGCATTGAAAATGGTTCGGCAGCTAAATGCCAGTGCCCCCCCCCGAAGTCTGCTCGCCGCGACGAAGAGGGCTTTTGGGAGTTGAGAGTTCGTGTAGTTTGGTCGTTCCTCCTCCGTTGACAGAGCGAAGGCCACGTTTGGTTTGCCATAGGGTCTCTTGTTTGGGTTGCGTGACCACAATGCCACCCCTGTGGTCCACGTATCTCTTGTATGTGCCCCTTATGAATCTCGGCGTCGGTGTGGTTCTATGGGTGCATGGCCACAGTCTCACGTGGCACTGCGGCGTTGTCTTGTTTTTTTAACACGCTTTCATTTGTAGCCTCAAATCTTGTAACTCAATTTTAACCCATTTACCAATGTGGTATCGACTGCAAAACTTGGTATACTTATGTCATACTGATGACGATACTATATTCTATCATAAAAATAAAAAAAACAAATATTTTTAAACAATATTTTTTTATAGGTTAGATGTTTCGGCTTGGGTTTAATTGTCCACCGGTAAACTGACGTTGGCCGTAAATCACCACGGTGCCCTTACGTTGTGGCAAGCTTCGGGGCCTCTTCCTGGAGTCGTGGAGTTCTGCCATTACGAGTACCGTACATTTCATAAAAGCGTGTTTTTATAAAAAAAAAAAGTTTTTTAAAATATTACTTCTTTAACGTTCCATTTACGGAGGAGTTGCGCGCATCGGACTTAAGATGATGCTCTGATGAGGTTGATTGGTGACACCAGAAGACATGAATCATAGTAGAGTACGGTGAAAAAAATAATTTTGCTGCACTTCTGCAACCCAAAACTTAGAACTACCTCACTGCGTGAATGGTGGCCTCTGCCCAATAAGTATACACTCTATTAAATAACATGCAGAGGAATAATAACACAATTGATCCTGATAACAAACATTTGTGCTTGCAATGACCGCTGCTTAGCCACAGTTAATGTACAAAAACACGACTCCACACACTCGTTAACAACATCGCCTTCAAAAGAACAGATATTATTGGCAGTATGATGGGCAATTTGTCTTTTTTTCATAGCAGATAAAACCACAATTATGTTTGGAAGTATATTTTTTTTAGTTGGTGTTGAACTCCGTGTCCAGTTTGATGCAGCTGTGGTACTTATTACACTAATTGTGTTGTGTTTTTTATGGCTTATGTATTAACCGCTCTAACTTTACGTCAATCTAAATGGGGCACTTCAACAGCATTGATTCGTTTCAGGGCAAGCCTGACTGCTGATGAGACACTGCGTGTCGAAACCGGTACAAACTGTTGCACGTCTTGAGTCGATGATGCTGAAATTATCCACTCTGCAGCTGATGGAATGTAAGAGAATACAAAAAAAATCCCTTTTTGTGTGATTACGCTCACAAATACTGTGCAGCTTAGCATGCCCGAGAAGCGATTACTTACAATTGTTGCAAATTATATGCAACTATTACGCTCGTGGTGCTAAACGAGAAACAATATAAACGAGGCGGTAAAAACGAGACCAACAATATCAATCAAATCGTTACATTGAAGAGTAAAACAAAAATTGAATCATTATGAGACCTCCTTTGCCAGTAACAAAATATAGGAATAGGTTTTACCCTTTTAACTGGCACAAAAAACTGACACCTTGATTCAAGGGATCATGTTTGCAATAACCACAACACAAGCAGTCAAAATGCAAACAAACAAAAAAGACAACTGATAATAATATGCACTGTCCTTGAATTTGGACCAATCAAATTCAAGGACAGTGCATATTATCAGAGTTGTCTTTTTTTTGTTTGCATTTTGACTGCTTGTGTTGTGGTTATTGCAAACATGATGCCTTGAATAAAGGTGTCAGTTTTTGCGCCAGTTAAAAGGGTAAAACCTATTCCAATAATTGAATCGTTAATACACACAACATTCGACATATGTAAAGGTTATTCAATAGCTACCAATAGCTAACTGCTGTTATCATATACCATTAAAAAAATGTTACTCGGCAAACAAAATTTTAATGTAAGTCTCACCAGGCCCCGTGGTGTAAAGTGCAGTCCTCCAACTCTTCATCCACTCTACTCTCTGGCCTCTCTGTGCTACGAATAAGGGCCATTGCCTGAAACGTTGCCTGTTATAAATACGTCCTTTTTTGTCCTCTTAAGGCTGCAGTGTCATCCACCAAATGTTGTGAAGAGGCTTTCAGTTCTTTTGAGGTGAAAGTTCAACGGTGCAACTTTTCACGCGGCTTTGTTGCCATTCTTCAAATGTTCGTTTAACGCGTCCGATATCATCCATAACACAGATTTTTTTTTTTTGGGGGGGGGGGGTTATAAATGTTACATGCAACATTCAACACGGCAAACCGGTGACGCTCATCTCTGCCTCCGTTTTGGCATCGAATTTGCACATTTTGCCGAGCCATTGCGACTCATCACAGACGGGGAAGAGTCTGTGTGCCCATTATCGTTTACGCACGGGAAGATGAAGGCACGAGGTCTGAACCCCACCAAAGCCTCCTCCCTTGCCCTAGATAGCCAAGCTCCAAAGAGCATCCCCCTCCGCATCCACCCATCGGTGTCAGCACTAGCCAGAAATCCGGGCAGTGAGCGATGGGTGCCCCAATCTGTGAAAACACGAGGCACCGTGGGGAGGGAAAATACATGTCAAGAAGAAAGTACAGTATTGTACTTAGAGGAAACAACTGATTGCGTGTTATTTAAAATAGGCCACATTCGTCCACCTTTTGTCGTTTATTGTAATTTTAAAGCTCTATTCTGTCATAGATGAAGGAAAATCCACCCTGTTTTAATGTCGCTACGATGACTCGCTGACATCCTCATCCAGGCGACCACAGTACATTCCTGTCAACTCCTTATCAGTGCCCTACCTTATTACACACCAATTCAGACCTTATTGGTCACCCCCGTGCCCCCTTATAAATCTCAACGTTCACCCTACAAAGTCCCATCACAAGGGAGAAACACAAATAGATAATCTTCACCACGAGTACACTCACCACTAGTAAGCACACTCACCACTACACTCACCATTACATATCTATCAACCTCTTATCAGTACTCTACTTTATTACAGACAATGTTCATCCTACAAAGTCCCATCACAAGGGAGACACAAGCAAATGGACCCTTTTTTTGCCCGTATTGAAACGTCTGTACGCCGTATGGACCTGAAAACTCAATTCCCCTGTACAAGAATACGGGGTAATAAACCGTATGGGTTTACACGCTATGACAGTAGCTGTTGCAGAAGCAACCACAACAAACAAAAAAACACATTCGCCATTAATTTAAACAAAGTTGTGTGTTGCAGGGTGACACGATTAATTTGATGCAACGCTCATCGAGGAAAATGTCACATTTTTAACAGCTTTAGCGCTCGCCCTTCGCCGCCGGCACTGCCGTTTTAAGGTCAAACAGTGGCGTAGCGAGTGCTTGTTGTTTCCCACGTGTTCTTTCTCAATTATCACTCCAAGCACGAAGAAGCTTGCACACACGCAGCGCGATTTGCAGTGGATCTAGCCGTGTTAAACCGTCAACGTTTTAAGTTTACCAACCACTGCAATCGAGCGTTTGAAAGTTCAGGCCAAGGGGTGCACGGGGTGGAAAGTCCAAACAGCGTTGTCAGGACTTTGGATGTTGGATTAATATTTGCCTACAGACAAGCGGCAATGCCTGCTTGTTTATTTTGTAAGCACCACGACCAAAAATTTTTTACAAGCCTCCTATCATTCTAACATTACACCTTGCAAAAAAAAATGTAAGTGCGTACAGGATGACTTATTATTGTTATCGAAGTCAAACGCCTGTCCAAGGTTGAACCTGGAGAGTTGCTTACACGGGTGGCCGCAAGAGATGCCAGCTGGCCGCAGGTGTGAGGATCTTCTGAGTGTGCAGCAGAGGGCAGTGCAAGCACAATTCAAGGCTGTGTTGTACTTCTATGCTCTCGTCTCCCCATTCACCAACATACTACATTGGTTTATCGCGGTGAAGTGTGGTCAAGAAGCTTTCATGACCCACACGGCGTGGGGAGGCCCTCGGTTTTCTTGACAAAAGGGCTGCACGTGTACGGCCAGTTAGCACGGTTTGGCTACGTCCGGTGTGGAAATAAGTTCATGCATACATAGGTAAAGCTCTTTTGGTCCTGCCGTGAAAACGTGGAAATTATCCAAGTTTCACATTCGTCCGGATTTATAACATCGTAGGGTCGTGAGGGATGGCAAAAGCTTGGTTAGGCTTTCATCCAAAAGTGAATTGATCATGGCTGCTGATGATGACGATGGTGGCACAACGAAGTCATCAGATATATAAAAAAAACAAGAGACACAGCAAATATATACGACCCTGAAAGGTTGACTGGCTCGGAGGTTTATAATTACTCCCAATGGGTTCTTACCAGTTGATAGACATCAATCATGCGGTAAGGCCTGGATATGAGCGCCAAGGTGTGCCAATAGTGCCAGCAGCATGCGCATTAAGACCCCACCGGGGGGTAGGGGTTTCAGGGCATCACACCGGCTGTGTTTAATGTCGGTGGGTCGGCTTGTTTATGTAATGCTGCTTCATCCCCGCCACAACACGGTCAAAAAAAACCGCAGTGCTCGCGCGACTCTCCTGCCGCCAGATCACTTCAAGAATCACCCGCACATGCCGTGGGGATCGAGCAAGCCATTATGCTCTGCGCGGATTGGAAGGTCGGGCGGCTCCGGTGACACTTTTTTATAGCTCGCCTCCGACCTTGTCCTTCTGCGAGGCTTAAGCCTCGTGTCCGTGAAGCGAAAGGTCGCGGTCGCATTCGTTGCACTCGGAAGAGAGGGGCTGTTGGTGTGCGAGAATATGCGGCTCATTTTGAGCTCCAGCTTCTTGATTCATGATCCGAAGAGAGGCTGCCCAAAATGTTGATGTCACCGTGCCAATCACAGTTACGTCTTTTGTAGTTTACCAAGTTTGTCGTGCGATTTTGTACACACGTACCGCACCCGCTAATGTAGACAATTCCGTGTAATCTAACCTCTTGTGCAATAGAAATGTAGAAAAAAAAACACTGCAAAACGTGAATTTTACTCGAGTGGCTTTTTGACACGCATACGATTACAACTTGAGTGACCCAGATGTATGTACTGGTTATAGTATCCTCCATTTCCATTTTGTTTCGACACTGATAAGATACTCCATGTACCCATTTTGCTGGTCCTCGTGCAATGCCATGCTCCGTAGCTTATTTCTACTTGTCGATGTTGGGACTTGTAGAGTGCTGCGGTCACAGTGATTATTAGCACACTGCACCATTAACCCGGGTGAATCGAGTTTGATTCCTGGCCATGGCTGAGATGAGTGGTGAGTACAATTTTGATACCGGCCCCTTTTGAAAAGTATGGTCAAACAATCCCCAAAGACCAATACAGAACTGTGAGGCTTTCACCCATCAGCGGCTTGACAAATGGCTGTAAAAATCAGCACGTGTGGTCGGTATAATTAACTTTTGACAGAATGTTCCTCGTATATCAAGAGGCGGCAATGCAGTGCTGCGTGACAGCGAGGTTAGACTTGGGTTTCAAAAAAGACCAAACGAATACATCGCACGCTTGCTACAGGACTGTAATGTGCACCAGTGACTCAGGATGACCAGTACTCTTTGAAGGGGTTAGTCAAAAAGGTTTTGACAACATAATATGGCACCAGCCTGCTGACCCAATCTTCGAAGCCCCCATTATTTGCGTGTTGATTTATATATTGTATGAATTAATACTGTAAAGCATATTTAAAACTAAAAAAATGTACACTATTGTAATAAGTGAGAGTCTGTTAATAATATTGTGTTTAGCATTCTCTAAACTTATTTTGCTACCCAATGACACAGACTAAGCATGATCACCTAGAGATGTTGGATGGCCGCAATTGTTAAAACCGCCATCAACCAAAGAGGCCCATCTGTGCGCTTCACTCCACCCAGCACAGCGGCACAAATCCGTTCTCCTTTCCCTTTGGTTGTAGGGTTCGAGGGAAACAAAGTGGGCGAATCGAAACGTACGTTTGAAAAACAAATCCGTTTCCGATGGAGCGTTATCTGCAATATTTCTCGACGCTGGGGGACCCGCCAAGGAGCCCGGGCGATGACGAGAATGAGGCCATCGTCTCGGAGGAATCTGACGACGTGGAGCAAAGCGTCCTGGAGCCTCCACCTTCCTCATTTCGAGACTCCCTCAAACGCATTCTCACGTCTGAGCGCTTCCAGGTACTCAATCTTTTTTTGTAAGTATTTTTTTGAACAACCAGATAAGGCCCACTGAGCTCTACATATATCTTTTTCAGAAGCAACCTGGCCACAAATTATAGTTTAAACAAAGTGGCTTATCGTAACGTGGGAATTTATAGCAGCCAAAAATACTCTCAAATGTGCTTTGATTCTAAATGTGGAGGGGAAAAAACCGGAGGACCCGGAGAAAAAGCCACGTGACCATGGGAGAGCATGCAAACTCCCGCACCTATTAACACGGCTGGCTACGTATGGTGCAAAAGAAGTTCTACATACAGACGTCGGGGTCAGGATCGAACCCACGACCTCCTTTATACCAGGCGAGGGAGTTAATATCGTACCACCGCTGTCAGTATAAACAGCTACTTTTCTCATAACTCTGTTGTGCTTTCTGGTTGTTACGACACATGCTACTTTCCAAAGGTACAACCGAAAGCTGTCCAGCACAATCATTAAAATCTACGCAAAAAGGATTAACTCATTTACTACTTCCCTAAGTCATAGCCTAATGTTCTGAGAACATTTATGTGTTATAGAGGCTTAGTGTCTAACCAAACATCTGAAGTGGGCTGGAGCAGGGGCACGCTGCGTTATGAAACCTGTGACTTCAGGTTTGATTCTAGCCAACAGCTATCATTGGTGCCGAGTGATATCTGAACTGACTCTGGGCCACCCATTCACCATCACCAATCTGCACTGACCGATATGGTGAAGCGTGGTCAATCAATCCTCATGTCCGACACTCTGTGGGGAGGCCTTCATCCAGCAGTGGATTAACAAGACCCACACCATAATTTTGAGTTTACTTGTAATGCTGCAGGTGGCTGTGGTGTGCCTGGTGCTACTGGATGCCGGGCTGGTGATGGGCGAGCTGATAATCGACCTCTCCATCATCAAAACTCACAAAGACAGCGTCGCCCCTGAGGTGGATACACCTGCACGACGTTAGGGGTCACGCATTGGCAGGGTTGGCAGGGATGTGCAGCCAACAGAACATCAACAACATTTCTGGTTGTGGCCAAAATAGTTTTATAAGGGCTATACAGGTGTGCCTGGAACACACTCACAATATTATCAGTATAGAATATGCTCTGCGATTGATGCCCTTCGCTCGATGAAAGAATGGACTGTGATGTTCACATTAGTTGCTGCAAGAGAATGCCAATTCGTGGGGGTGGAGTGGTAGTTTTAAGTGAGATACAGACTCCATGCAAGGGGTAATTATCCACACATGTTATGTCAGTTATGGCACAAACCAGTAAACAGATCTTGTCAAAGTATGAAAGAGTTTTTTTTCCTCACTATACCTTTGTCTACATAATTGGAATTTGTATTTCATCACCCATTGATATTTTACGGGCATTTGTCAAAACCACGACTGGATGAAGACCTTCATCCATGGGGGTTGTTTGGTCATGCATAACCACCGCCGCCAGTCAGTGTTAGTGATGTTTAGCAGTGGCTGGGAATTTAACTGGGGTCGCCGGGGCCAAAGCGCAGTGGACTAACCACCGTACAAACCACAAAATGTAGGATAGTGGCCACAGCCATAGCGAGATCTATGCTTGATGCGTTGAAATATTCTCCGGGTGATGGACCCAGCTGAAATTAATCCCTTAGTTCTACGGCGTGGGATCTTTGTCTTTGTTCAGGTTCTGCACTACATGAGCCTTGCCATCCTGTCGCTCTTCATGGTGGAGCTGGCCGTCAAACTATTTGCCTTCCGCCTCGAGTTTTTCTGGCACCCGCTGGAGGTGCTGGACGGCGCCGTTGTGGCCATCTCGTTTGCGCTGGATATTTTCTACGCATCGCGGCACGACGGCTTTGATGCCACCGCCTTCCTCATTCTGCTGCGTCTCTGGCGGATCGCGCGCATCGCAAACGGTCGGCACCACTAACCGCCCGGGCGTAACAATTCAGAATCAGAATATTTGTTTATACTGGAGGAATCCCAGGAGCTGTAAAGCTCTTTTTTTCCACAGATGTCCAGTAATTGACGCATGTGTGTGCGGTGCTGTTAAAGGTTTGGCTTCGTAGGATCGATCCCTCAGTCATAACATGCAGCATTGGTTACAATATCCGACCCTTCGGCTATGCCTCTCCTTAGGTTGTACATGTACACCACCCTTTTGTTAATTCTCTGGTGGATGGGGATCCTCGCCGTGCATTGCAGTTTGTGGGTGCACAGATTCCTGGGTGAATCGCGCCTTTCAATGTAAAAATTATTATTAATTGACCATATTTCAATACGCTGGTTAGTGCGCGTCGGTGAGACCTGATGAGATTTTCTTATAGGCCGCTTATTTCGATTCGGCGTTAAATTTGCCGGACAGACATTGCGATGGTCAGGTTTTGGGTGTGGTACATCTTTCCCCCAAGGCTCGCTCTGCCTGACGTGGATTGATGAATGTGCTCGTCACCCACAGGCATCGTGATGTCGGTGAAGAACAGGACCGGACGCCGTGTCGCCGTGCTCAAACGCGAGAAGGAGGCTCTGCAGAGGCGGTGTCTTGAACAGGTGACGTCCGCGCTACCCCTTCCCATCATGCCATGGGGCACAGAGCCAGAGCCGATGTTCCCTCTGCAGGAAGCTCAAACCAAAAATGCCACACGAACCCACAACAGTTAGCTGCCCCTGAAAACGCATGCTGACGTCAGAATATTCTGTGGAACATTTGTTAAAGATCTTTTGGTTTGCGGTAATTGTTATATCCCTTGTGATCATAATATGCTTTGATGGTTTAGGCTTCCAAAATAATGTTTGAAAACTTTTTATATTCACTTCGGCGCGGTTTTGTAGCGTTGGCTTATATTTAACGTGTAACATTTTGGACGCATTTTTCCCCTACTTTATTTAAACATGATTTTGCATATTAAATGGCGTGTATTGAATGTCGGATAATTCATAGTTAACAATGTTAAATTGTTGTACAGTGATACACGTATTGACTTGCAGTTGGCATAAATGAGGAAACGCTGCATGGAAAATGTTAAAAGCAGAAGTCTGTTAAAACATCCATAGTTCCATTTAGTTCCATTTATTTGGTATAGCCCTGTGAGCCATTCGACTCTTGAATCGGGTGCAACCGCAACAAAAAAACAAAAACATGAACAAGAAAACATCTTAAAGTGACTATGTGACTGTGCAAACAGAAAATCAAGGAAAAAACATCACAATATTCCTGAAATAGCACCGTACACCACTAGTTCAGGAAGCTGAAACTCAGAATAAAACATTTTGCCAAGTGTGCATACTTAAAAATGGAGGTAAAAGCGTTTCTAGTGAACATCTGAAGATTAATCCACATGATTCTAAGAATGTTCCTGCTTTAGGGGTTACAATTTAATTTAAAAAAAAGTTATTTTTGTCTTGTTTGTTCAGCCACATTCTATCACTCAAAAGGTATCATTGAAAATCTTGCATAAATTATAGCCAATTCTCCCTCGCTCACATCTATGCATACATTTCCAAAGAACTGATTTAAATGCATGTATATAAATCCAGAGTTACTGGAAAGCATTCAGCTGATGAGAGGCCGCTTTTTTCCCCCCCAAGGCTCTTTTTCAGGGTCATCCTTTAGGAACGTTAGTCTCAGAGACCCTCTTTTAAGCATGTTTTATATGTACTGTAATGACAAATACAGTACCCAGAAGAAGAAGAAAACTGACTCAACGGAGGACGAAACATCGACAATCGATTGACGGAAAATCCGTGTTTATTTTATCGCACGCAGGAACAAGAGTTGGAACATCTGCGGTCACTTGTACAGCAGCATGGGATCAAGTGGCAGCGTCCGTGCCAGACCAGGTGTTAGGAGACCCTCGTTCCGAATACAAAGGGCACCGTTGTAGGTGTTCCAGATACCTGGATCATCACTCCCTGATGATACACGTGCATCGTGATTGATGATTATAAGAGAGGGCGCATTTTATGTTTGGTGGGCCCAGCTTTAGGGGATGTGACTTCGTATTTTCTTTAGCTGTGTGTTGGTTGGTCGGTCAGCCGCTCTTGCAATGTGCATTGGTTCGTGTGGTTCAAATTAATCCGAGGGGAGTTTTTTTTCTGTGCAGTTGCGGCTAAGATGTTCTCACAATTTGCCAGCGAGCTTACGTATTATAGCCACAGGCCAATCCCAAAAATAATCCACGACTGTAGGTTTGTTACTGTGTTTTATGTGACCAGACATTCGGGTTTTTTTTTCATTCTGTAATGCATTTCAAAATAGTTCACACATTTAAGTTGCCTCGAGCCACATCAATTAAAGATGCATTTAAGCGATGAATTAACGATGTCGGCAGTGGAGTCACCATGTCAATGCCACCGATCACCAACAAGGTGCACTGTGAAGTTACCAGTGAGTGATAAAAACGTTCTTGCCTTTCGATGTGTACCATATATTTCTGTATTGCATTTTTTTTTACCATAACAATGTACGCACCCCCCCCCCCCACACATATGAATATCGTGATGAGTTCCAGTATTACAAATTAAATAATATATGCAAAGTGCAGCAATTTCAAATTTTTCCCCCTCCCTCTCTCAAGAATATTCCACTGAGGTAAATGTGACTGGTGTAGACCCGCTTCGGCAAATCGCTTAAATAATGGGACGGTGGATCCGAGACCGCGTGGCGCTTCCCGCGCATTTAACCGCACGCGCGCACTGTACCGCACTGTACGTCCGTGAGAGAAAAAAAACCTCCGCGCGCGGGGCGGAACCAAGCTTGGCTGACGTCACCCGGAGGGGGGGTTGTGACGTCACGCCCCCGTGGTGACGTTGCCGCACGTGAACGCACCCTCCGTGACGTCGCCAAAAGCACGTGCCTCGGGAGGTACCCCTCCCCCCACCACTTCATCCCCCCCCCCACTTCACCCCCCCCATCCCCCGCTTCACCCCCCACCGCTCCCCCGCCCCCCCCCACTTCTAATCCCATACTCCGCATAAGCACCGGCCCCGGTACCGCCAGCCAATTGGCAAGCGGCTCGCCGACTCCACGTGACCTTCAAAGAGAGCTCGCGCGACCTTGCCCGTGACGTCACGGCGATGCGTGCGAACTGAGCGGCCATCTTGGGTGAGGGACGCGCGGCGGTGGTGGTGGAGGAATCCGCTGAGGGTTTCCACAGACGTGTGTGTGTGTGGCTCACTGCTGTCACAAGCCTCGCACTTTAGCTGAAGGTGACAACACCTCGTTCTTTTACCGGCGGGGAACTGTAGCCGGAACCACCACCAACAACCGCCACCACCACCATCCCCCTGAGCGACATGGCCGCACGGCGGCTGTCGGCGCCCTCTACCGCCGTCACTGCCGGCGCTGCCGCTGCCGCGTGCGCCGATGCGGCGTGGGAATTACAATAGAGGGGGGAGGGAGCCGAGGCAGGCTGAGGAGGAGGAGGAGCGGCGGTCGCAGCACAGGGGGCAGTCGCCCACGCGTTCCTCTATTTTTATTATTTTATTTTTATTATTTGTGCTACACTCGCCGCCACCGTCACCACTCTCACACGCGGCACGAGCCGGGCGGTGTGGTCCCTTCCGACCAGTGTCGTCGTCGTCGTCGTTTTGCTGAAGGCGCAGAGGAAGAGACTTGCTCTCTCCTCCCTCCGTACACGTGAAGAGAGCAGACGGGGCACCGCGTTACCACACGTCCGCCGAGACGCGCCCGCCCGCCCGCCCGCGTGTCCGTGGTCTGCGCGGCCGGCGGGGCCTCTGCCGCAAGCGTTACTCGAATAGGTAACCCACCTACGGACCCTCGTGCGCTTTCTATTCTGCACCTCATCATCGTCGTCTTTGTCGTCGTCGTCCTGAGCACCTCGTTCTCTTCTTGCTTCACGGACCTTCTTGGGCCCCCACCCCACCACCCCGTCTCGCTCGTGCCTCGCCGGCCTCCTGTCGAGGCGTCTCTCCGTGTACGACGACTCTTCATCGTCGCTCCTGCACCACCGCCGCCGCCTCCGCCAGCCACTTCATCTCTCCTCATTATCCTCGCCACCAGCGAGCGAATTTGCAGCGGCAGCTTGACGCTCGTTCTCGCCCGAGCAAAACGTAGGAGCGTAGCTTACCCACCCTAACCTAAATCGCCCTTGTCTATAACCCTTCATCCCATTGTGTTCGAGACTATATTGAATATCTTAACTACATCCCAGCCCTCATTCCTCCCCCTCATCTCCATCTCATCCCATTGCATCCCCTCTCCCTCCTCCCCTCATCGGATCTCTTCACCCTGAGCCGTCCTTCGTTATCCCTAACCCATCCTCCAGCTCTCATCACCCCACCGCATCCTTCTCCCATCACCTCCTTCTCCTCCCATACCCTCCCCCCCTCATCACCCCACCTCCTCTCCCATCACATACTTCTCCCATCACCTCCTCTGCCATCACCTCCCATCATCTCCCATCACTTCCTCTGCCATCACCTCATTCTCTCATCACCTCCCATCACCTCCTCTGCCATCACCTCCTCCCATCACCTCCTTCTCACCTCACCTCCCATCACCTCATTCTCTCATCACCTCCTCCCACAACCTCTTCCTATCACCTCATTCTCTCATCACCTTATCTCCCACCACCTCCCCCCATCATCTTGATCACCCCACCACACATCTTCATATCTCTCCCTCCACCCACCCACCCACCACCCCCTTCCCCAGCCACCACCCCGAGCCATCTCGGCCCGTCTCGTCCTCGTCTCCTTCCTCGTCGCTCTCCTCCTCCTCCTCCTCGTCGTCGTCGTCCGGGAGTGGGGGGCGGGGGGGGTGGTGGGCGGCTCGATTCGCCTCGTGTCTGGGGCGATGCTGTCGGCTCTGCAGTGCGGGCGCCTCGTGGCCCGCGCCGTCCTCGGGGGCCTCTCCCTGGGCGACTCTCGCGACTTCTCGCTCGTCACGGCGAGCTGCGGCTTCGGCAAAGACTTCCGTCGTCTCGGCGTGCTCAAGAAGGGCATGTGCTTCGGCGACGACGCATACTTCATTGCGCGCCATCGATCGGCCGACGTGCTCGGTGAGCTCCTTGGAGGGTGACGGTTTCACGGTGGATGGTGATATCGTCGATGTTGAATGGTGATGATGAGGTTGTTGTTGGATGATGATGGTGTTGTTGGATGATGGTGTTGTTGGATGATGAGGTTGTTGGATGATGGTGTTGTTGGATGATGAGGTTGTTGGATGATGGTGTTGTTGGATGATGGTGTTGTTAGATGATGAGGTTGTTGGATGATGAGGTCGTTGGATGATGAGGTTGTTGGATGATGATGGTGTTGTTGGATGATGATGGTGTTGTTGGATGATGAGGTTGTTGGGTGATGTCGATGATGAAGTTGTTGGACAATGATGATGGTGATGTCGATTATAATGATGCTGCTGCTGCAACGGCGGCAATGTTGTCTCTTTACACTTCTCAAAGAAATGCTCCGTAATGACTGCAAAGCCAAAGATCCCCCGTATAGCCTCAACAACACCGTCGGGGTCAAGTGCTGTTCGCGAATACCAAGCGACCAACCCCCGCGCGCCAGGGGTTGCTCGCCGCCGATGACCACACGTGGTTAGGGATCGGGGTGGCCGGGCAGCAGCACCGAGTATCTCGATTGAGGCCGAGTCGACCTAGGGGGGAGACCGCCCCAGGACCGGTTCAGATGATCGTAGGCGGGAATCGAACCCCCCTCCTAGGGGGGTGTTTGGGGTGGGGGGCTCACCGGGGCACGCGAACGGCCTCTTTTGAGATGCGCGCGGTGGTTTTGTGTTTTCATTGGGTTGTGATCTTGAGATGGTGACTGCTGTTGTAGTCTTCGTCGTTGTGCCACGTTGTTCTCTCTCTCTCTCTGGCACTTTGTTGCTCCGGAGCGGGGCTGGCTCTTGAGATTACGGTGGGGTTGTGTTTTTCTGTTTTTAATTTAGACGAGTCCTTGAATTCGAATAGTAATTGTGAGTTGTTGGTTGTTGTTGTGGTGGTGGTCTACACCGCGTGTTGATTGCGAACGTGGTTTGTGTTGTTATTGTGTAGATGGAGGGGGTGTGTGTACGTTGGAAACTTCTTTCGCACCGTACGTAGCCCACCGTGCACATCGGAGGTGCGGTGGCAGGACAACGAACTGAACACGAAAATCAGTTCTAAAGAAATGCGTTTTCAATCGAGAGATTGTTTTTAAAAGGGTGAATTTGAAGGTGTCATCGCGATTGCCTTTTGTGTCGATGTCATTGCTGATGCAGTGTTTGTTGGGTGGTTGTTTGCCGAATTAATAGTGAACTGAATATTTGGTGTTGGTTGTCTTGTATTGCGCTTTGGGTGGTCGCAGAGGTTGTGGTTGGGGAGCAGCATGGTGGTTGTGGTGGTGTTTTAAGGTCGTTTGTATTGTGGTGGTTATCATAAGTTATTGTATTGTGGTGGTTATCATAAGTTATTGTATTGTGGTGGTTATAATAAGTTATTGTATTGCGGCCGAATACTTTATTATAATAAGCTTCTGGCATTTTTTTTAGGATTGTGTGTACTACAGGTATATTGTTGTTATTGTGTGGTTATGTGTTTCGGTTGGGACTAGTAGGTTAGATATTGTCTTGTGGTTCTAGTGAGTAATGATGCAATGCCTTTTTGGTTGTAGTCGTACTTTTGGAGAGTTGTGTTTTTGTGGTTGTTTGGTTATTATCTGTATTTTGTAGTGGTTGTGGAATTGTGCTCGCACGTGGTTCTGGTGGTTGGTCCACCACAATCCCTGCGGTGTTGTAGTGGTTATGATGTCGGCTATGGTTGTGCCTTTGGGTGTCACGGTGGTTAGAGCTGGAGGTAGGAACACAAGTTGTTGGGGTGGAGATTGTAGCTCCGATACATTCGTTGTTGGCTTGCGGTTGCACTTGTTTTGGTGGATTTAGAGAGGCCCTCATCCAGCGGTGGATTGACAGAGGGGTGACCATGTGCACAGTGTTGCTTGACAACGGTTGTGTTGGAGGCCTTGGTTTAGAAAGGTGGCTTTAGGACAAGCATCGAGCCACGTGTTTCTATTCTCAGCCAGTTGCCACTGCTGTTACCACAGCTATCGCCACCACCACGACTAACAACACCCCCACGAATGGTCATCTTCACCAACACTAAGCACCACTGCCACAGCACTAATACTTTTACGACCATCACCGGCAGCACTAACCAACACTACCACTCCCCAAAACACTGCCACAAACAACCACGACAATCGCCGGCATCACCTACACCATTGCCACTACGACCATCGCCAGCATCGCCACCAAAAACTATACTATCGGAACCTTCAACACCAATAGCACAGGTTACAGTAAACACATGCCTTCATACTTAATTCTACCGATGTACTTAATATCTTATCTGCATTACAGATCATCGTTGCTATCATGAAAACATTTTTGTTTGGCCCTGCGGCGCCGATAGAACAAACTCTGCCTCTCCACCGCCACCCGTGTGGTGGTGGTGGGGGGGTGTGAGATTGTGGTTAGCGGTGGTGCCAAGGGTTTAGTGGTGTGGTGACAGAAATCGGAGGTCAAATCTCAGCCAGGAGACTTGTGTAGATCTGGTGTCCATGCCTCGCCACAAATAATGGCCTGACCTTTTCGAATAGTCCAATGTCACAGAACCTCATCTCAGCGGCGGCGTGACCTCGTCACCGGCGAAGCCGGCAGTGCAGGCTGCCTTGCCTTTCCTGTTTAAGCAGCTTACATAATGTGTCTAGCGTAGAGGACACGCGGGGGACACCGATCGGCTGCCTGCAAATACGCTCGCACAATCATGTCCACGTGCTGCCAAGAAATGGAGAGGTTTCGTGGCCACACGCGCCATCCAAGATCACCCCCTCTAAATCATTGTCACTGCTACCATTGGCTCAACCGCTGTAATTCCCGCCAATGCCACAACCATCGCACTATCGTTGCCGCTCGGGCCAACACTTTATCAGACGCGTCACTACCAACACCGCCACCGTTCGTGGCACCATCGCCACCAACACTGCAATTATAGTGACCATCACTAAACCTAATTTCATCATAAGCTATTGCCATCAACACCACTACCATCATCACTATCACCACATTGCCCACTGTCTCTCATATGACCGCCGTCATCCCCTCTACTTCACCACTAACATCAAAGACAGATATCTTCCTTATAGCCAACATCGGCTGTTGGTGCAAGTGCTATTAGTGAGCACTTACAAAAGCCAGCGCAGGATGGGGTTGGTTACCAGCATCACGTCTCTACAGTGGTGATGTTTGTATTCCGCACCAGTTACGCATTTAAGGCAGAGTCAACTTAGGGGAGACCCAGGACTACAATATCACTACAAGAATCACCAGCAATACTAACACTGTCATGACCACCAACACCACTACCTTGATCATAATACCACCACCATCAATACCACTCCCACCACAACATGCCATAGATCTGTGACCTCGCCACCCACTAGCCTCCTTTTCATCCCAATCCAAACTCCCTCCGCGACCCGAGCCCCCTACCACGTCCCGTGCACGTGCCCCGTAGAGGCTGCTGCTTCGGGGATAATCGCGTGTCCCTTTTCCCATCAAGGTCACCGCGCTCGCACACCCTGTGACATGCCTGCCACGGCAGCGCGGTGTGTACAGTCTTGCGTTTTGCAGGCTGTGCAGAACGTAGATGTGTTTTTGTGTATGTAGGTACTTTAAATAGAGTACATATGCACGTGAGGACGCGTGTGTGTGTATCTAGAGAAATGTTATGTAGGCGGTGGTCGAAAACACACGCTGCGCCCACAATCCCGGTCACCCGGGTTCAGTCTTGGTTGTGATTAATGGCCTTAACACCACTGGTGGTAAATTTGTATCTAGATCTCGCCCAAGACTTTCCAAGGTCATCGTAACCTAGAGGCCAATCCCTGTGCTTTCGGCAAAGTCGTCCAGGTATGCGTGGTTTTGGGCTCACTAATAGCTTGCATGCCTTATTAGTCGCTCACAAACCAGTATTTATCGAAACAGTCTCTCAAGTTTCCACTACAACGTTATTTGGCATGTGTTGAAACAATTACCCAGCACGTGTTTGTGCGAAACGGCTTACAGCTGTTCCCACACAAGCGCGCGCCCTCTGTACAGGCGTACTGTACAGGCCCACGTGTGGTAGTTAAAAATGTCGTGGCGATTTCTCGGGGTGTTGCTGTCAAAGTTGCTTCCTCCAGTGACTACCAACTGAAGAGGTGGATGAGGGGGGTAACTCGGTGGTGGTACAGAAACGGATACCCCATAGTGTTTGTGCTGCTCTTAAGAATGCGATTGCCATGGAGGCACACAGCCGGCCTGAGCCCGCTTTTGACCTTGGAAGGTTGCCCGTTTGGTATTTGCTCGGTGCGCCCGCGGTAATGGGGTCCCCTCTTAAGGGCACCGTGGCGTGGGAGCTATGCGCAGTTCTCACATTTTCGTGCCATTATAGTGCCGGCGCTGGACAGCTTCCAGTCGCGAAAGAAAAATTTTAACTGACCAGTTTGCGTAAAAAAAAAAGTATCCTGTGGGATTTAAGTTTGTGACTGCCAAGAGGGATTGTCGCTGTCGGCAGTGTGGGATTTTCAGACTGAAGTGTTACCCGGGGTGGTGTCATTCCTGCAGGGATTGCCGTAGGCTTAAGCCATGTGACCTTTAAACAGGGATAGGTCATGTCTTTGGTAAGTTTCTAATTTGGTAAACACAATCTCAATACTATACAAAGTTTGTATTCTGTACAGTTCCCACACCAGGTACTGTACGGGAGTTGTTTTTGTAGACGGAGAGTGCTGGTTTGTTTCATTCCATTGCAGTGTCTGCTTGACGTCCGATACTCTAACCTGTAAACCATCGCTAAATTTTGTTTACACTTTCCGGTATAATTACGGAAAAAGTCGCAGGCCTTCCCTGTTCCTATGGGATACACGGTCAAAGCACATGACGACCCAAAACACGATTGTTTTTATTTTCATTCGGCCATATTTGTTATTCTTTGCGCCCAAGGGAAAAGTCTCTAAATCACTGTGCACATGGGCTTTAGGTTTTCAGCAGGGCCGAATCGCCACCGCTGGGTCAGTGTTTCGCGTGATTCACGACCTCCAATTTGAGGACATGGAATTTGAGGATGAGCTGCCCCATATGAGGCTGTGCTCTGCACCTCACCCTGGTGCGTGGGGGGGGGGAGCCTCTTGCAAAACGGCGGCAGGCAATCGGTGATACGCTGGCATGCGCAGGGGTGATCGAGCTCCTCGTGAGAGGTTGCGCATATAATCGCGCATTGATTGGCCAACGCCGCCAACCAACGCACGATTGGGGTGGGGGGGGAGCGCCGCTTGTTTATCCGTCGTGCGGCGAGCGAGCGAATGAACGAGCCAGCGAGCGATCGAGTTGGCGTCGAGCTGACCCACGTGCCGCGCTTCCTCCTTCGCCGCCCTTGCCTCTCCCACAGGTGTGGCAGACGGCGTGGGCGGCTGGCGTGACTACGGCGTGGACCCGTCGCAGTTCTCGGCGACGCTCATGCGCACGTGCGAGCGGCTGGCACGCGAAGGCCGCTTCGTGCCCTCCAACCCCGTGGGCATCCTGTGCGCCAGTTACGCCGAGATGCTGCAGCACAAGGCTCCCCTGCTAGGTAACGTCAGAGCACCCACCCCACAGTGTCCCTAAATCCAATGCGAGCCCGCGTGCACTTGTCCACAGGCAACGCCTACATAGGCACCTCTGATTTGGCTTGCTGGGATTGCTGCACATGTTACTTTGGCAGTAGAGTAATCCCTCTTGACGTTGGGCTCATTGGGGGTTGAGATCCTTTCCGTGAAGGAGGGTTTTCTGGCATGCTGTGAATGAATATACCTCACATTAAATTGAATTGAATTAATTGGAGCCTTTCTGGCTCCACAGAGTGTGACTCCCATGGGGTTTTCTGTGACAGCACAGCACATCTTTGCCATGACCCCCCCCCCCACTCAGCCCCGTGTCTCCCTCTGCTGGAATGGAATCGACCCAGGGATGTTGGGTCTCGAGCAGTCACAGTGGAGAGCGACCACTTATGCTGAGGCGTAAAGCCAGACAAGCACTCCTGCTAAGCGGGTCACATGACACTGGCAAATCCATTATCGCTCTTCTCTATTCCCAGTGCATTAGAGGTATTAAATAAGGAACGTTTGCCCAACTGATCATTGTGCGTTTCCCAGAAGAGACGCATGTACTTTGTATGCAGTGTCATTATGATTTTTCTTTCTGTGTTACTACTACTACTACATAAGTCATTCTACATGTGGTGCATTCATCGACAGGTATATCAAACATCACGACGATATGATTTATCACAATTTGGTTACTTTTTTTTCGCCATCGTGGCCGGCGGGTTTCCCTGAACCTGCAGGTTAAAAACCTCTACGGGTAAGTAAAAAAAAAAAAAGATCGATTGGGGTACTTTGATCACGGCACGTAACAATGTATCGTAGACGGAAACGACAAACGGCGGCAAATGTTGACGGCGGCAGCGTTGTGTGCGTGCGCGCGCTCTCGTCCGTGTCGTCGCGTGCGGCACGCAGGCAGTAGCACGGCGTGCGTCGTGGTGCTCGACCGGAGCAGCCACAAGCTGCACACGGCGAACCTAGGCGACTCGGGCTTCCTGGTGGTGAGGGGCGGTCGTGTCGTGCACCGCTCGGACGAGCAGCGCCACTACTTCAACACGCCCTTCCAGCTCGCCATTGCACCGCCCGGCGCCGAGGGAGCCATGCTCAGCGACAGGTGCATTTCGTTTCCGGCGGGTTCTATGCGGATGCGTCGCTGCGGGTTTTCGGGTGCGCGCGAAAAATCCGACGAACACAGTCTGGGTGCGAACATTGGGATGATCCGAAGAAAAAAAAAAATTAATAATTGTGTTTCGGTTCGATTAGAAAATGCGACGTCACCAGAGGCGACGTCATTTTCCACGTCGTCGCTTTTTGCCAGAAAAAAATTGCCGTCATGTGACGACGTCAGTTTGACGATACATGCCGTCACGACTGTTTTACCCTGAAAATAATAAAAAAAATATATAAATATTTACAAGTATTACGTTTAGTGCAAAAAGCTCTGACAGTTATTACATTTAAATGCATTTTATTTTGAAAAATATGGAATTCTGAAATTAAGCAAAATTTCTATAAATACCACGTCCAAAAAAGTTAAATCTTAAACTTATTGCTGGCCAAAGCTCATGACCTCATGGCCATGCCCTATAGTGCGAAGTTTGGGACCATCTGGCCAACGGCCCCAGATACGGCCAGCAACTTAATGTTGCCGGCCCGCGGCCACACCAGCCCTACCACCTTGCAGCAGCCGGCAAACGACATTTCTCGCCGTCGATGCGAATGATAAATAAATAACCCTTGGGCATTGCGGAGGGGGGGTGGGCAGAATATTTTCGAGTTGGCAACACTGTGTTCTAAATTTGACAAGCTCGGATCACCTGTTGTCTTTTTGAATATTTCATAGCACACAGTCAATGTTTAGTGCCAACTAATGTGCGACCCGCCAAAAGGTATTTGAGAATCTTATTCGGCCTTCAGTTAGGACAAGATTCCCCCCACACCCCTCACCCCTGGTTATATGGGTCGCTGGGAAGCGAGTTGGCCACTTTATCCGCCGTCCGGCTCGGCGAAGGCCGTCCGTTGTGCGCGGCAGTGCCCTTGTTGATTCTTCTGTCCGTGTCCCCGCGAGCGGCCTAACAAACGAGGTTGCTGTGGGCCCCCCCGTGCCTTCAGCTGCGCTCGCGGATCTCCCTCTCTCGACCTTGCCCCGGTTCTCAACCTCACGGAACAGCTGGTTGTGGATTTTTGGGCCCTCTTCACGTGATTCTGAAATGAAGTCTTTGGTTTTGGGGACCTCTCTTTCTGGAGCCTTCATTATTTTGAGTAACCTTGTCGGGTTGGCTGTTGATTAGTTTGACCAAATATGTTTGATGTGCTCAAAGAAATGCAGTATTCTTCGTCCATCTGTGGCTACAAAAGCTTTCTTTCTGTCCATGCGTTTTGTTCCATAGCATGCGTTTTGCTGTTGCGATAAATGTGTTGCGTAGGTATAGTATTTTTGGAACAAACTGTAAACTATGGGTGTAACGATTCACCTGGCACCCCCAACCTCACGATTCAATGAAATGTTGCAATTCCGAGTTGTGATCTGGTTCAAGATATAATAATTTGTTTTAAACCATGTGGTGAATGTAGCAAAAGACCAATTCTCCCACACGAAGAATCTGTTCTTGTGTCTTGAGATCAATGCTGAATAATAAAAATGTGCATTTCTTAAGCGTTTAAATGCTGCATCTTCTCAAAGCACCTTAGAAAACAAGAGGAAAATTCGAAATCTCTCGGGCAAAAAGTAAATATGTGCAGGATTAACATTTCCTTAAATGACATTTGAGCTGTAACATGGTGTTTGCACATTTATATATATATTTTTAAACCTGTTCTTCATTTCGTTTTCCATGTAATAATGAATAAGTATATTACAAATGACAACGCGATATTACAGCGATGCACTCCGCTGCTCCTGACGGGGCTACCTGGCTTGATCACCTGAATGTGAAGTTGTAGTTGTTGCTCTGCATCTGTATCAGCCCTATAATATTTCCGGACCTTTGTCAATCCACTGCTAAATAAAGGTCTCCGCAGACCTTTGTTGGCCATGGCGATTGTGTGATCATACTTCACCCTGCTGGTCAGTGCAGGTTGGTGAAAGCGGGGGGCTGCCGACGATTGGTTCAGATTTCACTCGCCACTGATGTGAGACATGCCCAGGAATTGAACTTGGAATCGCCAAGTTGTGACACCAACCCTCCCTGTTGGTGATGTACTGTATTTTGCGAACAGTACTTGCAGTAATGTTCAGCCCTTGCACTCCCATTTTAGCCTTTTCTCTCAGGCTTTTTATAGATTGTAACTTACATTACAAATACCTGGTTTCATATGTATATTTATGGTTTATGGGGCTCGGAAAGCTGCACTTATACTTGCTGATTTGAATGCCACTCAATTTGGCTCTTTAACTTGTGAAATTTTTACCTACGCCCTGCTTGGCTTCCTTTTCGCGTGCACGTAGTTTTTTGCCATAATTTGTTCTGCCCCCCCCCGCACATCATTGGTCTCATACCGGGGCGAAATGGAGAAGTTGCAGTTTAAATTACGAACCTTACCAGTTGCAGGAGAATATTATTCCGAGAAAGGTACATTTCTTAAATTATCCCTTGGCTAATGCACGGCCTCGTAAAAACGACGCCGAATTGTTGATTGCGTGCGACATGATGTTGCGACACAGGCAGGGGCCGGCAGAACGTGATTATTCGCTTGCAGCCACAGTGGAAACGCATACCTGGACGCGGTGTGCCGGGGCGTGGAATTATTTTGCGGCCCGCTTCAAATTAAGCCCCCCCGCCCGGGTTACACACGAACCATTAACGAGACCGTCGCTGTTCCCACAGCCCCGAGGTGGCGGACAGCTCGTCTTTCGATCTGCAACTCGGCGACATCATCCTCACCGCGACAGACGGCCTCTTCGACAACATGCCCGACCACATGATCCTGCAGGAGCTCCGCACCCTCAAGGTGTGCGACGCACGCGGTTAACCTGCCTCTGCGCTGGGATTTCGCTAGAATCGAGCCTGATTTTGAGGTAGCCCATAAGTCTTTTCCAGGATGGATGTTAAAACGTCCCAGTTTTTTGTCCGTCGTGTAATAGACACACCTCCCAAGACGATGCATTCATACGTGCAGTTCTCCCAAATTCTGGTGTTATGCGAGAATATTCTTATAATTAAAAAAAGGTGTCAGTTTTGTTGCCAGATAAAAGGGTAAAAAAACAATTATCATATTTTGCTACTGGCAAAGGAGGTTCTAATGGTGAGAATATTCTTGCGATGATGTCCCGGTTTTTTTTTACCGCGGAGGTGGCAACCGTGGATGAGGCATGTTGCCGAAGCCGCAAACCTAGCAGGGCTCTTCGTATTCCAAGCAAAAGTATTTTGTTTACATCGACAACGGAATTACCACAGCTTTGTCTTCTGGCTAAACGTAAACGTGAATTCACTCTGTTCATTCATGAGCCCACGAATGTGTAGGGCCGCTTCCGACAGCATGTAATTTTGATTTGGCTGCCAAACCTTGGAGGGGAATGGAATGTACCCAAAAAAAGGATTTACTTATTGTTTAATTATTTCACAAGAGCTCGAAAAAATTGCTACACAATTGATTTGAACAGTTCCGCCACTCCTCGTAGACCAGTTGACATGAGCTCCCCGGCTCGACCAGTGGCCTGAGACGGATGAGGTGCCCCCCACTGCACTGTAAAAACATTTCTCGCAGCATTAATAACATCCACCTCCCCCCCCCCCCACCGCACTGGCTGCCGCACCACGATTATTAAACGCCATTCGACGTCATCGTTGGTAAAGTGCGGCCTTTTGTGTGGCGGCTTCGGAGCGCAAATTCCCAAGTTGGAAAATTTCCAACAACTGAGTTGTGAGTAATAAATAAATAGCCCTTCTTACGTAACAATGGCTTCCTAACTCCCCCACACCACCCCCCCCCCCCCCCCCCCTTATAAAAGGGGTGAATTCAGTTCGCTGGAGATGTGTTGTTTAGCGCTGTCGTGAGGGATCCTGATCGAATTAAATAATTGGTTTGTGCTTGGTGTGTGTGTGTGTGTGGGGACCGGTCAGGGCTCGGACGTGGAAAGCATCGGGCAGACGGCACGCAGCATCACAGAGCAGGCTCGCGAGCTGGCCTACGATCCCGAGTACATGTCTCCCTTCGCCCGCGACGCCTGCAGCAACGGCCTAAACCTCAGGGGTACGCAGCGCAACGGTCATGCACGGGGCAAGTCGAGAGCACCTTTTTTAAGCGAAAGAAAATGTGTGGACACTTTTTTGTTCGTCGTGCAGATTTTTTGGGGAGAATTTGTTTTAAAAACGTGTACGCTGTTGTGTTGACGTTTGTGCGCGTGTGTGTTTGTCTCTGCACAGGCGGGAAGCCGGATGACATCACTGTACTTTTGTCAATAGTTGCGGAGTACACAGACTGACTAACCATGGCGCTCCGTCGTGCTCCTCGAGATTGAAGTGGCCGTGCCGTCACCATCTCTGCGACACCGCCCATCCCCACCCTTCCTGCCTAACGTCTTCCCCTCCACCTGCAATCTTGCACCTTCTTGCCACCAATCTTTTTTTGGTTTTGTTCAACCGGAGATCAACTTCCGCTCGACGGCCGCTCCCGCCACTCCTCTAACTTCCAACTCGTGGCGACGAGGACGTCGGAGTGGGGGGGGGGGCGGAGGAGGAAAGAGAGGGCGCCAGGAGACCCGCAAGGTTGCCATGGTTCCCGCAGAGAGCAGCGTGACCCTGTGAGACCGACTCTTCACGCGCTCGCACCACGGGGAGCCAGCAGCAAGCCCCCCCCCCCCCCCTTTATGCGTCCTGTGTTCCGGAGGAGGAAAGAAATCCCGGACTTATGGGACATCGTCGCGCGCACTGACTGCGTAATCCTCACGCGCGAAGCGACATGGGGAAACCTCACCGCTGCTGCGTCGCCACCTTTCGTGCTCCTGCACCGCCACCATCGAGAGTTCTTGGCTCTCCGATCGCCGGTGGTCGCCTCCTCCAGCGATGCTGTGGTTTTTCATTCCCCCACCCTTCCTCTGCGTCAACAGGATCCTTCGAGGGAGGGATGGCGGGGCGTGCACGTGCCACGGCGGCCCCGCAACCACCGTGCGTGCCACGTGCCAGAGGAGATAGAAATTGGCGGATTACGCCACTTTAAATGCCGTCCCTATTACTTCCTAATTCCCTCCCACCACCAACCCTCTTATCGTGTATATTAATGCCTTTCTTAAGTGCAGCCGTGAGTAAATTGTGCTGAAACAAAGCAAGTGAAGACTTGAAAACCTATTGCAAAAAAAACTAGAACATTATGTATATATATGTATATGTGTATACGTTCGAATAACATTTTTTTTCCACTGAACGTGAAGGGACAGAACTGTAGCTTTAACCTGCTGGCTTCCGTTACGTATCCAAGAAAGACGAATCGCCCCTAAAATGGTCTGTTCGGTGAAAAAACATTTTCTTGTGTTTTTATTTTCTTATTGTTACTGTTAATAGTGTTATTAATGTTCTTTTAAAAAAAAAAATCAATAACCTCTGTGGTCGCTGAAGCAGCAACAATTTTAATACCATCGGCATATACGTATACATATATATTCAACGAACTCCTTAATTTATTATGTGACGTGCGTACGCGTGTGCAGATTCCATCCCACTTGTATGTAAAGTACTTATTTATTCGGTGCCGTGGGGTTGTGCCGCGCGAGTGTGAGAGATGGGTGCCTGGGTCGGTCCTGTGCGCTCGTACGTTTGGCCTGCGTGAGTGAGCGCCGCTCGGCTCTCCTAACAGGGGAAAGTGGGGGGGGGGGGGGGCCCTCGACTGCGCCTCCGGTAAGTGCAGGTGCCGAACAAGTTCAAGCATTGCATTTCTTTTCAAAATGTGACGAACCAACAACAGTCCTCCTTGGCATCGTGCTACTGCTGCCCCTGGGGGGGGGGGGGTCATGGAAAAAGGAAAAAAATGTTTGCGCTCTCTCAGATTCTTGTAACGTTATATTTTTAATACACAGTATTTAACTTCAATTTGACATTAGCGAGTGCCTTCCCGTTGCTGGAGAAAAAAAAAAACCCGATGTATCCCCCCCCCCCCCCCCCGCTTGCACGAATTCTTTGGAGACACGTATCTGAGAAGCTGACAAAGTTTATTTTCATGGCCTTCGGTGAGCGCGTTCTCAACGCCCCCCCCCAACCCCCGGGTGTCCGTCGCCCCACAAATCTCCGTTTTCCCCGTTTTACCAATCGACGGCCCCGCGCGGCGGTGCGCTCTGGACATTTGCGGCAAGCGGACAAGATTTGAGGACGGGTTGAAACCCGAAGCGTGGATGGGGCGAACGCGTTGCCGCCTGGGTATTTCGGAGTGTCACGCGATGTCCTTGCGTTGGTTTATTACGGCCGCGTGCGGAGGCTTGCAGCATCGGGCGCCAGGAGCAGAGTCCAATGTGTGGTTGTCACGAAGGTTGTCACTTCATGTGTGGAGACTTGAGAAGGATGTGATGCTTTAAAAAAATCAGTTTTTGACTCATGGCTTTGATTCTCATACAACATAACCTTGGCGCATGACAATATAAAGGCAGTAGCAGCGTGCGTGTGGATGCGTGCGCTGGGAAAATGAGCGTAGCGAGGCGTGCGCTGTACCGTAAAGCTGTAGGTCACTGCGGTTTGTTTTAAAGCAATACCATACGTTACCAGGTGCACCGCAGACAAAAATGCAACATTGTAAAAAATAAAGGAATGTCAGAGACTTTTTTTGTTTATCTAGCGGTGTCGTTCATTCCGTAACACAAATGTAACGCTTCTCGCACGTGACTTACAGCGACGTTGGCGCTCTTGCGCCCACCGTAACCCCTACGGCCTGGCCGATGGAAGCTGCAGATGTCATCCCCCCCCCCCCTGCCGACTGCGGTGTCAGATGGGGGGGCGCATGGGACACCACGGCGGTCGTGGTCAAATTGTCGCCGCTTCCACAGTGTGGAGTTAAAAACGCCAAAAAGGGATGCTGTCGCCGAAAATATTTTAGAAACGTGTCCGGGGATGCCAAACTTGCGAGTGTTCACCATGCACCACTGGTTCCCTTTGTGTAAATCCAGGCTATGATACCAGCACAAATACGAATAACGGGCAGTGATCCGTGTTCATCTGTAACATCCAAAGCACGTGTTTACGTATCTGCAGAACTTGGGCCCATCAAGGGTTTTCAAACTGGCACGATAGTTTTGCTCTTACGATATAATGCCCACATCTTTTTATACAGCGTTAATTTAAATGCGGTGGCCTTCGGATGGCTATGTATTTCCAAACTGTTAAGCGAGGTTCGAGTTCTGCGTTAACGAGCAGTAGTAAAATAGGCGCGGAATCTTTACACTCCAGCAATGTGGTCCCGCGGAGGACTGGTCCAGGATCTTTGCCTTTTTGTCCACATTGTGAAAGGGAAACGCAGCAGCCCGCAATCGCTTTGCCGCCGTTTTGATTGCTTGAGCACAAATGTCTCTCCGCCGTCCCCTAAGAATTGTCACGAAACGCGGCAGGCGAGGTGATGAATTTAGGGGATGTTCTAATCGGCGAATAAAGACCACGATCTCTTGTGGATTTGACCATCGTTACGTATAACACACTCCATTTGAATGATCGAATGTTGAACTTGACAGAATTAAAAGAATACGTTGGCATGCAGTTGGGCCTCATTTTAAGTGAATGCAAGGGGAAAACGCCACCGTTCTGGAAACCTTTTCTACGCTTATATCAACCACGCAGAGGTATGCATTGCATGTACCAAAGCTTGGCCTTAGCCAGACTACCAGCCGTGTTTCGTTGAGACCAACTGGTTGAGAAAATGTGACAAAAGCAACATTTTATATCATAGATGTGGGGTTTACAGTATTTATGTAGATTATAAGTCTTGTAACAATAAATATGCGGTTTAGGGTCTAAACATTAAATTGGACAGTGGCCCTGTACCATGTATGGCCCTAAAACTCCAACACATTAAATAATTATAATATGCTCTTTGGTTCTGTTCGGTAAAGACTTTACCGAACAGAACCAAAGAGTATGGATCCTTGCAGTCACGAAAGCTTCAAATCTTGAATTCTAATATGCTTCAACAGCGAGCCATAGATGTATGTCAGTACGCCAAATTCTTGTGGAAATTAACCAACTTTGAAATGAGGGTAAAACCCATGTCATCGCAAATAGGTGACAAATCCACAGATAATGTAGAGCGTAAGGAGCAAGTCGACTGTCGAATTTGACATTGGAGAGGAATAAGAAGATCGACAGTGTTAGGGTGCACAGGCAGCAAATTACGTGAATATAATGAACACCTTTTTCCTTTCCAAAAAATCTAGACGTCCAATTGTGAAGTTAGGAGCCTCGGATTATCAACCCATGAATATGATAGCCACTAATGTAAACGGCTGATATCAATGTATCGTAAGAGAAAATGTGGTCATGGATAGTCATTTTATTTTATTTGTTGGTGAGCAAAACGGTGCATGGAGACCATTTGGGTTTAAACCAGTTCCCAATTCCCCCGATTAAACACAAGATTCAGGTTAAAAGAAAAGTGTAAATTGGGGTAGGGCACAGAGATTCGTCGTGACTGAAGAAGCTTCTATGCAACAACTGCACCGCGTGGCACATCGGTTACATTTGCTGGTGTGGGAAGACTGCTCATGGTGATGCGCGGGTAGCGGAATGATGGGGAGTGGAAGGAGATGAGATGAGCCATGTGGGTGAGAGGCTGCACGTGACCCGCTAATCACGAGGTTGCTGAGGTGGGCAGGGGAGATAAAAAAAGAACCCAGACTATCAATGTTTCAAGATTATATACCAAACGGTGGATGTTTAAAACAAGCTCGTCCCAATCTTGCTTGGGCCATACACAACTATGTGAACTTTATAACCGGGCGACAGTCCAACCGAATCGACGCAAGATTTACGGTGCAAGGACATTAGACTTTGGGGTCATTTTACGGGTGGGTGATTCGCGACTGAATCCACTGTTGGTGTTTATAGGTCACAGGTGGAACTATTTAGACACTTAACCCCAGTGCAGTGTTGCCTCTTTTTTATTGTAAAGCGGGGGGGTCAAAGAGCATTGGGAAGATGAAGCCCAAATTACTCTGTGGTGTCAGATGATTGCTCATGTCCCGGTATGCTGGGTCGCCATGTGATTACATCAGGTCAAAAATAGCAAGTTCACGGTCTCAGCACAGTCACCAATGACTACACCATAAATAAAAAATCATATTATGCTTTTTCCCGTTGGCGAAATATTAGATCGAGTATATTGGTTTGCTATGGAAAGAATGTGTGTGTGTGGCCAGGGCATGTGGAAATGTGCAGGGCTCCCTCACGGATAAAAACAATTACTTGAAAGGATCTCAAGTTGTGTGGTGTCTCCTTACATGTTCCACATAGGCTATTCTCAAGCCACGGGGTAATATGAATTGCTTTTCAAGATATCCAAATGAACATCTTCCACCTTGCAACACGGCACCGCCAGACTTTGCAATACAGCCACCTAGAGGTACAAATAGCGCACGGGGCTGGTCAGGCAATGTGCAAATCACAGCTCAGCCGGGGTTTTTTTTTTAAGTTGTTTTATTGGTAACCCTAGAGCCAAAGAACAGAACTCCAAATCCACGTCTTCCACAGCAGTTCATCGGCGGCTACATCGGTACTCGGCTGGGTGCCACTGCTGCCCGCCCGTACGACAACGCATGCAGCGACGGCGCACACGATCGCACCCCACTTCATCGATAGAGCAGCAAGTCTCGCGGTGCCCCCCTCCACACATCGGACACACCCGCAGCTCAAATGGCAATCCATCGACGGGTCACATGTGGTGATGCAGTGCGGTAGCCAATTACAAAATAATAATAATACATCCTTACATGACCTTGGACAGGCTCTGCAAAGGAGCTGCTTCGCTATTGCTATAACAGAACCACTTTAAGTTGAATCAATGATGCCCCCCCCTCCCCACACCTGCCCCCTTTATTTCTATGAACTAGGATCGTGATGGCTCGCCACCGCCTCGCCAGGTGAGGTTTCCACAGCGATAAATCGTGCGGTCACCCCCCACCCGCCCCCCTCCGGATGCCAGCTTTTGATTGGCAAGGTGACAGCATTATGGCGGGATGAGTTTGTAAATGCGTTTGGTTAAAAAAAAACAAAGTTTATTTGAAATCAATTCTTAAAACGGCACACCAATGCAAGCAGTTCTAAAAATCTATTAACGGCAAGGTATGTCGTCATCGGCACATAGTGCACCGGTGGAGGGTTTCGCGGTGGTGGTGGGGGAGGTAAGGAGGGGCGAGAGGAGGGTAGACAGTGACTTTAAAGGGCAGGGTAAAGAAGGGGAATTGAGGCAAAGAAAAAAAAATAATCACGCTTATATTGTCTTGCCATGCAGCACTAAACCGCCATGCTGAGGGCGAGAACTTTGCCTCCAGTTCTACTGCAGCAGCACAGTTTAGTGATGTATCTTGTGAATGCCCATGCACTTTTAAGCCTGTGCACGTTCAATTCGCGAGAGAAAGCAACCTTTAGTTGAACACTGCCTGCACCGTTCCCGTCAACTGTCTTTAACGAAGCAGCGACTAAACGAAAGGAAATTGCCAACAGCGGGCTGCGCTTTTTTCTTCTTCTTCTACATAATCTGCAGAAATTAAGTCCCACTATCAATCATTGCCATTATAACTTCCAAAGCTCTGTTTGGCAGGAGGGGTGAAGACAGGCAGGTTTGTGAATGACAGTGACTGAAGTCACCCCCCTCCCCAGTTCACACTAACACTGGAGTACGTATTAATATTACTATTAATAACCTTATTGGGTTTTTTTCTTTTGTATTTCTTTTTTTTACAAGACGTACGCCACCATTATACACCACATGTTTAAACCACAATGGCAGCGACAGGGAGAGTGTTGATTAAGGTAAATTGATTCACCGACTGCTTTAGGATCAGCTGCTTTTTTTAATTTCATTTGATCGAGTGTTTTTTTAAAAGTTTTCTCTTCTTTAAGCAAGAAAAAAAGGGAAATCCTCCGCTCTGAACGAGGGATAATTTGCGTCGAGGCTAAGAACGACTGCCGATGTCGGGGAGAGGAAGGGGGTGGTGGGTCGGGGGGGGGTCAGGAAGAGGGGGCTGGGTGGCGCTGGGTGGGTTTGGGTGGCTGTAAGGATGCTGCCATGAAGGGACGATGGGCGTGAGGACGCGCGAGTGAGTTACGACGGCAAACATCAGTTTTCCTCCGCCTCTGGCTTCTCCTCGCTAGGCTTCTCCTCGCGTGGACGTGCACCTCCGAAGATGGACGACTGCGGGTTGGCCACCTGGTTCAGTGGCACGGCCACGGTGCGCGGCTTCAGCTGCAGCCTCGGCCTCTGCGCTCGCTCCTCTGTGATGGCATCGTGAAGGGAGGGGTGGGGAGGAAGTGGGACAGACGAGGGGGGCGAGTGAGAGACGGATGGCCGAGCGAGGATCTCATCGGACCGCTGGGGTTTGCCAAAAAGCTCCCGGTGCGTTATACAGAGGTGCAATGCGCATGCAGTCACTGCAAATGCAGACCGCGCTTTCCGATGGCGCCAAAACCAACTAATTATGCGAGTTGCGCAAGTAGATCTTTCAACTATCGGGTTTTTTGTTTTACTGCCTGATATATGGGGGTTTATGCTGCCATTGAAAGGAAATTTTTCAAAACATAGCTTTTTTATCATTCAATTGCAAACACTGGCCAGCAGAATTATATGCCGTAACGAGCAGCATGATGTACATTACCCAGGAAAAGCCTCAGTCTTGAAACCTTTTCAGGAGGGTTTTGCATGTGAATGTTATGACCAATCCCATTAATGCGCGTGTGGCATGTGGGAGGAAACTATCATAGACAACGCAAAGCCACACATACAATTGGGTAACAAAACTCTGTCCTGTACATAAATTCAATACATCACCATATTGCCATCTACTGGCTATTTTGCGACCCAGGCCTACAACACCTTATAGTCCTAGGTAGTCTCCCATATAAATATAAACCAGGCTCAACTCTGTCCGTCTTTGATCATTAAAGCATCGCTCACTTTTCACAGATGTGTTGTATAGATGTCTGATGTGTTTTTGGATTTGACATGGCGGACGACAACGCAGAACCCAAAATCACACCAGAGGATCGCTCCAAAGCGCGAGGTCCGATCCACAGGAGCACCTCCGTCGCCCCCCCCTCCCCCACTTTTGCGACCAATGCTATGCATGGTCGTACTCACCCTCGGTGGGCTCCCGGAAGTCGAAGCTGGCGCCTCCGCGAGGCGGGGGTCCTTCGCCCCTGCGTGGTGGGGGGCCGGCGCCGCCAACGCCGCCGCCGCCAACGCCGCCGACACCGCCGCCGCCGATGAAGCTTCCGGGGGGTCCGTCACGCCTGTCGCTGGGCCTTCCCCGGGCACCGCCACTCATCCCCATGCCCATGCCTCGCGCGCCATCGCGAGGGGGTCCGGCTCCGGCACCGGCACCCCAGCTGCCTCCAAAGCTGCCGCCGCCGCCACCGCCGCCGCCGCCGCCAAAGCCGTCATCTCGGACACCTTCGTTAAATGGTGCGTGGATGCACGAGATTACCGCGCATTAATTAATTCGCCGAGCAAGACGGAAGGCAAATTTGTCAGCTGCGAGAGCAAGGAGAGGCTGAAGGAAGATTTTTGGTCGACCAAAGCCATTCGACACGAGGCTCATTCAGACCAACCGTAGCAGCCAGGCCCAGGGCCGCGCGGCCACGAGCTCTGATTCCTGGGCCCTCAAACGGTGCCAAGTTCACGTCAGCCACGGCAGGGCACGGTGACATCACCGTGAGGCAGCGCGTGCTGCAATGCAGGTGGCGTGTGACATTAGCCACACCGCGACACTCATGGTATTTAATCTGTTAATCATATTACTAACGACTGTGTTAACGATTATGCCGATGACTATTGTATTCATGACTAGGTAAATGTAATTAACTGTTCAGGGGCCACGTTGTGGTCACACCATACACCCCAAAGCCCCATTCACGGCTGTTCGATCCTCCTGTGCACTCCCATAAGCAACAGGGACGAGCTCGGGTGTTTGGTGGCACTGCCTCCACCGTCTCAACCAATTAATAGGACGCTGCCGCTTATGAGAGCGACGTAGGACAGAGCCACTCCACCAGTGCACTGCCGCTAAAAGGTGAATATAAACGTGCTGGCCGATTCCAGCTTGATACTGGTCCTGGTCCCGGCGACTATGACAGTTGTAAACGAGCCAAACAGAGGTCCTCCTCATAAAATAAATATATTTCAAATTGCTCTCACCCGTTTTCCAATTGAGTTAACAACTGATGGGACTGATTAAATTGATTTCACACAAATAAAGCTGCCGATGCGATTTGCACCACAACATGAAACCAATACAAATATATTTTGTGCAACGATTGAACTTTACATCAGACTCATCTACTGAATTGGCCTCTCTTATCCTGTCATTGAATTTTTACCGAATTTACACCACACTTGTGCCAAACACATGCTCTGCCCGAGATGTTGGTTTAGCAGGTGTGATGGTGGTTTTATTTAAAATTTGGTCAAAAAGCACGGGCTGAGTGCGGACTGTGCATACCTCTGTCTTCACGACCACCTCTGAACCCACCAAAGTTTCCTTTCTCTTGCTTGCGGCCTTCGGCCACGTCAATCCTCAGAGACCGGTCCATGAAGAGCTACGGAGAACCAGTGTGGGCAGTGACAGTGCATCACAGCATGGATTAACTCAAGAGTCTAAACAAAACAAGAAATGTAAAAAGGAGCATTTTTAAAATACAAACTCGCCAGATATCGGTGTTGTGACCCGAGTATAACATTAAGTGGACTCGTCGCCGGACGGACTCACCGCTCCATCGTAGGTCAGGGCTTCCTGCAGGGATTCAATGTCATCAAACTCCACGTAACAAAAGCCTGCAGCACGGAGGATACAATCGGTCACTCTGCGAACCTACAGCATGTCTCAAACACTTACTAATCGCACAATACCCGACACCAACTTTCAGGTTATCTGATGAAAGATTTTTACTACTTTAAATGGCACAAGCATCAATTTGTCATTCCTCCCAATAGAATGATTCACCCACCCAACCTACCCAAGAGATATGATTGACACAATCCGGGGGAATCGCGATTTAACTCGATAATTATTTGCCTTTTTATTGTGGGTTTTTGTTTTCAAAGTTTTCTTCTCTCACATTAACTTAACGTGACAGTGTCATATCATTTGTATGTAATCTTCACGATCGCAAATAATCTATACTCACAAGCGCACGACTCGATGTATTCAAGCATTTAATCCATTATAGTCAATGGATCGAGGGCATCGTTACATGCTTACATTATACAACGCCGAAAAACGTTCCACCTCTAAGCAGTGGCATTAACACTGCAGGTGTAATATTTGGCCACTTGCACCCAGTTCCAAGGTAAATATCTACACGACTTCACGGAAAGAACCAAGGAATAAAAAATGTATCCGTCCCTTTTCTCTGTATTGTAGAATTATCCCATGTCTGTCTTGCTGGGTGACACGCGAAACCCCCAGCCCCTTGCTCACAATTGAACCCCCACTCACCTTTGAACCCTCACTCACCTTTGAACTTATCAGTGTCCCGATCGCGTACGAGGCGAATGCTGCGGACACGCAGGTCCTGGAAGATCTGGTCGATGTCCCCCTGCACTGTGTTGAAGGGCAGGTTTCCCACGTACGCGGTGTACGGGGGCTCCGTGGGTAGATCCTTCTGTCGCCGCGGCCCATCCCTACCACCAGGGCCGCCGCCGCCTCCTCCTCCTCCCCTACCTCCTCGCCGATCGCCATACCTGTTAACGTCAGGAGTGCGTGCAAAGGCAGTGGTGGTCAACACTATATTATTTATTAATCGACGAATTTTACAGATTAAAATGATGCGGCCACCCGCCCCCCCACAACAACCGTCGCAGAAATGTGTTCTCCCTCGCACACACATACCAGATTATACGACGCACCATAAAGTATTTTTCTTTTACTTTGAAACAAGGGGGGGGGGGGTCACGTGCATCTTACATTTCGGAAACGTTTTTTTTTTACCAATGAATGCAAACAATTCAACCGCAATGATGAATATTTCGACGCCGGTTGACTAACGGAACACGACCTCTTAACGGGAACGGGTGATGGTTGATTTGTTCAGGGCAAATGCGTGAACGGGGCGAGAGAGGGAGAGGCCACGAGGTTGAGGTACCGTGAGGGTGATGATGGCACCATCCGAAAAAGGCGCTGCCCGGTTAAATAATCCGTTATCTGCAATGCGCGGCGGGCTCAAGACACCGCTGCTTAAGGTCGAGCAAAGCCATCAACAAAAGTCGCGCGGAATCAAAATTAAAACCGCACACTATATAAATAAATAAACTATATAAATTACATGACAATCGGCGCTCGCCACTTTTTTTGACGCAGTTTGGTGCCACTGCGATACGCCCGGTGCGACGGGATTAGTGACGGAGCGAGACATTTCTCGCAGCAACACCCTGCTGCACCAACGCCGCACGGCCGCCACCTCCCCCATCTCGCACATCGATGCACGACACCTTCCCCTCATGCCCAAGAAGTACTCCACACAGCCGCGCACACTGCTACATACCCGGCGGACAACCATATACACCGCACACCTCCCCCCCCCCCAATCGCTTTCAACACAACTCCCAAACCGCGTGCAATGAAATATCACGCGTGTAGGTGGCGAGTCGCAACATGGACGAGGGCACGAGATGAATGAATGGTAGATGCAAGGTGTACGAGAGGCTCAAGATAGCGGCTGGGGAGGCGAGAGGGCAAAAGGTATGGGAGGCGACGAGTGGCCGAGGATGGGTGGCGGGGTCATCGGCCTGAGTACATCGGCCGGCACCAGCGACTCCTGAGCCGGCGAAATTTCCAGGAAAGAAACGGGGGGCCGCACGCGCGTAGGCCGAGGCCGCAGCGCACCCCCCCCCCTTCCTTCTACGGCGGCCCGCCCGCGCGCGGCCGCGCCGCTCTCGCGCGTTTCGAGGCGGCGATCCGCGCTATGTGCGCACCCTCTGCCTCCGCCGAAGCTGCTGTAGGCTCGGTCGCCGTAGTCGTCAAAGTCCGCCATGCTCGGCGCGGACACGGAGTGGAAACAAAAATGGGGTGAGGAGCAGGAGGCGGAGAGACCTGGCGAGACCACGTGGCCTGGCCGAGGACCCCACTCCACCCCCCCCACACCCCGGGTGGGGGTGGCCACCGCGAGACGAGCGCGCAGGTGCCTGACTTAAAACACAATTTTTTAGCTGCGTCGGGTGGTGGCGGGTTAAACGACACATTTAGATTTACGCGATGTAACCCATATATATAAAACTATTATGGAAAATAAAATTGCAATTAGGTATTTGCCAAGTGTCTCAGCCGTATCAGAATCATCGAAATATATTTATTCTGGAGGAATCCGATGAGCTATAAAGCTCTTTTTTCACAGATGTCCAGTAAAGGGGGATGACGGGTTAGAACTTTACAGCAACAAACAATAAAAACACACAGGATGGGAGTGCAAAGTATAGGAAAGGTAAACAAAACACTTTTTACCAATGAAACACAATTTTACCAATGAAACTAAGCTATATATTCTTGGTTTTTAATAATGTTTTATTTTTATTATTGTATTATTTCCCTTCTATGTAACTTTACCGAAAGAACCAAGAATATGAATCTCTGCAGTCACGAAAGCTTTAAATCGAAAAACAAAACTATTTTTTATTTTATTTTAGCAGGTTAAGTCCACTGAGGTTTTAACTTATTTTTCATAAGCGACCTGGCCACAAATGATAGCTCAACAAAGTGAGCAGTTATCTTAGTTGCCAATTAATCAAACATACTTAGAAATATTATTCGTATGGTAATAATGTATATTTTTAAATATTTGCAAATTGTGTGATTATAATAGCTTCATTTCAATTGTATAAAAAAAATTGGTTCTTCGGTACGTTAATTAAATGAGTAACTATTGGTGCAGATGAGACAGGGTGGCATGATATTAGTGCAGATGTCACAGTCCACATTGAACAAACAACGCAATGCAAATGAGAGAACTTACAGGAGGAGAGAACACAGATTAAACTTAATCATACCTAGCAACCCATACGGTTTTCTCATATTCTTGTACAGGGAAATTTAGTGAATAAAAAAAATTGTGTAAATTTTTTTTGTGTTTCTCCCTTGTGGATGGGACTTTGTAGGATGAACGTTGAGATTTATAAGGGGGCACGGGGGTGATCAATAAGGTCAGAATCGGTCTGTAATAAGGGCACTGATAAGGTGTTGCCAGGTATTCAAAACAAAGAAGACAATTCACTGCAATAGCACAAACAAGAAAATTAGAGAGACGGGACAGAGTATAGCGACCACAGATGGTGACATTGACATGTAACAAATGGGACAGGACAGTAAGTACAACAACAAAACACCTGAATAGACAAAACAGACATTACAAAGGAGACAGTGTATAACGAAACACGAGTTATTGAATAGTGGGAAAGAAATGTTATCCTTACGTGCTTATTGAATCTTCTTTGGTTCTTTCGGTTAAAGTCACGTAGAATGAGAATAAAATAATGAAATAAAACAATAAAATTCTCACGACGTTTCGGCCGTGAGTATTGTATTGTTTTATTTTATTATTTTATTTTCATTCTACGTGGTGGTGACTTTACCGAAAGAACCAAAGAAGATGAATCCTTGCAGTCACGAAAACTTTAAATCGAAATGCCTATTCAATGTTACTATCCTAAGCGATAGATATAAACAATTCCTTTTCAACAGCCAAATACTACAATTTCTACTTAACGTTCCAATGATAATCCCGAGAACATGTTTGACCATAGTAAACTATCCCTTACACACACAAAAAAAAACCTCTTGCACTAATTTAAATATCTAATTTAAATATCTCGTCCCCTTCACCTGATGAAGGCCACTTGTGTTGTGGCCGAAACGTCGTGAGAATATTATTGTGTTATTTTATTTTATCAATTTATTATTTTATTCTCATTCTACGTGACTTTACCGAAAGAACCAAAGAAGTTAAATATCTAATTTTTTTATAAACCTTGCACCATTTAAAAAAAAGCTTCCACTATTTTAAATAAATAAAAACCTTGTACTATTTTAAAGGAAAAAATAATAAAACTTCTACTATTAAAATAAATAAAAAAAACTTGCACTATTTTTTTAAAAATTCAAATCTTGCACTATTTAAAAAAATATACTGTATATATATAACTCTTGCACTATTAAAAAAAAAAACTTGTACTATTGAAAATGTAAACAAAAATATTTGCACTATTTTAAATAAATAAAACCTTGCACTATTTAAAATAAATACAAATATAAACCATGAACTATTTTAAATAAAAAAATAAACACTTTGCACTATTTAGACTTAAAACTTTCGTGACTGTTAGGAATTCTTGGTTCTTTCGGTAAAGTCACGTAAATAGAACGCAAAAAAATCAAAGCAAAAAAACCGACGACGTTTCGATCGCAACACAAGCGGGCTTCATCAGGTGGAGATAAAAGTTGGGGTCAAGCCTCCACATTTAAGCAGCTACATTTGGTCTTCTTTGGTTCTTTCGGTAAAGTCACGTAGAATGAGAATAAAATAATACATTGATAAAATAAAATAACACAATAATATTCTCACGACGTTTCGGCCACAACACAAGCGGCCTTCATCAGGTGAAAAAGCTACATTTGCGTTTTTTTTGCTTTTATTTTTTTGTTTTCTATATTTGTGACTTTACCGAAAGAACCAATAATTTACTTTTCACTATTTAAAATAAAAAATATATAAACCCTTGCACTATTTAAAACTAAAAACCTTGCACTATTTAAAATAAAAACCTTGCACTGTATTTTTTTTATTTACCTAGCATTATTTTAAATGAAAAAATAAAAAAACCCCGCACAAGTTAAAAATACAAAAAAACACGCACTATTTAAAATAAAAAAAATAGAAACCTTGCAATATAATAAATAAGTTAAAACCTCGTACTATTTAAAATAAATAAAATAAAACGTCGCACTATTTAAAATAAATAAATATATATGAACGTCGCGCTATTTTTTCTCTCCCTGCGTAAGATGGCCGTGGTGACGTCACACGTCGCTGACGTCATCGGCGTAACGGGGACGCCCGAGAGCGCGACATGGCGGTGGCTGGTCGCTTCGTCTTCACCAGGTCGGATCGGAACCCGGTCTCCTCATTATCATTATTATTATACAACAACGACACGGGCACCGTCCTCACAATTTAAAAGTGTAACTTCTCGTTACCACTGATCGCGTTGTACTCTTGCCACGAGAACGATTTGTTACGATGACGGCGATAGCTGTGCAACGAAAAGCGCGCGTGTGTTTGTGTGTGTTTGTGTGTGTTTTCTCTCCCTTGTAACGAGACTTTGTAGGACGAACGTTGAGATTTATAAGTGGCACGGGGTGACCCAATACACTCTGAATCGGTCTGTGATAAGCTAGGGCAACTGATAACAAGGAGTTGACAGGCACGTGTGATGTGATGTTGAACCTGGCCGGGTGGAGGCGCGCGATGTGTGCGGTGTTGTTACTCTTCAAGGTTTGTGTACGGAAATTCGAGGCAAGCGTTGAGCGGCGACCCGTGTTGTCAATCCGCTGCTGGATGAGGGCCCTCCCCTGTGCCCTGCAGTGCCGCTTGGGGTGTAATTTGACCTTGAGTTGTGCATTTGGTGGAGGTTGCAGCGCGATGCAGCGAACGACTTTTATTTTGGTGCATTTTCAGCAGTCGCCGTGTTTGTTACTGACGGGCTTTGGGTGCTTGGCGTTGGCCGTCCCAAAGATCACCGTCACAAGGACTTCCCAAAAGCCCTTTGAAATAAGCATAACGGGAGTAATTGTCCGTCAAAATAAAATCTTACGTTGATTACTTACCGAGTGTGAAATTCTAAGTGCTTATCCAAGCCTCCTCAATGCGTTTTTTTTTATCCCAAGCCACGGCTTAGTGCGGGTTCTCAGCATTTCAAACCCCCACACGGCATTCATTGATGTTGTGTTCAGCTTTGGGTTTATTATTTAGAGCGTGTGGAGTGCCTTATAATGTCAGAGACGACATTGCGTTGGTCTAAATTCGTTGCAAATGGTCTCTTCTAACATCGTGCAGCAGTCTTCATAGTAAGTATGCGAAATTATATATACTGTATTTTTTTTACCGGGCGATAGTCTTGGAAGCTAAGCAAGTTTGAACCCGGATAGTGCTGGGATGAACAGCAAAGTGCAGAGAGAAAATATCTTAAATTGTATGTCTATGATGCAAAGTCTATGCGCCCCACCTTCATTAAACTTCACTGCCCAGCGTGGTGAAGTATGGTCATCCCGCACGGTGTGGTGAGGCCCTCATCCAGCAGTGGATGGATATGAAGGGCTGTAAATATAGGCGAGACCCATTGAGAACTGAGCTCTGTTTCGCAAGAGAGATGTGCATGTTAAAATACACCATACGTATTCTTGGTTCTTTCGGTCACGTAGAATGAGAATACAATAATGAAATAAAACAATAAAAGTCTCACGACGTTTCGGCCACAACATAAGTGGCCTTCTTCAGGTGAAAGGAACACACCTGTCGGGACGACAGAGATACAATGAACGCTGCTAAGATTCGCAGCGTATTTTAAGCTGGTTGAGAGAAGTGAGGCACCTTGACAAAGGGGTTTACATATCAAACAGGAGAATTTAGCATTGAAACAGTTGAGGGATTAGCTTATGACTGGTCACAGAAATAGCTATGTTAAAGTCAAAGCCTACACATCCACAGAGGCACCTCGTACATGGACGCCAAAGGGGCTGCAACAACTCAACTATCATACAGTACACGAAAGCTTTAAATCGAAATACACCATACATATTCTTGGTTCTTTCGGTAAAGTCACATAGAAGGGAAACAATAAAAATATAAAACATTAAAATTCTCACGACGTTTCGACTGCAACACAAGCAATCATCATTAGGTGTGAAAACCACAGAAAAATGTTCTTGCTGTGGGTTTCACACCTGATGATGATTGCTTGTGTTGCAGTCGAAACGTCGTGAGAATTTTTATTGTTTTATATTTTTATTATTTTATTGTTTCCCTTCTACGTGACTTTACCGAAAGAACCAAGAATACGAATCCCTGCAGTCACGAAAGCTTTGTTGCATGTTGAACTTCTTTCGCACCGTACATAGTCAACCGTGATAATCGGAAAGCGCGGTTGGAAGGATAACAAAGTAAACACACACACACACAAAAGAACATCCATGGATTTTACATGGATATTTAAAAGTTTTTATTATTTTATTGTTTCCCTTCTACGTGACTTTACCAAAAGAACCAAGAATATGAATCCCTGCAGTCACGAAAGCTTTACATCAAAATACACCATACAATTGCAGAAATTCACCGAATACATGGACAATAAGAAAAATGCAATGGCATATTCATGAAACTGGTTCCACGTGAAAAATAAAACAATGCATATTTTAAAGCAAACAATATTAAACACGTTAAATTCATATTCTATTATGATATGAGTATATTAAATACAATTACAATAAACATCACGACAAAACATGTGAACAAATAAACATTTAACTGTGGTTACAATTTAAGATTTCGTTACATTTTAAGAATGTTCAATGAAGAGCATTTATATTCATAGTGGCCAAATAGTGCTAGAGGAGCCCATCAGAAACTGAGACTTGAATGATTCTTGAATGTAAATCAGATGCAGTATGTTTTGTAAATACATGGCAGAGTACCTTGAGAGAGGAGACTGAAAAGACAATTGGAATGGTTGTGGGTTTGAAGTGGGTTGAAGCTGAATTAGATTGGTGGTGGTGCCACAGTATGATATCCCCTATCCAGCAGTGGTCAGAGAATGACTGCTGATAAAGTTGATGACGTTGATAAGTTTATAGCGGTGTGCTGTGTATGTGCTGGCCACTCCCCACAACTCTCCACCCAGACCAGGGATCATTAATAATTACTGTTGAGCAGCAGTGTAACATTACATGAATATTCAAACTCATTACAAAGGTCACAATTACATAATGAAGAAAAAATAATAGATCACGTCGTTTTGATCGCAACAACAAGCGACCGTCTTCAGGTGACCGTCTTCAGGTTGAAGACCTGAAGACGAAACGTCGTGATCTATTGTGTTTTCTACCTACGTGACTTTACCGAAAGAACCAAAGAGTTTGGATTCCTGCAGTCACGAAAGCTTCAAATCAAGATTACATAATAAAGGTTTTTGTGTTAGATCGCGTAAGTATAAATGTGACACACATAAGTATACATGTGTTATTGTAAGTTTAAATGTGTAAGTATAAATGTATACGCAATCTAACCCAAAAACCTTTATTATGTAACTCAAAAACCTTTATTATGAATAATATTGGTCGCGAAAGCCTATGTGTCACAATTACAGCTGTAATTGACTCCCCGGGTGTGTCTCCACGTGCTCAATGCGTGGGCCATGCAGGGCGCTGTCCGTGGCAAGCGTTTGCCACAAGGAGGACAGCTGGCTGCGCTCGCTGCTGGTGCACAAAGTGGACCCACGCAAGGATGCACACTCCAACCTGCTCGCCAAGAAGGAGTCCAGCAGCCTCTTCAAGCTGCAGTGTGCGTGTCGCTGCAAGCGTGGCAGTGTCCATGTTACAGCCTTTTTGTGTGTCCACTCGCTGGATGAGGGGCCTCCTCACACTGTGCGGTTACATGGTGGTTATTTGACCACATTTCACCACGCTGGTAATGTGGGTTGATGAAATCTGTGCACGGTGGTCACCCTGTAATCACTGTCCAGACTCGAACCAGCCTAGCTTTCGAGATCTGACAAGGTCGGCCACATTCAAGATGGTTTGGCAGCTAAGCAATATTTGTTAAATAGATGAAACATGAAGAGAAGATGCACTGCAACCTAGCCTCTATCCTGCACCTAACCATATATCTTATTTTGTATGGCAAGGTGAATTTAGCACTGCTATGGCTATCGAGGTTGTAACATAAACATTGACCCTTAATATTTCCTTAATTTTCTCTTCAACCATAAAAAACCTGACCATAACCAAAACCTTAGCTGTAACATGGACATTAATCCTTGCCCTCACTTAAACTTGAGATAATACAGCCTGAGAGATGTAATGCAGCAACCTTCACTGCCTGATCCAGTAGAGGGCAATCTCTCCCTTATTGGCCATATGTCGGTGAAGTAATTTACAGTAATTGTTTACTTGGCAAAATAATTGTTTTGGCATTTTATTTGAGATCTCATAAGCAAAAACATATGCCTGCAGCTTGACTGACCACTGCCAGCATCACAAACCAAAGGTGGTAAGACTAATACCAGCATAATAATTCAGGCATTCATTTTTTATATGTGAGCAAACTTATTCTCTCTCCATTTGTGGCTGTGTTGCTTCAAATCCAGTCTTTGGCTCAGGGATACAGCATACACTTTTTATCAAGCGTATATAACAATCCAGGTAAATGTAAAACATCTGTTTGCTTATTTGCAGTTCATAATGTCAAGCCAGAATGCTTGGATGCGTACAACCAGCTTACGTAAGTTTTGATTTCTCATCTTCACTTTAAAAACACTTAAGAACTTAAGCCAGCCAGTCTTAAACAATGTAACAGCATTATTTTGATAATTTATAGTGCAATAATCATGATACATTTATCTTTTTTAACTATTGCGTTAAAGCAGATATTGGCCTTGAGCAATACTGTTTCTGGCAGTAAAGGACTGAGTACAGACTTGCACGCGTGTCCCTGCAGTTCGTCTTGTTCTTGTGTGTATTGCGCCATGTAGCGAGGAAGCTCTGTCGGCCTTCATCGAGTCTGGAAGCGAGTACCCATGCGAGATTGTGGGCAGCTGGAATACTTGGTATGGGGACCAGGACCAGGCTGGTACGCACACCCGAGCTGTCACTTCGCCTTCAACTCGTATTTGCATTTCCATGCTCAGTTTGGATTACATCAGCGTGAAGGCTTTACAACTAAGGTTGGGATTCGTTTGTGCCGTCTCTCCGTCCATCTGTGCCGTTGGGTCACTATGACTCCTGTTAAGATGATCCAACCCATAGTATAAAGTTGCTTTAGTAATTCCCCACAGATGTTATCCACAATTTGTAGACGTAAAACCAACTACTGTCACTCAAACTAGTTCTTTCAAATGTTTATAAACCATCTGTGAACTTTTATTCGCTCAGCCAATGTTGCAAACAGCACAGATGTTGTTTATTGGCAGCCATGGGTAGTGAGCTTTCGACATCATTGCAGTTCATCTCTGGAGATACAAAGGAGGCTACCCTGCCCTGACAGAGGCAATGAACATGCTGAGACAGAACAAGGTGTGTAAATGTGCACGCACGCACGCTCTTTGTGCCGGCAGGAACACTGTGACTTCTCTCTTTAATTGTTAGTGCATGATTTAGCTGTTCTACTTAAATCCACAGGAAAAATGACATAGAAAACATGGTGTAAAACATCACTTCTGTGGCTACAGCTGTGTTCTTTTTGTGCTTTGAAGTGTTTTACAGGAATGTATCCAAATGTTTGAGGTTTGTTAGGGGAAACGGATATAATGAGATTAAGCTAGACTCAAACCTCTGAGTCTGTGAAAAATAAAAAAAGTGAATATTGTGAGAGTTATTTTTCAAATGTATCCGGGATCAAATTCACAATGGAAAAGGTTTTAGGAAATAAATTACTTGCCCTTTGTTGGTTGATGATATTTTGCATGGCTGGATTGATGCAGGGGCGGTGACGATTCTAAGATGCGGGTAACGTGATGGCGCCATTAGAGGTACCACTCAATGAAGGGCACCAATATTGTATACCTTGATTGTACAACTCTGGGGTGGAGCCGTGGTGCAGAGGTTGGCGCACTGCACTGTAAACCTGACCAACCTGAGTTTGTACGTATGTTGAACTTCTTTTGCACCGTACGTAGCCAACAGTGCTTATCGGAGATGTGAGTTTGATTCACTGCTATGGAACATGAGCATGTATACAGTTCTTTGGGTTTTTTGGTTGATGCTGTCACCAGGTTTCAATTGTGCAAAAAGCTCCCCATCAAAAATGAGCATTTATTCCCCAATGGGTTTTACCTGTTCCAAACCCCACCCCCAAAACACAAACAAACAGTTGTGAGATATAGCTAAACTGGTCATGTGCTTTGCAGCATGGTGAAATTTGGTGAAACATGCAATAATAACAACACGGTGTGGGAAGGCTTTCATTCAGCAGAAATTTGAAACAGGGCAGTAAGTTTAATTGGAAAAATGGACACGTGAGACACTAAGAACAATTCTAAGAAGGTAGGTGTTTATGCAACTGCTGTATAATCTGGCAGAAGGATGAGAGAAATAGGGAGGTGTCAAAGGATTACGCGAAATAGGCATGATGACCTCTTTAACTTGAACGCCTCTTCATCTCATCCCGAGAAGCTGCCTCTGATTTCGTGGCCGGGGTTTGGGGATGGCACTGGAGAGGGTACTGCTGTTCATTAGGAGGCATTTACCCATCCAGACAGGTTGTGACTCTCGCAGAAAAAATCAAATGTGTTTGTGTTTATCAGAAATTCATGGAGTTCAGGCGCGAGCGCAGCAAGATGCTGATCTCGCGCAAGAACCAGCTGCTGCTCGAGTTCAGCTTCTGGAATGAGCCGGTGCCCCGTCCAGGCCCCAGCATCTACGAGCTGCGCACATACTCCCTGAAGGTGGCTCGCGCCGTGCCACAGTCGCACAGCGTGCGACAATTGTGCCTTAGTTTCTCGCTGAATATTATCCGTTTACAATGAGACTGGAGTCGGTACCATGTGTCGAGTAGCCACAGACATAGCAAGAGGTATGGCGAATGTGGTGTGCCGGATGCAAAAAATATATCTCGGGTCGTTGATCTTGCACGCCCGGCTGGAATTAAGCCCTGCTTGAAATGAGTTGGCTCATGACTCAATCTGCCCTACGTTACCACAAACAGAGCCCGGCACAGGCAGTAGAACTTCAGGTAGTTTAACTTGGATTCGTGATTCACGGTGCAATTAGTATTGCCCGCCTCATGCAGGAAAAACTCCTTTGTTATTTATGTTATTGTGGCATCACGATCAAATGTATTGTTTAAACAAATGTGTAGCGTTTACTGAAAAGTAGTATTCAAGAAGCTGGGCAAACATTTTGTGCAAACAGTTGAGGCCACATTTCAAAGAGTGCACGGCCTTTTAAGGTATTCCTTAAATATGGACTCTTTCTAGGAAAAAAAACATTGAGGTACTGTTAAGAAATATATGCATGTCATAATAGTAAGACTTGTTTCTATCCTTGTTTTCTTTTCTTGCAGCCTGGAACCATGATTGAATGGGGAAACAACTGGTAAAAATTAAATTATATATTCATATGTTTAAAAGATTGTTGTTGACCGTGTTGAGAATGTACACTGCATGGGGATGTATTCAATATATCTCTACATTAATTAGTAATGTCATGATGCTTGACAAAAGATGTTACATTTTCCTCCTGTGCATGTGTGCCTGCAGAAAATGGATGAAGATTGTAGTTCCCCACCCTTTTGAGTTGAACCAATGGGGCAAGTTTCTTAAATCCCGCGCCTCTATCCAACCCAGCAATATAAATGGGTACACCGATGGTCAATCGGCGGGTCGCCTGTGGTGGGGTTAAATGTGGATACTCCCACCTTCAAGATGTCTGGCCAGCATTGAAGAGGGGACTAAATGCCTTCTACGGGGGCTTTGTAGAGATTTCTCGAGTAGGGGCCTTTGCTTAGGCAGTGGTGTGAGCAGGAAATCACAGGGCTGTACCATTTATTACATTGTACCTTCTTTATGCTATATAGGGCACGTGCTATCCGCTATCGGCAGGAGAACAGCGAGGCTGTGGGAGGATTTTTCTCCCAAATCGGCGAGCTTTACAATGTTCACCACCTCTGGGGTAAATCAAAGTGCATTCAAACATCAGCAAAACACTTATCTAAGACAATACATGATCATATGTGAAAACAATCAAGGAAATGCCAATAAGATAGGCCTCGAATTTAGGCATGCTAAAATATGATACTTTCTAAAGACTTCTTAAAATATAGTGATTTTCAATTTAAAAAATCAGAGATGATCATATTAAGTTTCTAAAACAAATAAACTTGGAAGTTTCTGTGGGTGAATTTGAACTGAAGTGGAAACTTGTAGGTTCCACGAGACGCACCAGATGTTACAGTGAGGGGAAAACGTATTTGATCCCCTGCTGATTTTGTACGTTTGCCCACTGACGAAGAAATGATCAGTCTATAATTTTAATGGTAGGTTTATTTGAACAGTGAGAGACAGAATAACAACAAAAATCCAGAAAAAAACGCATGTCAAAAATGTTATAAATTGATTTGTATTTTTATGAGGGAAATAAGTATTTGACACCTCTGCAAAACATGACTTAGTACTTGGTGGCAAAACCCTTGTTGGTAATCACAGAGGTCAGACGTTTCTTGTAGTTGGCCACCAGGTTTGCACACATCTCAGGAGGTATTTTGTCCCACTCCTCTTTGCAGATCTTCAGGTCATTAAGGTTTCGAGGCTGACGTTTGGCAACTCGAACCTTCAGCTCCCTCCACAGATTTTCTATGGGATTAAGGTCTGGAGACTGGCTAGGCCACTCCAGGACCTTAATGTGCTTCTTCTTGAGCCACCCTTTTGTTGTCTTGGCCATGTGTTTTGGGTCATTGTCATGCTGGAATACCCATCCACGACCCATTTTCAATGCCCTGGCTGAGGGAAGGAGGTTCTTACCCAAGATTTGACGGTACATGGCCCCGTCCATCATCCCTTTGATGTGGTAAAGTTGTCCTGTCCCCTTAGCAGAAAAACACCCCCAAAGCATAATGTTTCCACCTCCATGTTTGACGGTGGGGATGGTGTTCTTGGGGTCATAGGCAGCATTCCTCCTCCTCCAAACACGGCGAGTTGAGTTGATGCCAAAGAGCTCCATTTTGGTCTCATCTGACCACAACACTTTCACCCAGTTGTCCTCTGAATCATTCAGATGTTCATTGGCAAACTTCAGACGGGCATGTATATGTGCTTTCTTGAGCAGGGGGACCTTGCGGGCGCTGCAGGATTTCAGTCCACGGCGTAGTGTGTTACCAATTGTTTTCTTGGTGACTATGGTCCCAGCTGCCTTGAGATCATTGACAAGATGCTCCCGTGTAGTTCTGGGCTGAAACCTCACCTTTCTTATGACCATTGCAACTCCACGAGGTGAGATCTTGCACGGAGCCCCAGGCCGAGGGAGATTGACAGTTCTTTTATGTTTCTTCCATTTGCGAATAATCGCACCAACTGTTGTCAACTTCTCACCAAGCTGCTTGGCAATGGTCTTGTAGCCCATTCCAGCCTTGTGTAGGTCTACAATCTTGTCCCTGACATTCTTGGAGAGCTATTTGGTCTTGCCCATGGTGGAGAGTTTGGAATCTGATTGATTGATTGCTTCTGTGGACAGGTGTCTTTTATACAGGTAACAAGCTGAGATTAGGAGCACTCCCTTTAAGAGTGTGCTCCTAATCTCAGCTCGTTACCTGTATAAAAGACACCTGGAAGCCAGAAATCTTTTTGATTGAGAGGGGGTCAAATACTTATTTCCCTCATTAAAATGCAAATCAATTTATAACATTTTTGAAATGCGTTTTTGTGGATTTTTTTGTTATTCTGTCTCAAACTGTTCAAATAAACCTACCATTAAAATTATAGACTGATTATTTCATTGTCAGTGGGCAAACGTACAAAATCAGCAGGGGATAAAATACTTTCTTCCCTCACTATTTGGTGCTTGGCAACATTGACAAAACTTGGCTTGGTGCAAGGTGCATTGCTGAGCAATACATGCACGGTTTGAATAAAAGTGTCTCTCTCAATTGTTTGAACGTTGCAGCTTACAGAGACTTGCAGTCACGTGATGAGACGCGTGCTGCTGCTTGGCAGAAACCCGGCTGGGAGGAGTGCGTTTATTACACAGGTATGGGAACCAGTACTGGTCATGCAAACATCCTATTTGTGGATCGATGGAGGGCTGTGTAGCGGACCAGTTGCATGCACCACACCATTTAAGTTCTGGTCAGACCTGGGTGCTTTTAAAAAAAGCGGCATGTTTATTTGCACACGTGTTTTGTTGTTTATTGCAAAGTTAGATCGAGTCCCATCAGTCGCGTGACTCGTCAGCGACTGATCACAGTGATGTTAATTTGTGTGGTGTCATGTAACATTTTATTTAATGCAGGTAAAACGCCCTTGGTTTCCATTTGCAATTCCTGTTCAGCTGGTGTGTGGCCCTGTGTTTGTTTTGTGGGTGTGTGTTTGATTAAGGGCGTGCTTCTGCTTGTTTATAGGCATGTATGTGTTTATGAGCAGTGGTCGTAGTGGAAGGCAATGTCTGCTCAGATTTAGTTAATTTCTGTTGTCCCCTACACAATGCCTGGGTTCTTACAATTACCTTTTTTGGTACACCACATGACCTTGCCATTGAGCAAGTGACACGACGGCATCCACACTGATTAGTGGTGAGCGATAGTTACGTGGTATTATTGTGTTGTACTGCCTCATGTAATACAATCTTAAAATTGCACGAAAAAAGATGGAAGATATGCATGCTTGGAATTTTACTAAGAATGTGGGACGCTTAGATCACACATCGTTTTGTGGCCTTGGGTAGGAAAAATGTCTGACAGGTATTTTCGCTCATGGACGAGACTGGTGATGGAATGGCACCTGAAAGATGCAAGAGAGAATAATGATAGTTGAGATGGCATAATGGAAGTGGCTCATGTGGAAGAGAAAGAAAGATTGTGGCCTCACAGGGCCGTGAGAGATGGTTAAGGCTTGGGGGAGGCCTTCATCCAGCAGTAGATATCCATTGAATGATGGTGATGCCATGCATGTATGTGTGTCCTTGCAGTGCCTCTCATTCGCTGGATGGAGAGCCGGGTCATGATCCCTCTAAAGTTTTCTCCACTCCAGTGATCAGTTGGATTCTGAGCTGGCACAGGACCAATCCTGTTCTGGGATCATTCGTACCAAAATATGTCCCCCATTCCATAACCCCTCCGTTCAGCTTTCTTGTAGAAGATACGCACAACTTAATCTCAGATTTCATTCGGGGCTTAAAACGATTGCCGCCTTTTAGGGAGTTTTGTTTTGCACAGTGTTGTACAGTAAAATGCCTGTGATTGCTAATTAAATTGTCTTTAATTAAAATTGAGTAGCATGAAGAAAATGTTACGCGTTTACTTTGCAGTCTGTGGCGGTATTGATGTCAGTACTGAAAAGAAAGCACTAGTTTGAATTTAGCGCATTTTGCACGCAAGTTGTACGCGGCTGTCGTAAGCAATGATGTTGCCTGTGGTGTAAAACATTGCTGCAGTATTTGCGATGAAATATTAAAATATGCATTAAAATCTCTCTGGGGTTGCGCGTCTTTTCGGTGGTCGCATGGCATGACCTGTCGAGTAGTAACGGACAATGCGTGTCACAATTAGGGTTCTGGAATATATCGATAACCCTCCAAAATATAATTGTCTAAAAAGTCGGCTTTGTTATAGGCAGGTTAAGTGGATGAAAATGATTGAGTTAAATGCATTGTGTGATAATGTTGGCAGATCCAATAAAAACTATCAAGAGTGGACTGTGAAATATTCAAGTAAAAGCAGCGTGGGAGATCTTAAAATATACAAAACGTATTGTGGAATAAAGTTGTGATTCAGGGTGGTTATTCAATTAAAAACTAGTCTTAAATGTTGCTGTTTAATTTGTATAGTTTGCCTTGTGTTTGTGTGAATGTTGAACTTCTTTCGCAGGGTGGTACGTAGCCTCAATGTCACGGGATACTATTTGCGTACAATATGCACGCATCACAAATAATAGTCGCAGGCCAACATGATGCACGTATCTGGAGCGTACAAATGTATTTTAATCCATGAATCTGGATTGTTGGATACCTCATTAGCAATTGTATGCCAGTCTTGTGGTGGAACTACATACAGTGCTTGCAAACACGTGAGCAAGATTTCTCTAATGCTGAAATACCTTTGCCTGAGAAATACAACAATTTCTCCGAACATTTGGAAGTGAAAACCCGCAGGATAAGCCCCTGGGTACAAAAGTGCGCTCGTGCGTTCTGTGCAGATTACTATGAGCCAAGGATGTTTGTGTGTAACGCGCGTGACGTCCCTCCACACGTCACACCACCCCCGTCATTAATATTCATGAGCGGGTGAATTTTTACACCCGCTCACGCAGAAGGTCGAGCGGAAATATATATTTTTTTAGCAAACTCGCTTTAGGTTTGACGTTTCGTTATTGAAAGTGAATCTAATAAATAATGATATGCAGCAACAAAGTGGATTTGGTGTCTTTATTTCTTCAGCACTTGAGACAAGGTAAGTCTAATGCTTCTACATTATGGTAAAATAGACATTTCTCGGTGATTTTCCAGATATATCGTATCGAATTCCAATTTATTTCAACCCCAGCGACCGAAAGCAGAAGAGAATAAAGTATCAGAGCAGTGAATTTGAACAAATTGAAGGTCAGTTATATACAGCGCTACAGTGAAATGCCGTGAAAGTGTTTGACGACATACATTTGTGCAAGATTCACTGCCATAAAATGTACACAAGATACCATTATACTCTGCTCAATTTTTTCGTAAATGTTGCGGCTTCCATCAAATAAGCTAGTTAATTAATTGCACGATGTGCATGCAGCACAAAGCACGTGCTTTTGCTTCAGGATATCCAACTATCAGGACTGTACCATTACACTCGATTTGGGGGGGGGGGGGTGTGAGTTGGACTAGACCACTGCAAAACGTTAGGGGACTATATCTGCTAGTAAAATCAATAATAGTAACCAGTAGTAACTATTAAAATATAACATTACCAGTAAAGTGATTTGTTTTTTTTTTCTCCCAACGGTGATGGCAACGGCATGCCTATCAAATGCCCTTCCTTGCCAGTAAAATAAAATAACAAAAGGTGGATCAGGTAAAACAAACGCGATTAACACGCCCGCAACATTTCCCTTTGCATGCGCGTAGAGTAACGTTTTAATTGATCGCCGAGCGCAATTTCGTCAGCGAAACGAACCAAAAGAGGTTTTTTTTAAAATTTAAATCTTTCGTGACTGCAGTAATTCATATTCTTAGCTCTTTCCGTAAAGTCACGTTGAAGGGAAACAATAAAATAATAAAATATATATAACCAAAAAACAATATTGTTTAATATATATTTTAATTATTTTATTGTTTCCCTTCAACGTGACTTTACCCGAAAGGCGTGTGAATGTTTAAAGCGTGAATGTTTAAAACGCCGTCGCCATGGAGACGCGCCACGTGACGCGCCCCGTGGGTGGGTGGGTGGGGGCCTCATGCGCAAAATTTGCATCAAAAAAAGTCAAAAAAAAGCCGTCGGCGACCAATTTCTGTAGCGGGGTTGTTTATTTTGTGTGCGTCCTCCGGAATATTCATTCAACGAGAATATTCGTTATCGTTTTGTACACACGCACACACACACAATACACGATCGATCGCGTTAAACAACACCACGCCGATTGCAAAAAAAAAAAGGTACGATCGTCAATTCGCGTTGTGTTCGTTCGTCTTTGCAAATGCGCGTTAGGCAAGGCGGCGGCGGCGGTGGTTGTTGCTGTGGTTGTTGTGGTTGTGGTGGTGGTGGTTGTTGTTGCATTGGGGCGGCCGTGGGCCACTGTGCTTCACGGATCGGGAGAGAGACAACAACAACAACATTTGACGCATTTGTGCGGGGGGGGGGGGGGAGTCCTCATACCCAAATATATATTTTATTTACCAGACCTTCGATAACGACGTCAAAATCGTTTCGAATTGTCACGACTTGTGTTGTTGAGTGCGTAAAGACATTTGCGTGTGCGGGCGGGTATGTAATGTAATGTAATGCGCGCGCGTGTGTGTGTGTGACATTCGTGATCGGTTATGCTTTCGTATTTGTCCGCCTGATGAGGCTAGTTGTAATTACTGGCGAAACGTCGTACTTAGATTGTAAATGTTGTGGATTTGCTCTCCGACACACAACCCGGTGTTGCTGTACCAGTGACGAATTGGCCACGTTCTGTTTACGTGACAGCCCTTACTAGTTGTCTGTGTCGGGTGGTGGCGGGTTTAACGACACAACATTTATATATTTACGCGATCTAACACAAAAAAAACCTCTGTTTTATCTCGTATGTGTGTTAATATGTCTGCTTGGGGCTGGCGATTCCTGCGCGGTTTAATAATTTACGCTGTAATGAATTCACGGAATGCGAAGAGTATTTTATTTGTGGATTCTTTTTTTTAAACTAACGGATAATAATCTTACGAGCGAGCTCTGTTAAAAGTGTCCGCATGCTATCTATGTGCCATACCTGTCAAACCCTTATCAGTGCTCTACCTTATTACAGACCAGATCTTATTGGTCACCCCCGTGCCCCTTATAAATCTCAATGTTCATCATACAACGTCCCATCATCACAAGGGAGAAACATAAATAGACCATGGTTTTGTGTTTGTTTTGCCCGTATTGAAACGGCTGTACGCCTTATGGACCTGAAAACTAAAATTTCCCTGTATAATAAAGAATAAGTACACCGCATGGGTTGTACAAGTATGCTATGCCTGCATCCCCCTGAGCTTATTCAGTGTAATCAAATTACAAGACGTGCGGTTTGTATTCTTCCATGGAGAGGAATTCTATTTTGAGATGCAGCAACAACCGTACACATTTATAATTGTGTTATTGTAGTCAATGAATGAGCGATTTCATCGATTTATGGATTCGTAAGTTAGATGCTTTTTTTTACGTTGTTCAATTTGTAAAAGAACGCGTGAATAAATGAATGGACGATTAATTGGGTCAATTAATTTACTTGGCTCACCTGCCTGCCTATAAAACGCCTTAAGTGTAATGTATACACTTCGTGATTTATCATTTAATTCGACATATTAAATGCATAAAAATAGATATATTTTTCAAGAATATTAAAGGTGTCTCACATAACTGGCCTCTGCATGGTATCCATATACTGGATATATGTACGGTATTTCCCTGCCAACATCACAATGTATATCACTGAAAATGTACTGCTCTTGGCAACTTAAATAAAAAAAACACGGTAATATGCTAATTATATTGACACGTAGTGGCATGTAAGCACTTATACAATGTACATAAATACACATTTTAATACAGTCTGTTGAAAAGCAGTCCTAATGATCAATTAACGCTGCCTTACGCGAGGTACCGCTGCCGTAACCGGCCTATGTTATCGATACTAAATTCGATTTAATTTGTGTTGGGGGTGTAAAAAAAATTACACCGTGGCAGAGGCGCAATTACGCCGCACCTGGCATTTTCGTGTTAAAAAAAAATGTAATTGTGCGTTGCACTTGTAAGCACACAAATAAGGTCACGCTAATGAAGACGACGCCGGTGGTTAATTTCACTTCGCACCATCACCAACGTGACGTTTTATATCGCACCAAAGGGTGGAGGGGGGGGGGTAAATCCTTTGCACGTGGTTTGTTCTAAACGTGGATTGAATGGGGGTGGGGGGAACATCTCCACGCGCCTGGTGTGTTGCTGGTGATGATGAGAACCAGTGTCAGGTTCTCTTTGAGTTTATTAATGGAAACCGTGTCCTGGACCGGCATGTCCCCCCCCCCCCGTTCGTCGTCACGTGGCCCCGTTTGGCTTTTGTCCTGAGCCGTGGCGAAGCGTGTTGCTTATTCCGGGGGGGGGCAGCGAGTGGCTATTCCCACCACCACCACCACTCACCCACCCCTCCCTCCCCTCTCTCTGGCTCCTGCTTATCCCCAAACCTCGCGCTTGCGTCCCCTTGGCGTGCGGATGAGTCAGTGAGGTAGTGCCATGGCCGTGGACCTGGTCGTCAGTGGCAGCAGGCCCGGCACGGCGAGCCCCAAAACGGCCCGCGCCCGCTACCGCGTACGCTCCGAGGCCTCCTTCGTGGAGGAGACTCTGTTTGGAGACCCGTCGGGTCGGCCTCTGCCCTACGTGAGGCCTTTCGAGGCACCCTGGGCTGGGTCGCCTCGCCCGGCCTCGGCACCTTCCTCCGCGCCCGCTACTCCGAAAACGCCGAGCGGCAGCGGTATGCCCATGACTAGGAACAAGTACAGGTACGCCAGGTGAACAACGGGGTTTGATTCGTTTTCGTGTTTATTGATATCCCACTAAAATAACTGGTAATTGTTGCAGAAATGTGTGTTTTTTTAAATCAAGCCTCTACTTGCCTCTCCCACCAATATTAATACTGGAACGTAGAGCCAGTCCGATTCACGATTTTCAATCGCCTATTGAGATGAAATAACAGGATACAAAAAAATGGGGCCTCTATAAAGGGATCACCCAATGTCACACGTAACCACAAATGCCTGTCCGGTAATTCACTGATGAACGTTCTTTCAAGCAATGCATTGCCGATTTGGCAGTGGATATACTGTACTATATTAATAAGATGCCATTAACTGGTTTGGTAACAAGCAAACGCTGCTTGTGATGCTGTTAAATAATGTGCGGTCGGGGAACGATTCAAATGGCACATTGAGCGGCTTCCTGCTAGGGGACTGCTGTCGAATCTGACGATTTTCAGCAGCAATTTGGAGTGCAAATTTCCTTTCATATGGCCAATTATAGTTTGCATGGGAGTGTAGTTAAAACATTCGATATTACGTCTTAAACAATTGGGCTGAATAAATTCCAGTTTTACGAACTCGTATCTGGTTTTCTTGACTTGGAATGTGTTATAATCGGTTTCTAGAGTTATAAGTGCATTGTTTGCAACCATCATTAATAACACTGCCTCGTAAGATGCCAATTAATATTACGTAAGCCAACAGAGTTACAGTCAATTTTGATTTAAAGCTTTCGTTACTGCAGTAATTCATATTCTTAGCTCTTTTGGTAAAGTCACGTTGAAGGGAAACAATAAAATAATAAAATATATAAAAATGATAAATATTGTTTTATATTTATTTTATTGTTTCCCTTCAACGTGACTTTACCGAAAGAGCTAAGAATATAAATGTTACAGTAGTCGACAAACAAGGCACATTTAATGCTGTTAAACTTTGGCCAACTTCCAGCTTGGCCAAAGGCATGATTGTGCCTGGAGTGAATTCATTTACCATGGTAACAAGCGGATGTTAATTGAGTGGCTTTTTATAATTGTTACGGTACACTTTAAGCCGTTTCATTATGGACTAGTGCAGGTTTTAAATAGTTAAACCTTGCACTCATCAGTGATGTCATTGGTTTAACCTGTCACCTGACCTACCCACTGCATGTGATTATTCATGGACTCCTCGATTCTTGCACTCATTTTCATCATATGGTGCATGTGAGAATCAAATATATGCACAGATTTAATGAAAATAATCTTGTTATATATAGGCTACTATTGGTGCAAATAAACCTGTGCAAACAATATATAATACATGAGAAACAATACAAACTAATCTTTAAAAATGATACGAAAATCTATTCTCAAAGACTCAAAACATCGAATCTTGACAATTGAATCTCTGGGTATTGGGGGAATGAATCGCTACATGCCACGTAAATGTCACAAACTCTGAAAAACCGCTTTCCAGTTCTTGTCAAAGCACTGCTTGCACCCGTCTGATGCGCACCGCACGTCGGCAAGGACGCACGTAAATCACGGCGGGCACTGAACTCGTGGGTTGGTTGCACAGGCTGGTGAAGCACTCGCCCACGTACTGCGACGAGATGCTGTTTGGGGGACCGCTGGCCGACTCGGGCTGGGATCCGCCGTGGGTGTCGCGCGAGGACCGGGGTGTGCGCATCAAGCCGCTGCTGTGGACGCCTCCGTCCTACCGGCCGCACCGCGCCGAGAGCGAGCACAAGAAAAACTCTCCGCCGCTCAAGGCCCCGCACAGAATGGCTCCCCTGGAAACGGCACCCATTGACGGGCGGCCAAACGTGGGCTCTGCCACGGCGTCGATAAATGGACGCAGCGCGGGCAGCGACAGCCACAAGTCAAATCAGCCGGGGAAAGAGAAGCACCATCGGACTGTGAGTTTGGGAGCGCACGGGGTGGCGGGCGACCTCGTGGTATGCGGTTCTCGGCCCTCGTCTGCCCGCGGGGACTTTGCGAGGCCGCGGCTGGATGGCCGGCGGGAGTCTGTGGCCTCTCAAACAGAGGTGGTTCGGCCTGGGTCTGCACGCAGGCCACAGTCGGCGCGGCTGTACGGCTCGACGGGTTCGCTAGTGGCAGTCAGGCCACCCTGGAGGTGAAGGGTCAAGATAAAGGGTAGTGGCCAAATTAAATTGGGTTGTCGATTTGCGAAGCATGTGTGACACCCGCAAAATAAACGAGCAACGGTCAAAGGAACAACAAAGGCAAAAGGACATCTTTGTGAAATTTTATCTGCATAACAGGGTTCTTTTTGAAACAACGGTTTCTAAATATTACATGAGTACGTCTTGATATTTAAAATGACTGGTAGAAAGACACTTTAACGAGCAAAAGTGTAAGAGTACCAATTCCAAAATGGCAGTAAAGTTGTAATTGTCACTGTTGTGTTCCTTAGCTTGATAAGTTAACCCTGCTGAGGCCATCATACAAATGGGATTTGTACTTTCAGTGCAGTTTTTTCCGTGTGTACTTTGCATTATAGTGGTGTTCATTCGTTTTTAATTCAGTTATTTTTCTTGTATAGATTCCCTTTAACTTTCCTCTTCAGCACTTTCAGGCAAGTGAACGTGAATGACTACTGTATTTAAAACTTAAGCTTCGTGATTTGAGCTGCTACATTTCAACATGGCGTTGCATTGATCAATAGGCAGATTATAAAGAAGGTGTGGAAATATTGTTTTTAATTGTGAATAAAACATGTGCCAAGACTTTTTTTAAAATGTCAATTTGTGTTGCTATGGTAATGCCAGTTGAGACCAACTATTAGTGTCAATTGCAGTGAAGGAATGTCTGTCGAGAGTTTGGCACTACAAGACGGTGCGTGTATCCATGTGTCCAGGAGCCTGACAGCTCAGGTGAGTGTGAGAAATAATACTTGCAGAACAAAGTAACAGGTTTTTAAATGTTATGCAACCTTACCGTTCGTAGGCTCTAAAAATAAACACACGCTGGCTTTACAATAACCACAGCAAGAAACAGTTGCTGAAGTGGGCAAAAGGGCTGCCGTGACAAGAGGCCATATAGGTAAGAGAGGGGGGAGGAGAGATGGAGAGGGGGGTAGGGGGAGTGGAGCGCTGCTAGAGGGATTAGGAAACGCGCACCACTCCCCCTACCCCACACCCCCCTCTCTATCTCTCCTCCCTGGCTCCTCCCCCCCTCTCTTACCTATATAGCCTCTGTCACAGCAGCCCTTTTGCCCACTTCAGCAAATTGTTTCTTGCTGTGGTTGTCCCACCTGATGACGGACGCTTGTGTTGCGCCCGAAACGTCGTGATTTAATTTGTTGTATTTTATACCTACCACGTGACTTTACCGAAAGAACCAAAGAGTATGGATCCCTGCAGTCACGAAAACTTCAAATCTAGATTGGCTTTACAATAGTTGCACCAGAAAAATACAGTGATTGCACACATACAAAACATTCATCGGTGATAAAAAAATCTTAAAACTAGGCTTCAGTACTCAAAACACGTAAAACACAGCACCCACTGCAATAATTGTTAATGTGCAGCACAATTAGATTGCTTTTGCTTTGTGCACTGGCTATTTCCATATATAAATACAGTACAAGCCATTTGTACAAAATTATTAACAAATCAAGTGTCATTCAAAATAATGTAGACGTTTAACCTTGCTTAAAATCCAAACCTAACCTTACATTTCAAAATATGTTCTTGCAACTTAAACATTCTTTATGTTCATGGCTGACTAACAAAAAATACTTGCATTAGTGACCTCAATTCTCTCGCATGGAGATAACATTAAATCGCCCGTCCACTGGCATGTCAAATCTCAGAAGTAGAACAATTTCGCTGGGACAAATTTGACGCGCGCCAACGAAAGCAAGCGAAAACGAAAGTCCCAATTGCACCACGCTAGTGAAAGTAAACGCAAACCACGAATCGCGCCGCCGATCGACTTAAAATCGAATGATCTTGAACTCTGTGAGGAGCGCGACCGTGAGGAAAGCGAGGTAAAGTGCAAAGAGGCAGACTCCGTATTTGCGCGTGAGGTAGAACCCCTGCAGCGGCAGTGCCACGAAAGACAGCACAAGGCTGATGCCCAGTGACGCGCACAGCACCCACACCAGTGGTACATCCGGCACCAGCTGCGCCGTCGAGAAGGGTGGGGGTGGCATAATAAGACGCACAAAGGGCACAACATTACGCGTGCGTGTATATGTACAGCCATTTTTTTTTTTTTTCCAATCCACAGCAGGATGAGTGCCGTCCCCATGTTGGGCGGATCGTGGGCGGGTTAATCGACCGTACTTGACCAAGCTGGTCAGTTCGGGTTACAGATGTTTGAGAAGAAACATAATGGAAAAAAATTGAACTAATGCGCAGATGTGTACTCACTGGTGTGCCATACCTCATGTCTAAACCGTTTTGCATAAATTTTGTGTGGACACATATACATGCACAGCCCTTTTGTTAATCCACTGCTGGATGAGAGCATCCCTGTGTTGTGCTGGTCATGGCGGGCCATCAAACAAAGACGGTCACTGCATTGTGTAATTTCAGATGTGTTTCTACGGCAGTCTGGAACGCCCTTCCTATATTAGGAAGCCACTAAAGGCTATACACTTTTAAATCTAGATAGAAAACTCATTTCTTTATAACTGCTTTTTGTGTTTAGTTTGTCCTTCCCTCGCACCTCCGATTAGTATGGTTGGCTATGTACCGTGTGAAAGAAGTTCAACATACATGGTGGTTATTTGGCAATACTTTACCACGCTGGTAAGTGCGAGTTGACGGGCACAGAGTATAAGACTTTGGAGCATAGCAGAGTACAAAAATCGATTTTGCGATGCTATATTCTGCTGACAACATAGCCATCCAGCTGCCTGCAACACCCGTTTATGCATTGGGGCTGCCTATCCAAGCACGATCCAGGCACGGAACCGCTTGGCTTCTGAGATATAACAAAATCTAACAAGATCAGGCGCAATACGGGTGATGTTTTTCAACATTGTGTGACTAATTATTAGGCATGTCAATAAGTTCCCACGCTCGCATATAACAGTAGTGTACAGGAGAATGGAATATTTAATTTATTCAATCATGACCCTTAAATCACGACGATAAATCACAGGGATGGTAAAACTTATATCGTGAACAGCCATAACAGTTTGGTTGTGGTACAAGCGTTCTGAACGTGTTGCGTGCATGGCCATACCTGCTGCATGTGAGAAGGGGGCATACTGAGCAGGCAACCCAGCCCAATCCCCACCAGGATGTCTGTGCAGACAGTTAAGGCTGTAATGAGGTCTCCTGCTGTTCTCCATCGCGTCCTATACATAAACACAAATATCCCCGTATAGCTGTGCAAGACTGCCGAGGCAAGTGGTGTTAACGAGCACACCTATTGAGGCTGACACGATGCACAAGAGAGGTTGGTGTGGATGGCACCATGTCCAAGCCACCTTTGACTCCCAAGGGCTGATATTCATGCTGCACCAGGTACTTATTTATGACTGACCATTTCAGGTATAACTGGCCTAATGTTAACTGTGGCTTGGAATTTTGATTTAAAGCTTTCGTGACTGCAAGGATTCATCTTCTTTGGTTCTTTCGGTAAAGTCACGTGACTTTACCGAAAGAACCAAAGAAGATGTGGCTTGGAATTTAACCCATATTACTGGGTTTGTAGCACAGTTTAAGAACCACTGCACCACCACTCAGGCATTTCTCTTATTTACTATCCAGCCACACCTGGCTTTCAATTCTGCATTAAAATTACAACATTCGGTTTTAAAACTACAAGTTCCAAAATTTCCCAGACACACCATGCACAGACTAAAATGCAAGTGTTATTCAGAATGTGGGCACAAATAAATGTTACAAATTTAAGAACATGTGTTTGAGGTTGTTTATTTTATAGCTATATTGATTGGGAAATAATTTTTTTGTTTTTCTCATTGGAAAGCAAAAATAAAAAGAGTGCTATAAAAGCAAATTCTTGTATTCACTTAATCTAAAAAAAAACAGCTAAATACATGAGCGACCAAGTTTGCCCTTTTATGAAAGGTAATAACTCGGAGCACGTAGCACAAGGCCTGAAAACAAATCTCGTGCTGTGCTAGAGGAACTTAAAATTTGTGTCATTCAAGTATTTCGAGATAGGGTTGAAAAAAAAATCCCTTTCAAAATAAATTCCTTTCAAATACAAACGAGTTTTGGATGTACGCTTGCCTGCCAATCGGCTGTTTTCACTTCGATGTCTCTCCAAGCCATTCCTTTTCCTGTGTGGCCCTTCCGTCTCACTGACAATAACCCCTTTTCAAGCACAACTTGCACAAAATGGAATACAAATCCTCTAATCATCGCAATCGTGCCAGCCTAGTTCAAAGGAACGCAACTCGTAAAACATATCTTGTGGATACGTACCTAGGCTGTGTGGCACAAACTGACAAAAGTGCATAATTTCATTCTAAAATATATTTAAGGTTATGGTCAGCAGCACTGCAGCGATGTATTGGAAAGTATCGAAATTATGTTCTGGGTCATGTATGGGAGTGATGTCTAAGTGAAATCCGTGGTATAATAATGCTCTTGACTATGCCTTTGAGAATGCCTTTTTGAAAACAACTGACACTTCAAACTCATATCGGATAGCCTGTGACATATAAAGCAATTAACGTATATCTGCAACATGAACAGTTCATTGTTATTAGAATCGCGTCTTCCTTTAATTACAAATGACGCGATTGGAGAAAAGGATACTGAAGACGATGCCGCCAAAGCACGCGGAGATGGCCATCCGTGGGTAGCCTTGTCTTGCCATCGTGATATCCGCCACGAAGTCTGCACATGTGCGGGACAGTGTTAGGGGGGTATGGTGCCATATATTTGACCACAAAACAGATTCGATCTTCTGGACAATCAAAAGTGCAGTGTGACGGGTACAAGTGTGGCACCCTTGTGGTGTGTTGTATTTCAAACGCTTGGCCGTGTTTACAGTGTCGGTGTGTCGACCAGGAAAGGTTTATCTATCTGAATTAACATCAATCCCACACCGCGCAGAGCTTTGTCAGTCTTGCCTCACTGGCTGGGTGTTTAAAATCATAGGGGTTTACCCGAGGTCACCAACTATGCTGCAATATATTTAAATTTGCATGTCTTGTCGACGTCCAGTGCAGGACAGATATATGCATTATTGTGGTGCAGCAGCATGCAGATTTATTGCAGTACGCAGTATAGCGTGGCGCCCCGCGGCATAGCATGGAGTGAGGTTGCGCGGTTGTGTGGCGTGGCATGTGATGCGACGTGGAGAAGTGAAGCGTGGCGTTGTGCGATGCCTGGAGTGGTGCGCGGAGTGGCATGCGCCGTCACGCTGCAGCATAGCATGGAGTGATGTGACACGGTTTTGTGGTGTGGCGGTGGAACGTGATGTAGACGTGGAGAAGCGAAACGTGGCGCGTGAAGTGGCGTGCGCCGTCGCGCGGCGGCAGGGCTGCGACTGTGCGGTGCGTTGTACGCCGCAGCGCCCACCGGGCACGCTGTTCCCCCAGGCGAGCAGCGTGAGACCCAGCACGGTGCTGCTGATGCCGAACACAACGCCGAACGTCTGCAGGAGGTTCACCACTTCGTTGGCAATGGCGTTCATCCAGAGGGCGCTCACCACGAAGCCCAAAACCGCGAATGCCTAGCGGGTCAAGCGCAGAACCAGCACTCAACATGAAGGTTTTGTGTTCCGAGTTATTTGCTATCAAATTTGACACAATGTATGTATGTATGTTGAACTTATTTCGCACCGTACGTAGCCAATCGTGCTAATCGGAGCTGTGGGGATACCATTTCACTATGAAATGGTATTTTCAGGATAGAAAATGCAATGGAAATGCAAACCTTCACGCTGTGGTTTAGGTTTTTTTGTCTTATTTTGACATCTCATTTGTATTGTTTATTGCATTTCGTTTTGATTCGTCTCGTTACGTTTATTCTATTCGTTGAAATGTAACGCTTTCAAATAATTTCCAAAAACGGTAAACCGATTCGCACGTGGACAGTTCGATGCGTGTACTGTGTGAATAACAACTGACGAGTCAATGCAAGAAAGTCGACACGCCTCCTTTTCCCATGATGCACACATCCCACTGTTTTGTACAGGGTCTTGATGTGCTAGTATTTATAGTACTCTATATACACACATTTTAAATGTAATGCTATGTGAAGCCCTCGTTAATCGCGATACCTAAACATGGTCTTGGCACTGTTTAACTTCTTCCTTAATGGGCTGCTTCCTGCTCACCAACTAATCTCATGGCCTTCACCTGCCTCTTACCACTTAAGAAGTCCGCTCTCGTCACTGTGCAGACCGATGAGGAACATCCTTCGCACGTTACGAAATATTGCGGTCCCACTGCTCGATGACGGTGCTCGCGCTTGGGCAAGTTGACAAATTACGTAAGTGTGCGCGCAGTGTGAGGCGTTGAGGGGCAACGGACTCACTAGCTGAAAGGCTGGCGGTTGCTCGCTGGTCGTGATGAAGGCTACGACGGCCAGCAGGCAGCCAATAGCCAGTATCAGGCTCCAGAGCGGAAGGGTACCACCCACAGGTAACATGAAGTCTGGACACGGGGACAGAAGCACGGGACACGCATAGCGTTATTTGTTTACGATATGCACAATATCAAGAATATGTTTAGATTATGATAATGTCATGGGACGTCCCTTTGCCAGTACCAAAATATGATAATAGGGTTTTCCCATTTTTTTCTGGCAACAAAACAGGTAATAATAGGGTTGTTCCCCTTTTTTCTGGCAACAAAACTGAAAGCTTTTTACAAGGATTCATGTCTGCATTAACCACAATACCTGCAGTCAAAATGCAAACAAAAAACATACTATGATAATATATGCATTGTCCTTGAAACTGTAAAAAGGTTTCAGTTTTGTTGCCAGAAAAAAAGGGGAAAAACCCTATTATTACATTTTGGTACTGGCAATGGAGGTCTAATGATGTAGATGCTCACCCCGAGCCCTCATTACTTTGATAGTGCATTGTCTTTGAGCTGTACGCCTTTTGGCGTCATCTGGTCGAGCACCAATTGGGTCGAGGCTCAAAAGAAAGCCGTCCCTTGGTGTGGACCAATCAGTTTCAAGGACAATGCATATTTTATCATAGTATGTTTTTGTTTGCATTTTGACTGCAGGTATTGTGGTTAATGCAGACATGAATCCTTGTAAAAAGGTTTCAGTTTTGTTGCCAGAAAAAGGGGAAAAACCATATTATTACATTTTGGTACTGGCAAAGGAGGTCTAATGGAACAAAACAGGTGTTAAGATGTTGGTTGGTGTGGACCAATCAGTTTCAAGGACAATGCATATGTTATCAGCGTTTTTTGTTTGCATTCTGACCACAATCATTGTGGTTAATGCAGACGTGATTCCTTGTAAAATGTTTCAGTTTGGTGTTTTAACATCTTAACGCAGCTGTTTTGTTGCCAGAAAAAAGGGGAAAACTCTCTTATCATGATGATAATGGTGAGGGAGCAGCATTAGGTGAGAGCTTGGCCTCAGATTTATGTTTTGGAGCTGCTAGAACAGGTGATAATAAAATCCAACTCGGTACTTGAGGACACTAGAAAGCATGCAGCTCCTGTGATGGTGATACAGTGAAGGAAAAAAGTATTTGATCCCCTGCTGATTTTGTACGTTTACCCACTGACAAAGAAATGATCAGTCTATAATTTTTATGGTAGGTTTATTTGAACAGTGAGATACAGAATAACAAAAAATCCAGAAAAACGCTTGTCAAAAATGTTATAAATTGATTTGCATTTTAATGAGGGAAATAAGTATTTGACCCCCTCTCAATCAGAAAGATTTCTGGCTCCCAGGTGTCTTTTATACAGGTAACGAGCTGAGATTAGGAGCACAATCTTAAAGGGAGTGCTCCTAATCTCAGCTTGTTACCTGTATAAAAAGCACCTGTCCACAGAAGCAATCAATCAATCAGATTCCAAACTCTCCACCATGGTCAAGACCAAAGAGCTCTCCAAGGATGTCAGGGACAACATTGTAGACCTACACAAGGCTGGAATGGGCTACAAGACCATTGCCAAGCAGCTTGGTGAGAAGGTGACAACAGTTGGTGCGATTATTCGCAAATGGAAGAAACACAAAAGAACTGTCAATCTCCCTCGGCCTGGAACTCCATGCAAGATCTCACCTCGTGGAGTTGCAATGATCATGAGAACGGTGAGGAATCAGCCCAGAACTACACGGGAGGATCTTGTCAATGATCTCAAGGCAGCTGGGACCATAGTAACCAAGAAAACAATTGGTAACACACTACGCCGTGAAGGACTGAAATCCTGCAGCGCCCGCAAGGTCCCCCTGCTCAAGAAAGCACATATACATGCCCGTCTAAAGTTTGCCAATGAACATCTGAATGATACAGAGGACAACTGGGTGAAAGTGTTGTGGTCAGATGAGACTAAAATGGAGGTCTTTGGCATCAACTCAACTCGCCGTGTTTGGAGGAGGAGGAATGCTGCCTATGACCTCAATAACACCATCCCCACCGTCAAACATGGAGGTGGAAACACGCTTTGGGGGTGTTTTTCTGCTAAGGGGACAGGACAACTTCACCGCATCAAAGGGACGATGGACGGGGCCATGTACCGTCAAATCTTGGGTAAAAACCTCCCCTCAGCCAGGGCATTGAAAATGGGTCGTGGATGGGTATTCCAGCATGACAATGACCCAAAACACACGGCCAAGGCAACAAAAGTAGTGGCTCAAGAAGAAGCACATTAGGGTCCTGGAGTGGCCTAGCCAGTCTTCAGACCTTAATCCCATAGAAAATCTGTGGAGGGAGCTGAAGGTTCGAGTTGCCAAACGTCAGCCTCGAAACCTTAATGACTTGGAGAAGATCTGTAAAGAGGAGTGGGACAAAATCCCTCCTGAGATGTGTGCAAACCTGGTGGCTAACTACAAGAAACGTCTGACCTCTGTGATTGCCAACAAGGGTTTTGCCAACAAGTGCTAAGTCATGTTTTGCAGAGGGGTCAAATACTTATTTCCCTCATAAAAATGCAAATCAATTTATAACATTTTTGACATGCGTTTTTCTGGATTTTTGTTGTTGGTATTCTGTCTCTCACTGTTCAAATAAACCTACCATTAAAATTATAGACTGATCATTTCTTTGTCAGTGGGAAAACGTACAAAATCAGCAGGGGATCAAATACTTGTTTCCCTCACTGTACAGGTACATATCTAGGCTGTGTGTTGCAGGATGTCCAACACCAGTTTGAAGCCTCATTAATGATTTTTTCAAAAGATCACGATTGAGCACTATCATTACACTCGTGATATTACTACATTGACGTATTAAAGCGCACGGGAGTCATGTCATCGTGGCATCGCGAAAATGCTATGAGATTAGCATTCATAACATAAGTCAAAACAACGTTTTGGTTTCAATGTTTAAATCTAGATTTAAAACGAATTTCTTTTGAACTGATTTTTGTGTAAATGTGTTGTCCTTCCCCCCCACACCTCCGATAAGCACGGCTGGCTATGATGCGAAAGAAGTTCAACATACATACAAATGATCCAACTCATGTGCAGAACCAGACTTTAATGCGATGGATTTTTTGTTGTTGTTCAGTCCTTTGTGAAAATGCTGAAAACCTATCAACTCTGTACACCTGAGAACACGATTTAATCACAGGTGGGGGGGGGGGGCTGAAACCCGCTTTCAAACCCAGGATGTCAGCAACGCCCGGGCCCAGTGTCATGACCTCCAAGTCACCCGGGTCACCTCGCTGAAAAACATTCGACGAGACGAGGGCAAGCGTTTGGCTCGGCATTTTAGCGCCTTGCACAGTCGCGGGGGGGGGGGGGGGGATCTCGAGTCGACTTACAGAGCCCCCCGTTCAGGGAGTAGAGAGCGGCCAGAGGCCCCGTCATCAGCTGCAGGCAGTTGAGTGGGCGATTCCACTTGCGGTCCTCGTGCATCACGTTCATGACGGGCACCGTAAGAATCAGCAGCAGCTCCACTGGCAGCTGCGGGGGAAAAAGAGACCGTGAGAACTTGTTGCGGAGGGAATAGAGACGGAGATAACTTGTAACAGCAGCAGCAGCAGCGTTAACGAAATTAGTATCGCATGGGAGAGTGATGGCGCGGTGGAATTGGCTCAAACATCCTACTGCGCAGGACCTCCTGAAAATCGGATGAGACTAAGGCTTTCCTGGGTAAGACAGAGGGCACTATTGTGGTGGGGTAAAGTACGAGTACTACTCCCATCTTTTCCAAGACGTATGGCCAGTGTAGAAGAATAGGCCAAAAACACTGGGTGCGAGACCCTTCCGCAAATCTTGATGTGAGCAAGCAATTGCTGGGCCGCACCTTTACCATTAGTTTAACACGTAGGCTTTTGCGATCGTTTTCCATAATAAAGGTTTTTTGGATTAGATTGCGTAAAAATATAAATGTGTCGTTAACCAACCACCACCCGACGCAGCCAATTAGTAAGTTTGTCATGTAAACAAAACTTGCTAATTAGTTACTACTTCAGCACACCCGTGTGTTGAAGATTAAACCCACAACCAGCTGATGAAGCTGGTTATAATCACCAGCGAAACGTCGGACTCAAATTGTAAATGTTGTGGCTTTTTCTCTCCAACACACCAGTGTGCTAAAGAAGTAACTAATTGGCACATTTTGTGACAAACCTAAAAAATTGTCTGTATCGAGTGGTGGCGGCGGCTTAACAACACATTTATATTTTACGCAACCGAACCCAAACAAATGCTTACTACCCTCTCCTATTATTCGGTTACGTGCATGGGTAAGCGGCCGAGCGTCGAAACGGTGAGCGGTAACGCTCAGGGAATGTCTCCCAGCCTCACCACGACGACCTTGAGTAACCTCCAGATGTATCCTCGCCGCCTCCACTCCGCGGGGTCGAGCGGCGACAAAGAAAGCAGGAAGCGGTAGAGCTTCCCTCCGCAGGCCAGCGTGGGGCCCGATGGCACACCCAGCAGTGGCAGGCTCTCGCTCAGGTCCCCCACCACTGCGACGGGTTCAGGGTTCAACTCCGGGTTAGCAATGTCACGGTCGGTCAAAACGTTTCTCTTTATTCTACTTCCCTCCCATGGGCTCGTCTATTTTGCCAAATATTTATAACCCCTTTTCGGTTCAATAATACCGATGCAAACTTTAATAGTGCTATCTGTTGCTGGCTGCTTGGCACCTGTGCTCAGCAACCATAAATTAGATTAATAGCAGTATTGGAACTTTTTCATCATGAGCAGCAGACACTCTCTGTCCACGGATGGATGAAAGCCTCCCCAGGTCGTCGGCATCCCTCATAGTAAAACAGTTTTTATTCTGAGTTGATCACTCAATCTCCGTGGAAGTCGCCCTCTCAGGCATGTGTCATTCCTTTGGTTGCCATTCCTTCCTCGGGAGTCTCGTTAATCTGCTATCACTCCTCCAAGCAACTGTGTCCTGCACAAACCCACACACGTGTTCCTCTTTTTGTCAAGGCCAAGTAACCCCAAGGAAAAGCTGAGGTTTGCCGGGTGTTATAAATATCAAAGAAATGCATTTTGTGCGATAGCGGAAGGTGATGCAATGAATGACTGAAGCAATAACAGATGTGTTTGTTCACTATACAAGATTTGATTAGTGCATGTTCGAATTGTTTTTTTACGCAGTAGGTTCATAGACACCGTGCAGGGTCATGGAGACCACAGAGTCTGTATCACAATGGTACAAATAATCGACTCTTTGAGATTTGATCGCGACTGAATGATGTCAATTAGACTAGTATATTGTATGAGATCGTTAAAAAAATCTCGTGATGTTTTGGCCAATGTACTTTGGTCCTGTCCCATGCTTCTTTGCAATGTCCTTTTTATTTAAGGGGATGATGGCTCATTGTTGACGTGTTCTATGTTTGGACCGGGCAGTGCATCGGCAAACCTTGCTGAATGCTGGCGACACGCCGCCGAGGTTCGTCGTAATCATCGTCGCTGAGGTCAACTAAAGCGGAGGAAAAACATTGCATCGCATCATTACCATCCTTTTGTCAATACACTGCTGAATGAAAGCCTGTCAGTGCTCATAGGGGTCATCGAGCCATACTTCACCACACGAGTCGGTGTGCGATGGTTAAACCTGGGTTGGAAAGAAGTGGAATCGTAGAAGTACAATACAATATTGGATTTTTCTGCACCGCCCTTGACTGCCCACCACTTGGCGCTGCAGCCTGTTTTACATCGTGCTCACCCATCCATGCGTTATCCAGTTTAAATATGCTTAGGTTCTAAGGTTTGACAATCGGGTACATTTTGGGTGATTTGGTCATCGGCCATATTCACCTCGTAATACACCTTTGCTAGAATAATCGTGCAAAACGGACAGTTTTTGGGTGTGTTGCATGAGGAGGAAAACCTATTTGTTTAATTTGCCCCACGCAAATCGATGTCATATGGAGCTGTTCCCTCAGTTGAGGGGGGGGGGGCAGCCACTGGTGGGTGTCATGGTTGTCCAAAACCCCCAATATTTTTTTAGACATGACTTGCAGATGCAACATTGTAACAAAAAATTATTTAGTATTTTTGGAGTCTGCGTTTTTCTCCCTTTCAATAAGGTGACGTAAATGCTGATGATGCTAAACCTTTAAACAGTACACTCGGTACTCATTCAGTATTAGCCAGTAGTTTTGTAGAATTTTGTATAGTTTTAATCTAAGCAGAACTCTTATCTGTGACTAACGGGGCAGGTGGGGCAGAGGCAAACGTCATGATCTGTAATCTGACTAATAATGGGACTGGAACCGTTCACTTTAGTGAAGGACGCTCCTCAACTTCTAGAGTGTGGCTGCACCCATCCTCCCCCGCCCCCTCCGGTGTGCTGCGTGTGGGCGGTGTGCTGCGTGTGGGCGGTGTGCTGCGTGTGGGCGGTGTGCTGCGTGCGGGCGGTGTGCTGCGTGCGGGCGGCGCACATACCAGGCCCCTCGTAATCGGGCAGCGTGCCTTGCGAGAACCACGTGGCTTTCTGCCGCTTGTAAATCCAGCTGCCAATGAGCACCGTCGCGACGTAGCCTCCGTACAGGCCCAGGTACCCTTGTGACGTCGCACAAAGACAACCAAGAACCAACCGATTAGCATGGTTGGCTATGTACGGTGTGAATGAAATTCAACATACATGTGATCAACCCACAAACAAGAAGTCTTAAAGGTCGCTGTGATTACAAAAACAAAAGGCTTGCTTATGACGGAAACAATCCTGGCACAGGTTTTTTTTTTTTACAAGGGATGCGGAGTTCACCACATTAATAGAGCTGTTGTATTTAGCCAGCTTAAGTGTGCCTATTACTGGGTTTCCATTGACAAGTATATGAAATAACGCAACTTATTTGAATCTAAATATCCGTGATTTATTTGAAAACGTTTACTCGGTTACCATTTTCTGAAACGGAACTGTTTATTTTCAGTGTCTGCTATTGGCGTCGTGTGCTGTGATATAAGCGTGTTTTTTGTTACAGTACACATTTACTTGACATGAAGGACCCACACACATCTTTGTCCGGTTTGACAAATAGGATACATGTTGAACCGTCCTATTGACTTGAGTAAACAGCACTTATTCAAATGAAAAAGTGAATTGGAAACCTGGTACGTTGCATACGCGTGGGACGGAGATCGCTATATTGCCATACTTGCGTTTGCTACGATGCAATTTGGATTGATACAGTGTCGCGTCTAAATGTCATGCTGGAAAGAAACGGAGCACAGAAAGCGGGGGGGGGGGGGGGGGGGGGTGGAGTTCCGGGATATGGGGGCAGCAGAGCAGAACGGGCAACGTACCGATTGACTCGCCCATGTTGATGTGACCCCGGTAGAGCACGAAGAACGTCCAGAACACCGCGACCAGGTAGAAGACAAGGTCACGCAGGAACGGGCGCGATGGGATGAAGAAGTGGTCAACCCAGGCCACGCTGCCGGCGACGATTGTCGTCACAAAGATCCCCGCGCCTGGGCACGTGACAACGGGGTCATGCACGGGGTCACACACGGTGGGGGGGGGGGGGCAAGCAAGAAGTCGCAGGGCGTTTGACAATCAAATGTGTGCATGAGGACTCTGACCCCGTCACGTGAAACCGCTCGTTCTGTGCCACCGAGCACGAGGATTAATGTTTCATCTCTTCTGAGATCAAATAACGTTTTTAGTGGCACGAATTGCACTAATTGTTTAGAAATTATGAATGCAAGGACTTTGAACATTATCTTCTGTCTTATAGTATTTTATTGAGAACAACTACTACTATTTTAAACTGTAAGCCACATGATTGCCGCATTTTTCGTACAACACCGGCTTGTTGTTTCCTTTTGCTTGATCATTCGACCGTACGCTGCAATTTTTTCATGCGCAATGTTTTGCATTGTTTTTTTGTGAGCTGTGTCTTATTTTTTAAGAGGCTGTTGGTCTGTGGTGGGCTCTCACCTGGGTTTTAGAAACATGACTACTATTCCTGATGCCACTACGATTTCTGAGCACACGTTGGCGAAGAGACACAGGCGACGATTTCTGAGCACACATTGGCGAAGAGACACAGGCGACGATTTCCGAGCACACGTTGGCGAAGAGACACAGGCGACGATTTCCGAGCACACGTTGGCGAAGAGACACAGGCGGCGCAGCCCGAGAAGACGCTGGCCTCGCGTTTTCACGGTTGTCCACAAATCACAGACGCACGTACCGAGCAGGGCCCCGATAGCCAGGCCACCCGTGCGGGGGTCGGAGAAGGCGGCCACGGCGCTGAAGACATCCGGGGCGCCATTGCCAAATGCCAGCAGCGTCACGCCGTGCACCGAGAGGGCTGTCAAGGAACACTTCGATTGTCGCGCGCGGCACACGCAAGCCCACGGACTGAGACCAAGCGACACCTTATGTAACAAACCACCGTTTTCTCAAAAACCTGATCTAGCACACGCATATCATTAAAATTATGCCAGCAGATACTTATTCTTGAAAGCTTAAGACAGTGATAAAGAGAACCGACAAATTAGTCCAGGGTAAATTTATCGCAAATTACCCACAAGTTTGAACTGCGATTTAAACAATGGAGATGGTATGTATGTTTTTGAAACGCTGTCGTTTCATCGAATGTGTTTCAAATTAATTTAGCTACCAAGACACTGCTAATTATTTTGTTTGAAAGGAAAAGGTTAGGGTGCAAGTTTCTTTTTATGTTCTAGAATCCATTTCAGTATTGCAGTAAGACCTTTAATTTTCTTCAGAGCTTAGAAGAAACCAAACTAGCAAGACAAATTCTATTCAAAAGACAGGAATGTTGCATTGTTCCACTGGACATTGATGTTCCAGGACCACAATTAAGAAATTAATTGAGACTAAACAACTTGGTGTCCCTGGTATGGAGACGAAAAGATAGCATCAGCCATGCAGACATGTCCCCCCAGATCGGAATGAATCCAATTCAAAAGCGCAATTCAGCTGAATTGGTTAATTCCCAGCCTGAACTTCTGCCAACTTCCCTTGCAACAACAACGGCATGGGGTGGCAAGGGGGGTAGACTGATGCTTGCTGGGTGGGCGAGGGAAGATAAAACAGCCGTTAGAATTTTAACTTGCGAAACTGATGTGTGGGGACTCCCATCACGTGTTTATTCACAAACAAGCCTGACACAACAGGGCGCCTGTAAAGGAATGTGGACTGCCCGTCAAATCCGGACTAAAGGAGAAATGAACGTGGACGCTCCCAACCGTCGGCATGGATTCACTGTACACGCTGTTGCTTTTAATCTCCTGGCCAGAGTCGCATTCCCACAATGTGATATTCGTGGTCAGTGATTTACAAAAAGGGGTTTTATGGCTTTTAGTTTTTGCACTGGGGTATTGTCCCCTCCACCCCCTCCCCCCCACTACGGAGAGGGCCCGCAGGCCGTTCCCGCTTGCGCGCGTCTCCAGTTTACCAGCGGCAGATTCCCTATCGGAGACCTATGTGGAAATACACCCAGCCCCATGCCAAATAAAGCCAAAGGCCCTGCCGCTCGCCGATATTAACGCGCACACTCGCAGGAAAAAGGATATTGCCACGTTGTGGCTGAGATGCAAGGAGTGCGAGATGGACTCCAGGGCCGGGCAGAAGCTGCAGGAGAGAGATGCACGTCGATTTTAAAATAAATTTTTAGGAAAAGCAACGCAGCGTTAATTTGAATTGTACTCTCGAATATGAATGAGTTGTTGATTGAAACGTTTACGAATGAAACTTTGCCTTGTACCAAGTCGCCCTGGACACACCAAATCTCATCGGATCCCGGAAGCAGAGTTGAGTCTGCATAGTACTTGGACGAGAGGCTGCCTGGGAATACCAGATTTAGGCTGAGAGGTAACCAGATGTTGCCACAGCAATGCTTTCTTGCATCTATCTGTGCAAAGCTTTGAGTGTTTTCCCCTTGTATAAATGGGTTTCTTCCTACATCGGCCAAACATCCTAATGCAGGACTCTCTTCAGTCTCCGCTTATCCTGTTTAAACATTGGGCATAATAATTATATATATATTTTTTATCAGGTCGATTCGAACTTTGCAAGGGAGACTGAGGAGCTAGCTGATTCACGGCATGCCCACGTATGCACTGTATGTAGAACTTCTTTCGCACCCAACGTAGCCAACCGTGCTAATCGGAGGTGCAAGGACAACAAACTAATCAATGTTGACTTAATGGGATAAGCAAGCCTGCTAATGAACAGTCAGATGGGTAGGGTTAATGAACCCTGGCCTCTGATGAGACAGAGTTCAAACAAATCCAGAACTTGGTTGTATTGAATCAATGCTGCTGAAATTGTGCACTCCCAGAAGGCCGATTGGGTGTAAAAAAAAAAATTATGTGTGGAGAGGGATATGTGAAGGAGACATTGTTAGCTCATTTTTATTTTTTAGATTCCACCCACAACAAGTGATATCCGAATCAGTCCTGGGGTCCCTCCTTCACCAAACCGCAATGACCAGCATAGCGAAGTATGGTCAATTAACCCCCACGAACCACATGCCGTGGAGAGGCCTTCATCCAGCAGTAGATTAACAAAAGGCTGCACAATACACACAAGGTGATTTCTAGACCGCAAAACGTGGCAATTGTGAGCACGGGCTCAGTCCTCCCATCACGCTTCACGTATCACGTCACAGTACTGTATCAAATATATTATTTTATTAGTTATATTCTCCAAAACCATGCGAATGAGCATTTTGAGTTTTAAAATGAGGGTGGTCGCATCATTGGTAAATCTATACTCTCCTAACAGAGTAAAATCTTGATTTGAAGCTTTCATGACTACAGGAATCCATACTCTTTGGCTCTTTCGGTAAAGTCACGTAAGAGGTTTTATTTTATTTTTCTACCCACGTGACTTTACCGAAAGAACCAAAGAGTAATAGAGTAACATTATTTTACTATCACCGTCCCGGAATTGAGATGCTAATCCACCCCTTGGCAATGGTTAATCCAACTCGGTGGCTGTGTGACGGAAAGGCTGAGAACTATTTGGTTTGTTGTGGGAAAGGTTGATTAAACACAAAGGCATGGTCAGCTTAGTCCAGTTTAGCCAATTTGTCAATCCACTGCTGGAGGAAGGCCTCCACATGCAACATCAGTCAGAGGTGTGTGCCAACCATATTACATCACAGCTGGTCAGTGTGGGTTCATGGATTGCGTTGGCCAAGACCAGTTCGGATACCACTCGCAACTGCTATTACCCATAAATGGGAACTGATCTCGAGTAGTTGGCGTCATAGCCAGCCCAATACGATGCACAGTGGAACCGTTATATTACACGTTTACGACAGTTTCAAAATAACATGCAAAAGTCAGTGCCACGAGCGAATTGTCACGCTGAAGCGACTCGTTTCAGTGGCTATGGTCAGAGAGAGGGGGGGGGGGATTGCAAACGGTAGTTAAAAGGAGCCATCTGCAGCGGCACATTAGACCCGGGGGGGGGGGGGGGCAGGGCAGGGTGGCTTCTCATTGCCATTACCCGAGTGGCATTGGGCCACGGAGAGACGACAATGCCACGTCTGTAATATCCATATGAATAACTGTTACAGCAGAGTGCCGGGGCTAAGCCGACTCACAAGTTTTCGGCGGTCGTAGACGTGGCGACGAACAGCACGAGCAGCCACAAGCCCTGTGCGAGACGGAGGAAATGGAAATCGCAAGCAGATTTTACACTTAAACGGAAGGAACTTTGCACACTTGCGTCAGGTGCCCGGCTTGCTCTAGTTTATCATTGTGAAGTGAGAAGGCAGGCATTCACGTGAGTCGCATGCCGTTGGAAAGACAACTAGTCTACCACAAGTGATGTAACTGCCTTTTTGGCTTAAGAACACATTCCTGCGGAGGGAGCTGGTAGGAACGTTGGGTTGCTCGGTCAATGGCCAGGGTCAACGGCGGCGTGGTGTATTCCGCAAATATGCCCAACTGTGAGTGTGGGCACAAGCCGGCGTGAGTAGGTTAAACGTTGAGTTTTATAAGGGCACCACGGGGTGATCAGCCCCTCCCCACCCAGGCCCACCCCTCCCACCCTCCCCACCCAGCCCCACCCTCCCCACCCAACCCCACCCTCCCCACCCAGCCCCACCCTCCCCACCCAGCCCCACCCTCCCCACCCAGCCCCACCCTCCCCACCCAGCCCCACCCTCCCCACCCAGCCCCACCCTCCCCACCCAGCCCCACCCTCCCCACCCAGCCCCACCCTCCCCACCCAGCCCCACCCTCCCCACCCAGCCCCACCCAGCCCCACCCTCCCCACCCAGCCCCACCCTCCCCACCCAGCCCCACCCTCCCCACCCAGCCCCACCCTCCCCACCCAGCCCCACCCTCCCCATCCACACCCACCCTCCCCACCCAGCCCCTCTCCACCCAGCCCCACCCTCCCCATTTTTGGATGCACAACGGACGGACACAATAATCCCCTGTGGGCTGGTGTAACCAGAGGTTCCTACCAGTATAAGAATTGATGGCCTGTGGTATTCATTATATGCAGTAATGTTACTGTATAATAGGGACGGGATGAGCATTGTCGCTTTATTGCTGGCGTAACGGTTTGGAAGATTTGGCAGGCGTTTAATGTGAGGGCTTACCCATACAGATCCCACCAAAATGTGGGCACTGTAACCGCTGTAATGCGTGAGAGTATAGTACAATTTTACCAATTCACTGACAACACAACATCTTTGCTCACAAGATGTACGAGTACTGTAACCTGACAAAAAAACATTCTTAAGCGGTTTCCCACGTAGACAAGCATCGGGAGGCACCTATCTCACGTTTACAGCCCTAAGCTGGTGCTCGAAATTCCACATTCCTATGGCGGCAGGCCCAACTGTATTAAATGTACTGACCCTGGAGTAAAAAGTAGCTGAGAGGGCAACATCCAGAAATACAACACACATTTCTGATTGCAAGCTGCCGCGCCGCTCTAAACGTTGTGCCACCGGACCACATACTTTTACACCATTGGACAAAAACGAAAAAACGGGAACACTCGCAAGACACTTGTGGTTATTGCGGGGGGGGGGGGGGGGCGGGGACGGCCTCACGTAGAGTGTCATGGGCAGCGGCAGCATGCGAGCCGGGAAGTTGCAGAAGGCGATGTGCACGTAGTCGAAGTACCCATCGTGGATCTTGCAGTCGGGCGTGCTGTTGACAAAGTGGCATCGCTCCGACACGTTGATGCTCCGGTAGTCGCGGCACTGCAATGACGACGGCACGCAGAGGAGAGGTTCAGAACAATATTTATGCTGGAGGAATCCGATGAGCAACAAGCTCTTTTTCGCAGATGTCCAGTTGTTACAACAGCGATTGCCGGCAGAAATCTCAAGGAGTCTCCCTGCCTGAAAATAATATGATTGCATGGTTTGGATGATACGGTTTTCTGATGGTTAGTGCATTGGACTTGCAATCTAGAGGTCGATGGTCCGATCTACCGGCGTAGCAGTTGATAAACAATGGGCAATTTCCTTATATCTCCCCCCCCCCACTTCTGTCCAGCCAGCAGTATAAATGGGTACACCGCCGGTCAGTCGATCGATTGGCAGGTCACGTGTGATGGGGTGAAGTGTAAGTACTCCCACCCTTTGTAAGATACCTGCCCAGGGTGAAATGGTACGAAAAAGTTAATCAAATAGCCTCTAGAGAGGCTCTCCAAAGCTTCCTCCAGTGGACGGCCTTCCTACCAGCAGTGGCGTGAGAAAGCAATTGCAGGGCTGCCCCTTTTTACCCTTGCAGCTCCCAAAGCACGAGATGTATGCTGCAGTTTTGTGTTGCGCAAACCCTTAAATATAACGTGCAATCTCCCCCTTGCCTGCCGCCGAAGGCCATTTATTTATTTATCTTTACCTGCTTATAATACACCCAATACTGCTGCCACTTTAATAAATACAGCACGTGTTTTTTGTTCATTTCACAATTGTTGCATCGCGAGAATGCGAGGGATGGCGATGGCTTGTGGAGGCCTTCATCCAGCAGTGGATATATCAAGGCTGATGATTATGACGGTGGTGGTGGAGGACATTTTCAAGTCTTCGATGCTTTTGTGAACGAAAATTTTATTTTTTTACAAATTATATACTTGCCTGCTGCCGAAGGCCGTTTATTTATTTATCTTTACCTGCTTATAATACACCCAATACTGCTGCCACTTTAATAAATACAGCACGTGTTTTTTGTTCATTTCACAATTGTTGCATCGCGAGAATGCGAGGGATGGCGATGGCTTGTGGAGGCCTTCATCCAGCAGTGGATACATCAAGGCTGATGATTATGACGGTGGTGGTGGAGGACATTTTCAAGTCTTCGATGCTTTTGTGAACGAAAATTTTATTTTTTTACAAATTATATACTTAGTCCTCACAATATATTGAGATGTTGACATGCTACCTCACCGAGATGACACAGTTGCAATTTAGTTGAATAGAACATATGCAGACGTAAGCACATTGAGTAAAACATTTGGAAAAAAAACCCCTCGTTTTTCAATGCACACTTTTATTTGCACTGACAAGTAGAAAATACGATTATTTTGACCCCATGCAAGTAAGCAGCCTTTTGGCGTCATCTGGTCGAGCACCAATTGGGTCGAGGCTCAAAAGAAGCCGTCCCTTGGTGTGGACCAATCAGTTTTAAGGACAATGCATATATTATCATAGTATATTTTTTGTTTGCATTTTGACTGCAGGTATTGTGGTTAATGCAGACATGAATCCTTGTAAAAAGGTTTTAGTTTTGTTGCCAGAAAAAAAGGGGAAAACCCTATTATTATATTTTGGTACTGGCAAAGGAGGTCTAATTATGTAGATGCTCACCCCGAGCCCTCATTACTTTGATAGTGCATTGTCTTTGAGTTGTACGCCTTTTGGCGTCATCTGGTCGAGCACCAATTGGGTCGAGGTTGTAACTTGTTTGCAAATTTTCGGTGTAACCTGATTATCACTCCCAGAACTGCAGAAGTTTTGTTTAAATGTAATGTTTCTTGGGAAACGGTGTTTTACCACTGGCACTTTTTATGCCTTATCATGCACTTATATTTATTCCTTAATTGGTTAAAAAATCTCAAAGATGAATTATATTTTTGAAATTATGTAATTTTTTTCCCTTCTTTAAATGTATTCATTTGTATTATTCATTTATTTTCTCTTATGTTTTATCTCTGTCACGGAAACGGTGTGGTTTTTATTGATGAAACACGACTTAAGAGCTTCTTGGCTCACAGGGTACTTCAATATAAACTTAACTGAAGAGTTTGTTCGTGTAAATCACGGACGTGGAGTATTTGGGAGGACCGTTCACTGGTCAAATACTTTATCAAAGCAGGAAATAGACCCAGTGCCATGCATTATAGGACACTGACTGTAGCGTTGATGCACCAGCAGTGTATAAACTAAAGTTTGAATGGGGTAAGACATTTATTGAAGATGACCCTCGCTCGGGACACTGTGGAAGCAACAAACCCAGAAAGGTATAAAAAAAATTGAATCTGGTTCAGAAAGATGGATTTATTTTTATTTTTCAAATGGCTCGCAAATGAGGAATGTGAGAACCAATTCCTCATCCTGTGGCTATGATCTTTCCAGCTAATGGTTGCACCCACGATGGGGTTTTTTTTGTCGATGGAGAATGTTGGTGCTTCCGACTCCGATTGATAAATCCTGGTTTCTTCTCCAGGAAAGATTTATGAAAGAAAAAGTTGCGGATTTAGTTCAAACAGCTGATAAAATTAAAACTCCGATTTGATTTTTAACCGGAATTGGCACACTGAGCACCTAACTAGAACTGACCCTGAGACATCTACAGGGAGCGATATAAACATAAAAAGTATGACAACGGTGACAGTCACTCCATAGCCCTATGCACAGTTCCTCCACGTGATACTTTGTGAAATTAATTGTCTACGCACTCTGCCTCCATTGGGCATAAAAGTGAGAAAGGGGTTCGCGTTAACATGATAAACGAGTGTTGACATAGGGTACACAGATATATAAACGGTACCTGTACAGCACCTTTAACACGAAGGCTTTTGCGACCAATATCATCCATATTTTTTTTGGGGTTAGAAATGCCAATTGTCCACGTTCTGTTTACGTGACAACCCCAACTAGTTGACTGTCGGGTGGTGGCGGGTTTCACAACACATTTATATATTTACGCGATCCAACCCCCCCAAAAAAACTCTTATAGATGTACAGTACCTGTTTACATAACTGGCTACGTACGGTTGCGAAAGAAGTTCAACATGCATACATACCCGCTTTAAAATATAAATAATTTTCCCACTTTAACAAATGACAGCCACACTTCACGGGACCTCTCGGGTGAATTTTCACTTCAAACTATACTTTTTTTTTAATATGGAGCTGTTTAATAACAACAGCTAATAGAGATATATAAGCGCCAAAACTGCACGTGTATTTACTTTCCAGAAATGCAAGGCTGTCGAGGGCCCTGCCAAGTGGTGATGATTTTGTAATTTGCAAGCGGTGTTTGTGACTGGAGGCAGAATTAAATGGACGTTCGTTGTGCTACTCAACCTCCAAGTTGTCGTCATTGCTCATCATAAATGTGTTACCATGTGGATTTGTCCCATTATCTGAAACGGTGGAAAATCCATCCTATCCCCATTTATCTGTGATGGGCTGCAGAAAATGCGAAACTCATCCTGTTATCCATGTGTATTCAAGATTAAAGTGAGTCACCCAGAAGTGTTTTCCCCCAGAAACACCAACTTAAGGGCTTTATCCAATACTATTTCAATTAATAAGACATCGTATTAGCCATGCTTATCTGTGGATAACTGCACAGATATCAGGAGTTACTTTCCAGGAGAAGAGACGCAAGACAACAGGACCCGCCCATGACCACACAACCCAGATTGAATGGACCTTATCTCGTCAGATCTCAAAAGCTAATCAGACGCTGATCCTAGAGAGTGTGTGCGAGATAGGTTCTTCTTATTCCTGCACATGGCATTACGTTCAGAAGCTAAATGCAAATGTTGAGGCCTGCTAGCCACGAGAGGGCTTCAATGAAAGAGTTTGTCGAGTTTTTGCTCTTTTCTCAATTTCAGGAGCGCAGACTGCACAGTGGCATTATTACTGCGGCTTGTCTTTAATTTTTGAAATGCTGAATGAGATGTGCACATCGGCCTGTTGATGTTTTGATGCCGTTCATGGTACTGTACACCAGTGTCTTCGAGGAATGTCAAAGCCAGGAGGTGACCCACCACTAGATAGGTAACCACCGTGCATGCCAGGTTTGCCATAGGCAGCTTTCGTGGCTGTTACTACATGGTAGCAGAAGACGGTGCAGCAAAATCCATTATTGTACTCTACTTCTATGCACCACATCTATCTTTGCCGTCTTCACAAACCACACTGCCCAGCGTGGTGAAGTAAGATCAAACAATCTACACGGTGTGGATAATCCAGCAGTAGATTCGTAAAATGGCTCTACGAGTACAACAGGACCCTCCAACAAATCCCACCAGTATCACTGCGGATACCAGGAGTATTAGTAAACTTGTAGTTTAATCATATTCTGGCAGGGTGATAAGCAACGATATATAAATGCGAGGATGGCGAGTCTACAGATAGTGTGAATGTCTCGAGATGCAGCGAGAAAACACCAGAAGCGGGCATTGTTGGATCGCTCGCTATGGTCAGTGCTATGCTACTTAACAATGTAACACAGTGAGATGGAAACACAACTATACTTATAGCAATTGTGGCCAGAATTTACTGTCAATTGATTGTAAATCTACCACCAATGGATATTTATTAGCAGAACGTTGGTGGGGTGAAGAGTAGCAGAACGACAAGGAAACGCTTTCCTGCGTAGAAATAAAAACTAAAAAAATGTTTGCCAGCCAACTTCTGCACAGCTATGTGGTACTAAAGTGGCCGCAACACGTGCATAAAATAAAGCGTGGCTTGTAGGACTCTTCCCTTTACTCGGCAGGAAACAGCGGAGTAAGATCAATTCCTCTGTGTTATCAGAATCAGAATATTTATATTCTTGGTTCTTTCGGTAAAGTCACGTAGAAGGGAAACAATAAAATATTAAAAATATTTTATTGAAGGGAAACAAAATAGTAAGAATATATTATTGTTTCTCTTCTACGTGACTTTACCGAAAGAACCAAGAATATGAATCCCTGCAGTCACGAAAGCTTTAACTCAGAATATTTATGTTGGAGGAATCAGATGAGCTGTAAAGCTCTTCTTTTTCCTGGAAACAAAAACTCAATCCAGTAAGAGTGATTGAACAAAACGTAAGTGTGATACTGGCCCACAAGGACAAAGCAATAAGTTAACACGTTTGTCAATAACACTGCCCTGAAAATGTAAATGTACACTGTAATATTCCACATCTCTCTGATATGAATAAGAGCCAGAGCACAAAATGTCACCTATGGGAAATGTTTCCCATTTAGGGCAGTAATAGGGATGATGGCTTTGAAGCACCATCGGATAAAGGCACTTACAGGTGTAATGGGAGAGTGGGAAACACCACGGAGGGTTATCTTGTTATTTTCTCTCACAGCTTGGGATAATTTGATATTTTAAGCTTGGATATAGATGTGAGGTTACAAGGTATTTAAAAAGCATCTCAAGATGCTTTTTTTTTAAATGGTGAGTCAGAGATTGTGTTGGAACCGCTTTTTGCTAGCATGTTAAGAATTGCATTTACTACAGAGTAAATAATTACACTTTGTACAAAACCCTTTAACCTTCTTTCACTCCCCCCCTTATTTTCCCCTTGTTCTGTTGTTGGGATTCATTAGCCTTAGGTTTCTAAACCACCTGTTGTGAGTCGATCTGCTGATTAAAGAGACTAATCCGTGCATGTCCATGCGTGTGGCCAAAACAATGTCCATGACCTGCTGTTGATACTATATTAACACTTCAAAGGGAAACAAGAGACAAATGGTAATTTGGCCTCACAAAGGGAATGGTCATTTATCCGTACAATGGCATTTCTGGGACAGGAGCAGAAACAGTGGAAATCTGGGACAGCAAATAAATGTTCAGTGGTTTGTGCCTTGCTAACAAAAAAAGGTTAAATATGAAACGGACCGTGAACAGTGGTGCCGAAACAGATTCTGTATAACAACATCACCATAATCGGTCGCCCTCTTGTGTTGCTCCCGAAACGTCGTGATTTATTTTCTACCTACGTGACTTTACCGAAAGAACCAAAGAGTATGGATTCCTGCAGTCACGAAAGCTTCAAATCAAGATTTAACATTGCCATACTCATCCGATTAGCAAGGTTGGCTATGTACGGTGCGAAAAGAACATACATTTTGGAAAAATAAAATGTTAGTCCATCAACCTATTGGCCTTCTGGACCAATGTTTTCCAACAGCAATTTAACTTTCGACTGGGTTCAACTGTCTTGAGTCGTATCAGCAGACTCAGATCAGGTGACAAAATGCCACTGGTTTTCCTGATGTTGTATACAAATGTTAGTTCTGAGACAACTGAACAATTATTGTCCGACCATTTTTCAGAAACGCGCACAAAAACCCTGCACGATACGAATTTCAGCATTGAAATATCGTGGGACAAATTTGCGGGCTTCAAGTAATGTGCTCAAACACGTGTATGTGATCAGCATGTGCAGCACCACCAACACTGCCCAGCTTCCACTTGTCAATGAAAATTGGGCAAGTTTGCACAAAACCACGCAAGATCCCCAAATGGAAGATAACACTGTGTGCAACTGTTGCTACTACACACCAAACCGTGGACCAAATAAAACTTCCCCAAATATACACTTGTGCAGGCGATGTATCTGAAATTCACCAACTTTCAGACGAAGCAATTGAGCGACTTAAATGGCTTACAAGTAAAACGCCTCTAATAGTTGTTCAGTGGTCGTAAGGTACGAAATAAGAGGCACATGGATATTTCCGCCAGTAGCCCATCTTCAAGGAATTTTCTTGACAATATTTTGTAACATCTCTTTTGTAAATCCACTACTAGAAGGGCCTTCCCCTGCCTTGTTGGTCATGGGTGTTGTTTGACCATACTTCACCACTATGGTCAGTGCAGACATCTGTGAAAAATAGCTTTTGTTTTGGGGGGGGGGGTGTTGAGACTCAATGTGGGTTGTTTGAAGAGAGGGCATTCTGATTCACATGGCAGTGGCAGCTTCCGCGGATCTCTATAAACAAACGACTATGGGACTAAAGTTCACCCAGATTACCAGAGTTTGGCTGACCCATTGCCTACAGGTGTTTTTTTTTATCATGTGCACGTGAAGGTGAAACGCCACTCACTGATCAACAACGTGAAACACCACTCACTGATCAACAACGTGAAGGTGAAACGCCACTCACTTATCAACAACGTGAAGGTGAAACACCACTCTACAACAACGTGAAACACCACTCACTGATCAACAACGTGAAGGTGAAACACCACTCACTGATCAACAACGTGAAACACCACTCACTGATCAACAACGTGAAACACCACTCACTGATCAACAACGTGAAACACCACTCACTTATCAACAACGTGAAGGTGAAACACCACTCATCAACAACGTGAAACACCACTCACTGATCAACAACGTGAAACACCACTCACTGATCAACAACGTGAAGGTGAAACACCACTCACTGATCAACAACGTGAAACACCACTCACTGATCAACAACGTGAAGGTGAAACACCACTCAACAACGTGAAACACCACTCACTGATCAACAACGTGAAGGTGAAACGCCACTCACTGATCAACAACGTGAAGGTGAAGCACCACTCACTGATCAACAACGTGAAGGTGAAACGCCACTCACTGATCAACAACGTGAAACACCACTCACTGATCAACAACGTGAAGGTGAAGCACCACTCACTGATCAACAACGTGAAGGTGAAGCACCACTCACTGATCAACAACGTGAAGGTGAAACGCCACTCACTGATCAACAACGTGAAGGTGAAACACCACTCACTGATCAACAACGTGAAGGTGAAGCACCACTCACTGATCAACAACGTGAAGGTGAAGCACCACTCACTGATCAACAACGTGAAGGTGAAACGTCACTCACTGATCAACAACGTGAAGGTGAAACGCCACTCACTGATCAACAACGTGAAGGTGAAGCACCACTCACTGATCAACAACGTGAAGGTGAAGCACCACTCACTGATCAACAACGTGAAGGTGAAACACCACTCACTGATCAACAACGTGAAGGTGAAGCACCACTCACTGATCAACAACGTGAAGGTGAAGCACCACTCACTGATCAACAACGTGAAGGTGAAACGTCACTCACTGATCAACAACGTGAAGGTGAAACGCCACTCACTGATCAACAACGTGAAGGTGAAACACCACTCACTGATCAACAACGTGAAACACCACTCACTGATCAACAACGTGAAACACCACTCACTGATCAACAACGTGAAGGTGAAACACCACTCTACAACAACGTGAAACACCACTCACTGATCGATGAGTCTCGAGACCTTCTTGAAGTTCTCGAAACTCGTCGATACATCGGAATGTTCGGAGGTGTAAATCCGTTCACGGAAATGTTTGTCTTGTGAGGAGGAAGCAGGAGATCACTAAGAAAACCCAACTCTTCGTGCACGTGAGGGGTGGGTGATGCAACTATTAAAAAAAACGATTAAGTCGTCTTAATTTTACAAGGTAAAAAGACCCACTTCGCAAATGATAAGCTCAACTATAGTGGCTTATCATCACCACCACCATCATCATCACCACCATCATCATCACCACCACCATTATCATCATCATCACCACCATCATCATCATCACCACCATCATCATCACCACCACCATCATCATCACCACCACCATCATCATCACCACCACCATCATCACTACCATCATCATCACCACCATCATTATCACCACCACCACCATCATCACCACCATCATCATCACATCACCACCATCACCACCACCATCATCATCACCACCATCATCATTACCACCACCACATCACCACCACCACCATCATCACCACCACCATCATCACCACCATCATCATCATCACCACCATCATCATCACCATCATTACCACCATCATCATCACCACCACCATCATCACCACCACCATCATCACCACCACCACCATCATCATCACCAGCATCACCACCACCATCACCACCACCATCATCATCACCACCACCATCACCAACACCATCGTGTGAATGTACAGCAGCTAACTAAGTCTTTAAACGCGTGATGTTGAGGACCTCCTCCTTGCACCACCAGGCGAAGAAGGGAGCGAACATCTCGCGCGCTCAACGCTCAAAAAGCTCCGCACAGACAGATTCAAGAATCCACCACGACGACTACTAGTACTACTACTACTACGCCTAGTACTACTACTAGTACTACGACTACTAGTACTACTACAACCTCTCTCACCTCCGATGTCGATGATGAATGAGGATCGGGGGCGCTGTCGCGACGTTCCGACGACGCCTCGGACCCCACCACCATCATCACCAACAACATCACCACCACAGCGAGTCGGCTCGTACCCACCACCACCACCGGCGGCGGCGGGGACATTATCCTCGTGGTCAAGAAAATAATAACAACAAATAAAACAGCAAATAATAACAATAACCTTGCCCTGCGAGCGTGTAGCGAGCGCGGCCCCACTAATGCAGACGGTGCTGCCCAGGGCTAGAATGTAGCGCTGGTAAACGCCGGCAAGTGTCCTCGTGTTGTGCCATATTCACACCGACGACCCATTTAAATTGAAGCGGCTGTGGGGTTTTAAACGCAAACAAACCCCATTAGTAATAATAATAACAACCACAGCCGGTGGTAGCTAAGAGTGCCTTTAAAAAAAGAAAAAAAATCTGTCGTATTTGTTGCCAGTCGTCTGTAATACTACTCGCTCATCGATGTGTTTTTTTTATTTAGTTATCTCTGTGTGTCTCTGTGTGTCTCTCTCTGTGTCTGTGTCTCTCTGTGTCTCTGTGTGTCTGTGTCTCTCTGTGTCTGTGTCTCTCTGTGTCTGTGTCTCTCTCTGTCTCTCTCTCTGTGTCTGTCTCTCTGTGTGTCTCTCTGTGTCTCTGTCTGTGTCTCTCTGTGTGTCTGTGTCTCTATCTGTGTCTCTGTCTGTCTCTCTGTGTGTCTGTCTCTCTGTGTCTCTGTCTCTCTGTCTCTCTGTCTCTCTGTCTCTCTGTGTGTCTGTGTCTCTCTCTGTGTGTCTGTGTGTCTGTGTCTGTCTGTGTGTCTGTGTCTCTCTGTGTCTCTGTGTCAATCTGTGTGTCTGTGTCTCTCTGTCTGTGTGTCTGTGTCTCTCTGTGTCTGTCTGTGTCTCTCTGTGTTTGTGTGTCTCTCTGTGTGTCTCTGTCTCTGTGTCTGTCTGTCTCTCTGTGTGTCTGTGTCTCTCTACGGCTGCGACTTCGCGCCCCGTGGTGCTGCGTGATGCTGCGTCCTCCTCGCAGACCCCAGGGGGAGTGCGTGGAGGATCGGGGGGGGGGTGGTGGTGGGGGGTGTTGGTGTTGGTGGTGTTGGGTGTTGTTGTTGGTGGGTGATGTTGTTGGTGGTGTGTTGGTGTTGTTGTTGGTGGTGGTGTTGTTGGTGGTGGGGGGTGGTGGTGTTGGTGGTGGTGGGGGGTGGTGTTTTTGGTGGTGGTGGGTGGTGTTGTTGGTGTTGGTGTAAAGACAAAGGTCCCCCGTGTAGCCGTGTAGAGCTGTCGAGGGGGACAAGTGCCGTTCGATTCGAGCAGCGACTCCGCGGCGGCCAACAACCGCGCCCGGCCGCCTTTGTCTCCCCGCGGTGGGGCGACGTTTTACAACCGACACCTACCCCAGGTACTCGTTTTAGCGCTGAGTCGACCTAGGAGAGGGATCGAACTGGGGTCGCAGGGGGTTCGTAGCGAAATAGCCGACTGGGTGGTTCATCACTCATCGTGTATCGGTTATCACGACGGCGTTCGATTTTATTGTTTAATTATCATCACCACTTAACCACCACCAACAACAACCACCAACAACAACCACCAACAACAACAACCACCACCAACAACCATCGTCCAAATCAATTAATTAAACTACGGACGAGACCTCGTTCGCTACCCGCGCCGTGCGTTCACATGTATGCACTGTATGTATCATCACAACTGGTTGGGTGAGATTTTTAGTTTTTTATTACCACAACCACCAAGCAATATTTCTTGTCATCATCATCGTCGTCGTCGTTAACATCGTGGGCGAGTGGAAGGGATCAATCTTATTTTCTTCGTGCCATCATCATCATCATCGTGTCACTGGCTTGATGTTTGTTGTTGTTATTATTGTTGTTGTCTTGTGGAACCGGGTTAATGTGGATACACACTCGCAGCACTTTGCACGACGATCCAGTTGAGTAACATGAACCACTCGTACACGAAGTCTCTCTGTTTAGTGGACACACACACATTGCTACAGCCCCACGTCTCTCTGTGTACAAACAAAACACACACACAGGGAGAGAGACGTGTGTGGGTGTACTTGCTGTACACAAACACGTGTGGTCACTTCAAGTGTAGGCGCTTGCTAACACTACTTGCCCATACCACCACCACCACTTAGATAGGGGAAAACCTTTGTAAGAGCAATGTCTGTGTACAATTGTGTGTGGTGTTGTGGTGTGCGGTGTGGTGGTGGTGTGTGGTGGTGTGTGGTGGTGTGGTGTCTGATAGTGTGTTGTGTGGTGGTGTGTTGTGTGGTGGTGTGTGGTGGTGGTGTGTGGCGGTGTTGTGTGGTGGTGGTGTGTTGTGGTGGTGTGGTGTGTGGTGGTGGTGTGGTGGTGTTGTGGTGTAGTGGTGTGTTGTGGTGTGGTGGTGGTGTGTGGTGGTGTGGTGTGTGGTGGTGGTGTGGTGTGTGGTGGTGGTGTGGTGTGTGGTGGTGTGGTGGTGGTGTGTGGTGGTGTTGTGGTGTGGTGTGTGGTGGTGTGGTGTAGTGGTGTTGTGGTGTAGTGGGGTGTTGTGGTGTGGTGGTGGTGTGTTGTGTGGTGGTGTGGGGGAGCGGTGGCGCAGTGGTTTGGCCTCCATGTGCTCGTGACGAAGTTGCGCAAATTCTCGTCCATCGGTGGCAGAGTTTAAATCCGAACCGGTCCCTGTAACCACCCTAACGTTAGTTTAACACACAGTAAGTAATAAAGTATTAAAGCTTTCGTGACTGCATAAAATTACTCAGTAAGTAGTTGTAGGCTTTCCCGACCGATATCATCCATAATACAGAGAGGGTTTAAAAAAAATGGGTTAAATCGCGTGTAGATATATAAATGCGTGTCGTGAAACCCGCCACCACCCGACACAGCAACATTGGTATGGTTTAGTGTCACGTAAACAGGACGTGGCCAATTCGTTACTGGTAACAACAACAACACCGGTTGTGTGTTGTAGAGCCACCATAACGTGGCCAACACGTGGCGAACGGCACAATAGAAAACCTATTGTTAATGGGATGTTAATGACCGTATAAGTATTAATGAACGGTTATTATTGTATGTACGTTGAAACTTCTTTCGCACCGTACGTAGCCGCCCGTGTACATATCACGGTATGTATATGTACTCTGTACATTGTGTACAGTACGCACACTGTGCACAGTATGTGTGCACAGTATATATACAGTATAGACATAATGTAGACGTATATATACTGTCTACATTATGTTACAGCGTTATACAGTGTACACGCACTGTGCAAACATTGTACAGTATGCATGTATGCTGCGCAGAGTATGTACCGCGCACAGTACGTACTGTACGCAGCACACGCACACTGTACGAAGCGGATAACACTACACAGCATATGTATACTGTACATAGTGCGTATACTGTACACAGTATATACCGTTGCACAACGTATACTGTGCACAATGCATACTGCGCATTTATATACTACAGTACGTACAGTCCGTGTTTATACAGTGTATATTTTGAAAAGTTGTTTTGTTTTGGCCATGTTTTTGTTTATTGTAGTACGGAGTGAGACTGATGGCCTTAATCTTAGTTGTCTTGTGGTTGTTGTTGTTGTTGACTTGCATCCCACTGGGATTTTTGCACACAGCGTTGGTGTACGGTGCTATTTCAGGAATATTTTGATATTTCTTTCCTGTATTTTCTGTTTGCACAGTCACATAGTCACTTTAAGATGTTTTCTTGTTCGTGTTTTTTTTTGTTTGTTTGTTGCGGTTGCACCCGATTCAAGAGCCGAATGGCTCACAGGACTATACCAAATAAATGAACTATGTATATTGCGTACAGTACGTATATTGCGTACAGTACGTGTACTGTACGAGGAGGCGGTGCCAGTGACGTGCGGCCGGGCACGTGGTCACAACAACAGCGCCACGTGCCAGGTCAGAGGGGTGGGGGAGGGGATTTAACCTCCATACGATACGTGAGTAACGTTATTAGAATAATAACATTTATACTGGAGGACTTCGACAAAGGTAAATGTTTTGTGGGGGTAGTTGGCGGGGTGTGTTGAGACAACACATCGCCAAATTTCAGCAGCGTTGAGCTTATAACGAGAAACAACCCCCCCCCACCCCGGGACCGCTTGTCACAGTGAGGCTGTATATTCTTGGTTCTTTCGGGAAACAATAAAATAATGTTAAAATAATATAATTTTATTGTTTCCCTTCTACGTGGTGACTTTACCGAAAGAACCAAGAATATGAATCCCTGCAGTCACGAAAGCTTTAAAACAGTGAGGCTGTTTAGCGGCCAGAAATTTCGTAGTGCAAAGGACCCCTATCCGCAAAACTTTGTTAGTAATAATAATAATTTACCCTGAATTACAAATGTGAGAATGGGCGAAAGGACTTAACGCAAGAACGTAACAAGGGTGCAAAGTGGGGCTAGCTCAACGTTCGTCCTACAAAGTCCCATCACAAGGGAGAAACACAAATAGATAGTTTTATTTTGATTTATAGCTTTTCGTGACTGCACGGATTCATATTCTTGGTTCTTTCGGTAAAGTCACGTAGAAGGGAAAGAATAAAATAATAAAAATATAAAACAATACAATTCTCACGACGTTTCGACTGCAACACAAGCAATCATCATCAGGTGTGAAAACCACAGCAAGAAAATTTTCTCGTTGTGGTTTTCACACCTGATGATGAGTGCTTGTGTTGACTTTACCGAAAGAACCTAGAATATAAATAGATAGTTTAACACGTAGGCTTTCGCGACCAATATTCATAATAAACGTTTTTTTTGTTAGATCACGTTATTAATAAATGTTGTGGATTCACTCTTCAACACACCGGTGGGCTAAAGTAGTGAACTATTTTGTCTTTTGTCAACATGACACTTTTTTGCTGATTGGCCCTGTCGGGTGGTGGAGGGTTACGACACATTTATAAATAACGCGATTTAACCCAAAAACCTTTATTATGGACAAATAGACAGTAGGTTTTTTGCCCGTATTGAGACGGCTGTACGCCGTACGGAGCTGAAAACTCAATTTCCCTGTACAATAATGTGATAAGTTCGCTAAACAATGAAGATAGTTTATGTTGGAAAGGGCAGAACTGGAAAACACGTGTGAGTCGAGCACACCTAGGGCACGCATCTATTGACGAAGGCCTTGGTGATCACAACGAGGAAACGGGCCCCTATGAATGCGGAGCAACACATTATCTTATTTCGTACGGCTGATGTCGATGCAGAGACAACAACTACGATTTCACGTCCAAGGTGTTCAAGGCCGGACAAGTCGCATCAGAATGGTCTGGTTCTGGATGGCCACAGTCGCGGACTATTGGAGAGTTTTAAATGTTCCCATTTGTGCTTCAGGTGTATACGCATCTACTGCCATTGTTTGTGCAGTGGATTCGATTTAGGATGGACAATGAGCTTCGTGAAAGATCAAACCCAGAGGAGGATATTCTGAGGTTGGGTCTTTCACAACGAGGTGTTTGTGAGTTATCTTCAACTCCATTCAGCTCTCCAAAAAACTTCACCGGGGGTTGAATTCGCATTTGTTTCAAGGTTAAGCGCATGGGTTCCTCAAAGGGCTTGCGTGACTTCAAGCGATAAATGATCGATAAATAATGCAGGAAGTAAATAATAATAATAATGTTATTTTGTCTACCTACGTGACTTTACTGAAAGAACCAAAGGGTAAGGCTACCCTGACCGCGTAACAATTGTTTGCTGAATGATACCGCCTCCTATTGACTGAATAAGGCTCGTGCACGTATCATTATTTTATTACACCTCCGACCTGACGGAGATAAGATGCCGCCAACTCGAAATGCATTTCTACAGAAAGATACTGCATCTAGGCTGGACCCGAGTGACCAACGTGGAATTAATGCAAAGGTTGCGCATAGAAGAAGACAACCCGCTGATGCAGCCAGTGATGAGAAAGTAACCGGGACTATTTGGACACACGTTGTAGGATGGGCGACAGCAGGAAAAAATAAAAAGTGTTGTTACTCTTTGCTTTCGGTAATAATAGGTTACGACGTTTCGATCGCAACGCAAGCGAACGTCTTCACGTGAAAACCGTCTTCGCCTGTTACTCGCCTGAAGACGGTGGCTTGCGTTGCGATCGAAACGTCGTCGTGATCTATTATTTTGTCTAAGCCACGTGACTTTACCGCAAGAACCAAAGAGTATGGATTCCTGCAGTCACAAAAGCTTCAAATCAAGATTAAAAGTGTTGTTGTTTGTAAAAAAAATGGAAGGAACTGGAAACGGAAGGAAACCTCTCAAGATAATGGCTTGAGACTTGGTGCCAGAAAGATGTGGCGCTACCTGAGCATATAAAATCAAGATTGAGCATATTGTCATTAAGACAGAGGAAAGTGTAAACGAATGACGAAATGCGCAGTGGATACCCACGGGCAAATCTGCCCCTCGGATCGTGATGTCTCCCCTGCAGGCGAAAGGGCCTAAGCGCCCACCAGATCTCTTAGAGGGTAAAGTGGCCTTACACTGCCACGTTGGCTCGAAATCCGTGCGAGTAACCCACACTTTACCCCACTACACGGGACCTGCAGATCTACGCGGTTGTTACCCATCCGTAAACGTTGCGTTGGTAAGAGGCGGCGGTGGGGAAATGTTGGAACTCGGCCATTGCATGCCTGCCCAACCCCTTATCAGTGCCCTACATTATTACAGAACAATTCAGACCTTATTGGTCATCCCGTGGCCCTTATAAATCTCAATGTTCATCCTACAAAGTCCCATCACAAAGGAGAAACACAAATAGACGCATTTTTTGTTGCCCGTATTGAAACGGCTGTACACCGTGTGGACCTGAAAACTCAATTTCCCTGTACAAGAATGCGGGGTAAACCGTATGGGTTAAAACGGTATGCCATTGCAACATGAGATCGAACCGGTGACCTCTGGATTGCAAGTCCAGTGTGGTCAACTTGGAAAGTTCGGCAATATATTGGGCCAACGGTTCCAACTTGCAAACGTTGGCACGACGTTGGCACGACGGTGGCCCAACGTTTGCATGTTTACTGAGCAGCGGTCAAAGCACACCGGTGCTCGTGAAAGCGATGCAACACAAGGACGAGTGTGCATAGGCAAAAGGAACAAACGTGAACATTCGGATGCACCGAACTGCCATTGGCGCGCGGTCACCATGCGATTCTATCAAGAGGTATCGAGTTTAAGTGTAGCGAGCCATAAAATAAGCCAATTAGAGGTACAAACATTGGATTTAGCAAGTGAACTAAGCACCATAAACTTTTAAATATCCATGTAAAATCCATGGATGTTCTTTTGTGTGTGTGTGTGCTTACTTTGTTGTCCTTCCAACTGCGCTTTCCGATTATCACGGTTGGCTACGTACGGTGCGAAAGAAGTTCAACAAAGCTTTCGTGACTGCAGGGATTCATATTCTTGGTTCTTTCGGTAAAGTCACGTAGAAGGGAAACAATAAAATAATAAAAATATAAAACAATAAAATTCTCACGACGTTTCGACTGCAACACAAGCAATCATCATCAGGTGTGAAAAGTCACGGCAAGAAAATGTTTATCGAAAGAACCAAGAAACGTATATACATCGACATACAGCCATTTGCGCTCCGCAAGCCAATAGGGGGCACTTGGCATGGAGAGAGTGATGAAGGGGCCCAGAAATAACGTGGGGGAAAGTGGATGGGTGGGCTGGGGGGGGTCAACAGGGTTTTAACTGCAGCGAGGTCGAAATGCGACATAACCGGCCACTTGCAACATTTTACAAACCGCGCCGACCGCAGGTTTTTAACATTTAATAAACTGACATTTTCACATAAATCGGGGTGGCAGGGGGGAGGGGGATATACCCATGGCTGCTGTGTTGTTCAGTGAATGGGACATGGTGTACCTGCATCAGAACGTTAATAGACCGATGTTGCACATCTCCTTTGTAAGTGGATCATTAAACACAAGCCAATAAAGTCGTGCGGTTTTGGCCCTGCGACCACAAACTATGGCCCATATAGTAGACCCATAGAAACACAGATAAGTAGAGATTCACAGGGAAACAAGGAGGTACCATTAAAGACAAATCAGTGTGATTGCGGCCATGCAACCAAAAATATAAACCCTATAGTAAACCACTATACTCCGCGCTCCTTCAACGAAGGAGGGATAGCAGAGCGACACGAACTTTTACCTGAAGCCCTCTCGCCATGACTCGCAGACCTCGACATTGGCATTTATCTCCTGAACATTAGAATAGGGGAAGAGAGAGAACTAGTTTGGGCTGTGATGCGCAAACACTACGGACCGCCACACTCGCCCTCGTATATTCGACGGGAGAGTATTGCTCACCTGTGTGTGGACGCAGCGCTCACACTCGCGTTATCAACACACACCTGAACATCGCAATCCGTGTCATCTCAGGTACACTGAAGTCGACGCCGAGCCAGTGGGTCCCAGTGCTCACCCCACATCGCTCCGCCGCAAATCCGTCGTGAAACAGCAGCCGTCCGGGAGCACCAAGTAAATTACCGTTAACCCCCGCACCTTCCGAGACGTAGGGACATCAACCCAGTGCCGCCTGTTCGCCTAAAATCACGCCACCCCTTCTGGATCACAGCAGCTTCACTCCACGCTGCAAATAAAAACGAAGGCGAGAGGTGGAAGCAAGTCTGAACTTCGGTCGACGTCAAAAGTAAACGTCTCGTATAGGACCATAACCGTGGATCCTCCCGGTTTCAACCTTCCACGTCGCCAATGGTCGACCATTGACTGAATCCGGACCGGGCACGGCCGATGTAACTACCCGATGCACAAATGGCGCATCAAAGATTCGGCAGCCCACGAGTGCGGCCACGAATCCCAAACGATCGACCACATTGTAAACAGCCGCCGTCTTTATTGCTTTAAAGGAGGAACGGACGAGATCCACTCTGCGTCTGAACAGACAATTGAGTGGATAACAAATCTAAAATTACATCTTTTTATCTGCTGCTATGAATCCATATGAGAGACGAATAGAAGGCAGAGGAGCGTTTGGGGTGAAATGGACAGGGATTAGACCCAGGCGGTCCTCTTGTCAGGGTGGGGTTGGTAACAATTGCTCGGTTTAGACCAGGGGTGGGCAAATTTCTTGACTCGCGGGCCACAATGGGTTCTACAATTTGACAGGGGCCGGGCCAAGGAACAGATGGATGGAGTGTTTGTGTGAACTAATGTAAATGACATGTAAAAATCATTAAATGAAAGCATTTGGCCTTTAACAGGTAGCAAAGCATTTATTTGCAAGGCAATTTAACAAATTGCACGAACATAAACAATACAAAATCATGTCGTAATGTGACTGATCAAACATCATGAAAACATCTGAGGCCTGCGCCCAAATAATGACCTCACTTGAACTTCTTTATTGTCTACATTAACAGGTTAGAGCAGCCACGCAGGCTGTGTGTCGGAGATTTGGCTCCAACCTCGCTGCAGCAACACATCATCACTTTCAGTGGGAACAGTGTTGTTGATCTCCCATTTTTGCCAGTGCATCCAAGTCTGGAGTTATTTTGGTTGTGGCAATTCTCAGGATAGATCTGAGGTGCCGATCCATTAACTTTGATCTGTGACAGGCTTTGTTGGCGTTCATGACGCTGAATGTCTGCTCACACACATAAGTCGAGCCAAACAAAGTCAGCATCTTCTGTGCAGGCCTCCGGAGATTTGGGAACGTGGCTCTGTTAAGTGAAGCATAAAAGTCATTCAGTTTAACAGAGTTGAACTTCTCCTTTAGGACGGAGTCATACTGAAGATCTATCAGTTCCAACTGCAGCTCCTGTGGTGCTGTTTCAGAGTCTTGTGACAAGGGACGGGACACCAGCTGAAGTGACTGTTCAATGTTTTCGAAATCAGAGAACCTACGGCAGAATTCTCCGTGCAGGTGCTCAAGTGATTTGCTGTATTTTTTTGCGTTTCGCAGTGCCTCTTCCTGCATGGCAAGTGTGGGGAAATGAGCGAAAGATTTGTTCGCAATTTGTTTGGAGAACAAAGTGAGCTTGGATTTGAAGGCTTTCACATGTTTGTACATGTCGTGAACAAACTGGTCTTTCCCCTGCAGTTTCACATTCAGCTCATTCATGTGTGAAAATATGTCCACAGAAAACGCGAAGCCACTAAGCCAGTTCTTGTCGCTTAGCTCAGGGAATTCGTCAGATTTCCCCATCAACTCCAAAAATGCGATGATGTCCTCTTACAGCTCCCACACTCGTTGTAACACTTTCCCCAAACTTAACCAGTGGACACGAGAGTGGTACAGCAAGTCCTGATGATCCGCATCAGTTTCCTACAGGAACGTAATAAACTGACGGTGCTGAAGTCCCCTTGCTCGTATAAAGTTAACAAGTTTTACGGCTGGATTCACGACATGATTAAGCTGCAATACAGACTTACACAGGGATTCCTGATGGATGATGCAGTGAAGGAAAATAAGATCCTGGTCAGGGTTTTCCTCTTTCAATTTATTCTGGATTCTTTTCAGCAGCCCAACATTTTTCCAGTTAAATTTGGCGATCCATCCGTTGTGACATTGACAAGTTTACTTCAAGGTAGCTTCATTCTTTCGATGACAGCAGACACCTGGTTATACAAGTCCTCTCCCCGCGTTGTTCCTTTCAGGGACTCCATGGTCAAAAACTCCTCTGTTATCGCAAAACTGTCGTCAATGCCTCGGATAAAAATGAGGAGCTGAGCAGTGTCTTTTACTTCTGTACTTTCATCCAGTGCTAGTGAATATAACTCAAAGGAATCAGACCTTTTGTTTAATTGGCTGGCTATATTTTAATCACTCAGTTCCACACGGTGAGTCACAGTCCTGCGTGATATACTGACTTTTTCAAATTTGCTTTTAACCTCCGGACACAAGATGTCTGCTGTCTGTACCATGCATTCTTTTACAAACTCGCCTTCGGAGAAAGGCTTGCTAGCCGTTGCTATTTCGAATGCCACCAAAAAACTTGCCTTGGTAGTTGACTCTTGAATCGCAGTTTGTCGGTGAAAAAAATGTTGAGTCTGTAAATTAGCCGCCAACCTCTGAGCCGTAGCCGTCCATTCTTGCATTGACTGCTTGCTAGCGTAGTTAGCATGCTTCGTAGCAAAGTGACGGCTGATGTTGTACTCCTTAAAAACTGCAACAGTTTCTCGGCATATCAGGCATACAGCCTTTGATTGGACTTCAGTGAAAAGTTTTTTTGTTCACTCCGTGTTAAACACTCGGCACTCAATGTCCACTTTTCGTTTCCTTGATCTGCTTATTTTACAGAAGGGCTCACAGGGCAAAGCGAAAAAGTGAAGGGATCACCGTATCTAACTCAGCAATGTAAACAAACCCTGAAAATGGCGCTGACGGCCCACAATGCATTGCGAGATCATGTGCCGTTTCGAGCCCTATACACCACACTTCCGGTCAAAGTGCGCCATCTAATGGGGAAATGGGGGCATTACAGGAGAAAGGTAACATTTAATAATAATAATATTTGGACACGTTCGGCGGGCCGGATTACTGACTACAGACAAGTGATACAGCTGTGTAGGATTAAACAGAGTAATAATATGTAAGATACATTCCTTTCATATGCATAAACTATATAGATACTTTAGTTAATTGTAGTTATCCTGTTGCATATACTCTATTTTTGTTAGCGAGTTAATTGTAAATAATATTTACCCAAGATAAACAAGTTGGACTTTCACCCGCTGTTTTTTCGGTTGCAGAGTTTATTGACGTAACCGATCATACAACTCACCACCTCTCCATCAAACGTCACCACACGGCCACCGCTGCTTAAGCACGGAGACAAATTTAGAAAAATGCAATTTTTTTATTTGGGTTTACATACTTATGTTAGTACTAAGACTGTCACGGTTTATTGTGAAATCGTCTGAGAGTTGCTGAGTAAACCGATGCTCTATATTGGACCTTTTTCGTGAGCTTACAAGAACTTGGATTTCTAATTATTATAATACTTATGAAATCCATCATATAATAAAAGATTACTATAACGTTGACAGCTTTATTACATGGGCCTTCACAGTTATGGGCTATTGTGCACAGTGCTACATGAACAATAATGATACAAAAAATGATGCTGTAATCGTGTTGAGTGTAAATAGTTTTCCTGAGGTGGACCGGTAGCTCATCAATTAGAACCCTGATCTGGTACCGTTGAGTTCTGGTAGTCGAATCTAGGCAGCCACTTGTGATGGAGCGAGGTTCTCACGTGCATCGAGTTGACAGTCATATGCTGGTTGCCAACACCTACGCAAAAATTCCATCACGTAAAGTTTGGTTACGCGCAGTTTGACTAAATTCGAGCTCTGAAAATTGAAAATTAATCTGTTTTACTGCTGTCTGACGTATTACTCTCAGTGGCAGAGTGGCTGGCAGAGTGCTGCCCTCTACCCTGTAGACCAGTGGTCACTTGAAGGGATCTTTAAGTGGTCGATCTGTGATATCCACTTCCATGGGCTGTTCTCTCAACATAAAGGGTTTCACTGCCCTGGGAGACATCAACAATGGATTATTCATCTCATAACATGGTCAGGATATAAGCATGGAAAAAGACGAACACGTTTTTTAAAAGTATAACTTGTGTTCCAGTGTGAATAAACATTATTTTAACACACACGTAGCTCAAGGACTACTGAAATACATGTTTTCACATGATTTACACAAACTATGATGTAGCACATCTAACTAAGTATTTTCTACATTTTAAAGCCCAACAGTATATAGCCTGGTGACTGATATGGAGTAAGGTGTGTTTTTGGTAGCCATGTAACGATTTATCGATTGAAGTTGATTCTTACGTTCCTGATAAAAGTGGGTCTAAATAATTTTTGAGGCAGACAATACAAACGATACAAAACAAATGTAAAACGCAACGTGATTTGGATTACATCAGAGAGCTGAGCTTACATTGCCAATAATTGAGAATGCCGGCAGCAGCAGCAGCCGACAATACTATAATTGAGAAAGTGAGAAGCACAGTTCAGTTCCTGAAAAACCTCAAGCACATGGATTGAGACGTCCGACTTCGTGACGAACAACACATGTACAACCCAAAAAGGCCAGGGAGGCAAAAACAAGCATCGGCTGTCGAATCGTGATGCCGCATTATGACAACTCAATGAATCGTTACATGCCTAGAACTCATCCCCAGGATGTTTTGCATTGATGCAAGATGGTGAGCATTGCGGACGGCAGGGCTGAGCGTCGTGGCAACTTGCCGCTCGCTCATCTCGTGAGCTTCTGCAGGTACTTGATGGCCGGAGGCACCGCCAACGTGCCTTCGCCTTGCGGGTGCAAATAGTTCTTGAGCTTGTCGTGGGCTCCCATGATGCACGCGTTCACCTCGGCCAGCAGGTCGGCTCCCAGTACCTCCTCGGTGCGGGCACGCCAGGCCACCAGAAGTGGGTGTGGTGCCAAGGGGTCGTGGCCGCACGCGACTGGCTGTCACGCCAGACAAGACGGGTATTATTTGCAGGCGGTGGAAATATAAATGAGCTTTGCCGAGTCAAAGGTCGATGCGGCCGTGTCTGCCATTTGCTGTCGAAGTTCACGGTTCGAACCCAATGAGCACCCCGGTTAATATTTGTAAATAGGTCCCATCTGCTCCCCGGTGGATGTTCAAGATCCCGTGATGTCATTTGAAAAAAGAGTTGAGGCAATGTGTGCCGATATCGCGGCCCAAATTTTTGCCGAATTTGATAACTTGCAAATCACTTAATTGCGTAAACCACGTTACTGCATCGCCACCTATTGGCAGACCACTAGACTCGTCTGTGAAACATCGCCTTTTTGTGATAGCCTCGTGCTGTAAGAATGGCGCAAATACCAAATGTACTAAATTACTATTATTGTTAGAATTATCATTGCAAGACATGCTGTATAAAACACACATTTCACAACCAACTATTGTGTCATGCAAACCTTTCCAAGTCTGATTATGCCACGCTTATCAGTGACAGCCAATCGGCCGTCAGGACAGACCCATGCTCATGTTAACCCGCGATAGAAGCCGCCTGCTCAAACTCCGCGCGTGTTAAATAAAATATCGAGATCGTGAGAATCCGGCGACGACCTCAAAACGGTTAATGGGCTTGAGCGAGGTCACCTGCATGAGCTCGCAGAGTGCCAAGATATCGGCCACCGAGATCTCCTGGCCGCACAGGAAGGGCTGGTCCTTCAGGAACTTGCGCTGCATGGCGACGAGTGTATTCTCCAGGTCCTCCAGGGCCTCTTTGACCTTCTCGGGCTCAACCGGCTCCCTCGTGTATATCGGGATCAGCACCTGCAGCGCGACACGATGAGCCACGCGCGGCGCTGGGTTCACGCTCGCATGCTGCAAACGCACGGTGCGTTTATGTGTACTGCACTTGTGTGGTTTCTTTATGGGATGCATTGAAAAAAATATAATTTTTTACTCATTTATCTAAAACTGATTTTCGTGTTTAGTTTGTTGTCCTTCCCCAGCACCTTCCATTAGTACGGTTGGCTACGTACGGTGCAAAATCAACTTGCATACGTACATATTGCATCGCAGGGAGTCATCTGGCTGACTTCATCCACCTCCCAACCTCACCCGTTCCTCTCCAGTATGTTTGAGACTCTGCGTGAAGATGTCAAGGTGCAGCCCTGCAATTCCCCGCTCACACCATTGCTGGCAGATGGGCCTCCACACTACAAGGTGTTGTAGAGAGCCCCCCCCTACCTCTAGAGGTGTGTTTGTGGCTACTCTTTGGAGGTGATAACAATCAAAATTCCACAAAGATCGACTTAAGCAACTTGCTGTACTGCCATGTCTTGACCGCCTCGCAACCCAGTGAGATTTGGGAGTTTCACAAATCTGTTTAGCACCGATCCACCAACCCCTTGCCTCCGAAGCGCCGCTGGAATACAGGCATGCAACGACACGCGCGGCTCAAATAACGATGTGTTTCCTGGTTGTGCCACGTATTGTACACCCAAGGGGTTGTACTGCATGCTGTATCACCCAAAAACACAGAGCCACACAGCACAACTGCCAAAACTTACGCAGGAGCAAAGACTTTTGGTTAAAGCAGCGTACGTCCTTTTGTGTTTATGTAATAATTTAAACTTGTAATGAGCACAGTATACGCTCACTGTCGAAAGTGAGATAATAACTCGGGAGGCGTCAAGAACCGCAGACGGAGCAGGAAGGCAGCCAGGTGGTGAGCCGTAGCCAACAATTGCCCAAGCTTAGGCTTTATTGCCAATTAATAAGCGTGTACATAGTTTATTACAGTGTTCTTCATTGCAAGGCCCGGGGGCCATTGACGGCTCCTGGTGGCCTATAATGTGGCCCCTGACGTGCACCCCCCGACAATACAAAAATGTCTAAACACCCCCATCATCATCATCATCGTGCTGTCAAACCCAATGGTTTCAAATGTGTGGCAGCCTCTCACACTGATGTCTTATCGGCGAATGTAAGGCCCCCTGCAGAAAATTTGCGAAAAACACTGCATCATTGTGTCCCCTCTTGTTGCTCGGGTAGTGATGCGACTCTCAGTGAGCGTCAAGGGTAGTGGCAGCGTGAAGCCAACCTCCAGCCAGAAGACCTTGGCGGCGTGCGGGCGCACACTCGTGTGCTGCCATGACAGGTACTCGTCCACGCGTGCCCGCTGCTGGACGTCCGCCGGGTACCAGTGGTCGGGCACGAGCGAGGAGTAGCGCGCCAGCAGGTAACGCAGGATGGCCACGCTGCCAGGGTCACCATCAGCAGCATTCAACGGTGGGGGATTTTTTTTTTAATATAACAAAACAATAGTTTAGTTATGCGTCAGCGGTTTCGTATCGCGAGATGTTGTATCCGTTTGTAACGAGGTCACGCCTGCAGAACAGTGCGACCCCGTGTTGGAGAAGAGCCCTCGGAAAGCAGACATTGCAGAGCTACTTCTGAGGTTCCCATGCAATTCTCAGAGCTGGAATTTAGCTGAATTAAGTTATAAAGCAACATTTGAAAACTAAAACTATTTAACTTTTTTTAAATTCTACCAGATAAGGCTGTTTTTTTTCTGAAACGGCCTGGCCACAAATGATATCCCAAACAAAAGTGGCTTATGTGGAAATTTATATACAAGCAAAATACTCTAAACGCATATTCTTAATGTGGAAGGAAAACCAGAGGACCCGCAGAAAAATCTACATGGCCACGGGGAGAACATGCAAACTCCAAATATAGAGGCTTGGGTTGGGATAGAACCCACGACCTCCTGTATACCAGGCAAGGCAGTTAACTTCTTGCCACCGCGGCGTTTTACGTGATTTTGTGTGAGCAGTCATTGGTGATCAGGCTGAGATCATCAAACTTTCTACTCTTGAGAATCCAGTTAGATCACGGATGGCTAAAATCTAAATCGTACCCGTGGGTATAGCTCTGCAGACTTTAATACCAGTGTCTGTTGCACAATTTTATTTCGTAAAAAAAATCGAAGTGGTTTCCTGTTTAAAGGAGTAAGGGTGGGTGGTGGTTTTGCTTCGCGTTTCCAGCTCTGAGAAAAATTTGAAGAACAAAAAAGCCAGACTTTTACAGAGTAGACGAGGTTAATCATTGGACAACGTTAACTCTGACATGGCCAAGTGCATTCAGCTGGCACTGCTGAGTTATTGGGGGTCAAATCTGATTTTCAGCATGCTTGTGATTAAACTGGGTATTCAGCTGTGGTGAGTTAGTTGTCTCAGTGGTTACACGCAAAGAAACTGTCAAGTTACATTAAGGTTTTTAGTTTGGCATGTTCCAGCCCTGGGAATTATACTAAAATTTGGTTTGATTGACAATGCGATGATAAATATTTGCGGGATATTAGAAGCTGTGCCCCTCGTGTGGCTAGAGAGGTCGAGTATTGAAGTGCCTTCAGATGTAGTTCTGCAACATCATCATCTTCCAGGACCGCTTAACTGACACAGGGTGATGCACCGCTCTCTGCAAGTGCAGAATGGAAATGTCTTCATCTCTTGTCAGTAGAACAACTGGAATACTATCTATAATACTATCTATAAATAAAATGTGTTTTTATTAAGTCAACTCCCATCATTGAACGTTGCAAAGTATGCTGATTGCCACAAAAATGCACACACAACCCAGTTTGGTGGGGGGGGGGGTTGTCCTTGATGCGGGGGAGTGTTAAAACTTCACCGTTCGGAGCTCAGCCTTGGCTGGCTGGCTAACTCTGTGGAATGCAAGGTTGAGTGCAACACACAGCGACTTTGTAAGAAGCGGCCGCAAGTCTCGCCATTAGCTCACCACTCTGCAAGTGCGAAGCCATCGTCCAGGATCGCTGGCACCTTGGCCAACGAGTTCACGGCGAGGAACTCCTCGGAGTAATTCTGACCTGTAACATCAGAACACATTTCTTCAGTTCCCGAAGAAGCTTCCAAGCGCGTGCAGTGTATCTCGCGACATGCCGAACAACGCGCGTAAAAACTAACCCCGAAAGCGCACAGGGAGGGCCGATACAGCACAACCGTGAAAACCCTACGCGGTAGGATGCTGGTTGACAGCTGCCCTGTGCCATCACCATCCATTACGGTTTTGTGATGCCACAATCAGTTAATCTCTGTTCTGCGCTTTGGTTGATCTTATCACCGCATCCCCGTGGAAATTATCCTCTTGCACGCATCCTTTCTGGCCGTGATGTATTCTGCCCAAGCCCATTTAAAAGTAAAATCAAATTGAATGTTAAGGTGTCTACATGCGTGCGTATTGTGAATGACTCCATCTCGATCCATAACCTGTACAATCGTAAACGTCGTGTGCTTGTGTACACCATATATTGATAATGACAGTACAGCAATCAGGTTGCCGAGATTTCTGTGCGTGGGTGCAGATGAGATAGCACTGCCTCCGTGCATGGGGGTTTGCCCCGTAACTCTAGGGGTCCTTCCACACCAACACACACAGGAGCACGCAGAGAACGGTTAGAAATGCTAAGCAGGGGCACACCTGGAAAAAGTCCTGGGTGAAGATAAAAAAAAATTATCCTCACATTTTCTCTCGACCGCATTTGAATAAAGGTAAAATAATTTCCAGCCATTCTCGATCAACCAATAGACGACAGCCTTCCAAGGCGTTGTCGGTCACGGTAGGATATGTTTGACCATACTTCACCATGCTGGTCAGTGTGGGTTGCTGAAGAGGTTGTGGGGGCGGGGCTGGATGCTCCCCCCCCCCCACACCTTCAACTCACATTGCTCAGCGTGGTGAAGTATGCCCATGCAACATACGAATCACGTGATCAAACTGCACGCACGTGACGAGTCAATTCGAGAACCCAACTGATGATACCCACCCCGTGCAAATCGGAATGCATCCCGAGTCTCAAGAATCGACGCGTACGGCTTGCCGCTCGGTGGCTTAAAAAAAAAGAATACTTCACGTCGCAATGAAGGGAGGCCAAAGCGTTCCAAAAGCATGTTCATATTTGTTTCCTTCAAACAAACATGAACGCTCGGGGTAGCCCAAATGTCAACAAAGCCATCATCAGCCGTGGTCTATCCTCTGCTGGATGAAGGCGTTCCGCGAGTCGCCGCTATCTCTCTCAGTTTTGCGATGTATCGTCGCCCGAATAGAATATCCACTTTAGGTTTTATAGGAATAAAAAAACCCCACAAATACGGGACTGATTTTGACATTAATTTCAAGCTGCAGATGCTATGATGCGAATGGTAAATTGCCAAATTAATTGAGTTTGATGCTGATACGGGTCGAATTGCAGAATTTTGTCTTCATTTACAGCCAGGCCCCGAATGAGTGGAACTGAACATGTTTTAAACGCACACGGCCACACGCAAATGTCTCCGTTGGCATTGGCTGCCCGTTGTCAACGTCTGCCTCGGGCCAAGTTTAACAACCAAGAAGTCTTCTGTAACACACGCACATGCGGTTTAAGTCGGACCTATTAATTTCCGCTAACACGAGTGAATTATATGACCCCCGTTAATTTCAAATACACGGGTATGCAATAATAATTTACCGTTATTGACCACATTGAGAAACTAGAACCGCTAAAGTTATGCCACCTTCACGTGGTACCGACAAGATTGAAAAGTCATTTTTAGAACTGCTTTCTGTGTGTTTAGTTTTTTCTCTGTTTCCCGCACCTCCGATTAGCACGGCTGGCTTCGTAGGGTCTGGGCTCATGGACTAAAAGTGTCTAACTCTCAGTAGCAGCTGCAAGGCACTCAAACAATAGTGTGCTTGTGAAATAAATAAATAATAATCTGCCTTTGGGAATTGCAGACGAGCACTCTATAACAACATTTATTAAGACGTCTCTACACCGGTTTCAACCTTTGGAGTCTTAAGCAGCAGTTACCTTTCCGTGAAACGAATAATGCTGGGTTTACATGACGCTCCAGAGTAAATACAACGTAAGTAATTTATTTATATTTTTAAAGATGCGTACATAGTTGTGGAGCATTCCTGACTTCTGGTGTGGCCGTACAATTTGCTCGCTTTACACCGCTGCTGGGCTTCGACGAGAGAGGGGAGAAAACTGTAAAAGCCCTCTCTGTAGGGGGTGTTTTGGCCTACTCTTCCAGAAACACTGGCCGGACGTCTCGGAAAAGGTGGAAAGAAACTTACACTTTACTCCCACCATACGCGACCTGCCCGATCGCCTAACTGGACATCTGTAAGCAATAAAAAAAGCGCTTAATGGCTCATCGGATTTCTGCAGGATAAATATTCCCATTTCGGATAAACTGTGGGGGGGGGGGGTGATGAAACAGACACGAAGACTTAACCTGCCAGAACCGTGTTCCTGAACGTGCAGAACACGTGCAGAGAAAGGAAATGCGATGTCGCACCTTTGGCGAGCTCCACAGTCTTCTGGACGAAGGGGATGTTGTTCTTCTTGAGGAAGATCACGAGAGCTCTGCACGGCTGCGACATCAGGTCCACGTACACCTCCAGACCCATGGCGATCAATTAACTGCGTTGCGGTGAGGTTAGTATTGAGAGGGTTTTGTTGTTGTTTTTGTTCGTTAAGTCAGACTTTAGCAGTCGCCGGGCCAACAAAACGGAACGGCGAGCTACGACTTTGAGAATCCGCAGGAGGATCAGCATCAGCAGGGATCCAGCGAGCGCGAGTTAAGTGACACGGCGAGTTGTGAAGAAAACAAAACTAACCCCCCCCACCCCGAACACAACAATGCCAAAAGTTGGTCGAGGCCGACGAGAGAGATGAGAGAGATGAGAGATGATGTTTGTAAGTCAAGGTTTGGCCACCGCAGCGTTCGCAAGCAGCTTTATAGACGCGGGCTGCTCGACCCCGGTCATCCAATCACGCCGGGGATGTAGAGGGCCCATTGGGGTGGGGTTTGGGGGGGGTCGGATGTGCGTGCGAATACATTCGGGGTTATTGTATTCCCTCCCCGTGTGTGTGAGTGTTTTTTTTGTCCACCACCCCCCCCTCTCTCTTGTTTAACGGGATCGTTTGTGATTTATTTAATTTAGTTTAGCCCAACTGCCTCTGTAACCCCACAACCCCCACGTTATTTCGCTCTTTCTCGCTCTCTCTCTCTCTGTTGCACCCTCTGGGGAGGTTTCTCGGAGTTCGTGTACCCTGAAGCGGAAATTCCAGTTGATTTGAAGTTGGGAGAGAGAGAGAGACGCCATAGGTCAGGTCAGAATCATTAATTCAGCTGAGAAACCGCATTGCTGCATCGCAACACTTACCGAACTCCCCCCGTACTGAGGGGCCCCTCGTGTACGAGGGAGATGGAGTTGGGGGCTTGTAATAAGATGGAAACTTTGAGACAAAGAGAAGACGCATGGGGGGAAGAGGGCATGGAGAGAGAGAGGGAGAGAGGAACACGCGAGAGATCTGGAGAGGGACAGAGACGCAAGAGGCACGAATGCGTACGATGATAGTGCGTGTCCGATCTTAAACAATCGGTGCAGGCCGGAAAACCCACAAGTTTAAAACAGCACAGGCAACCGTGGAGAAAATGAAAGCACTCGTCAGCGTGTGTTGCGTTTTGCCACACAAAAAAAATATATCAACAGTTCCTGAAAAACTGCAATGTCATCTCGTCTTAAGGCCCCCCATCTAACCTATATTTCAGCAAATCTGACTGACGAGCAGAAAATGCGACTGAGAGATAACTATAAACCTATATTCTTGGTTCTTTCGGTAAAGTCACGTTGAAGGGAAACAATAAAATAATGTATATAAAACAATAGTTTTATATATATTATTTATATATTATTTTATTGTTTCCCTTCAACGTGACTTTACCGAAAGAACCAAGAATATGAATCACTGCAGTCACGAAAGCTTTAAATCAAAATATCAACCTGTTTGGTTCTCATTAAGATTCACCAGTTACAATATAGTCACCAATGCTCACTGCTGCAAATGCTGCCTCTGGGAATCATATTTGCAGTCTCCACTTCTGTACCTATGTGGCGCGTGAGCTGGGCTCATGTCAACAATCGTCAAATCTGTAAGTTGCGAGATTTTCTGAAAATCCATCATAACAGAAAAAGCAAGGGATGGTTAGGAAGAGATCCATGGAGAGTCAGAGAGCAGGAAAATATAAAGAGCACATGGGGACAGATAAAAAAAAACATTGACAATCGATCATGATAAAAAAGAACACTTTTACTATTTCAACTGCCACTCAAGACTTCAAAAGCATACTTCATAATGTAACGAAGCGAGGCCACAGCATTCCAATGCATGTGTGTTTTTTTCTTCACAAACAACATCCAGAATTGACCAGGAGTAGCGTTATAGTCAACATCATCAGCAGAAGCAGCAGCCATGATCACGCCACTGCTGGCTAAAGGCTTCCCCAAGACATCGCGATCGCGCACGTTTTTTTTGCGATGTCACAGTCTATTGAGAACTGCACAACAGATGAATGTATCGCTCCATCTCCACGGTGCAGTGTCCTCTGGGACGCGGTCTAATCAGTGGCTGCCACTGTCACTTATCCTTGACCTGCATGAGCCATCCTGCCATTATGCGACGTGTCCTCCTGCCCTAACTCCACTCTTCTTAAGCGCTGTAGTAAAAGAAGACGGAGATAGAGGCAGACATGGTTGGCTACATACGGTGCAAAATATGTTCATCATACATAACATTATAACACCAGAGGACCTGCTGATACCTTCACTCGGCCAACTCGGCCTTAAATGAGCACCGAGAGAAGGGTTTCAACTCTGTTGATTCCAAGGCTTGCTGCCAGCTGTGGCGTCGGACTAATTATATGCTCACAGTACAGTAATCCATCGATATACAGCAATTCAATATACGTAATTTCGCTACAACGTAACTTATAAGTTAGGGAACGAACTTAAACAGAGTGCCCCTATCACTGTTATTAAGCATATCATAAAATTACTTTATCCATGAAATAAGTACTTTTTGAAAAGTTTGCTGCATTCTTAAAATAGGATTCCATATACGCAATTTCATTTTACGGACACATTTTCAGGATCGTATATGTTACATATGTCGAGGGATACTTGCTTTAGCAGTTCGTTAAAAGGTTATACAGGGGGCCTTTGTTATTTTCTTATGCACCACCTTACGCTCCGAGTGACTTCGGTTCAACCCCAAGCCATGTACAATCACATCAGTGGCAATTGTTATCCGAACCTGGCACGGGTGTCCTTTAGGGCAGCGGTCTGGGGACGTTTTTGGCACCAGGGACCGGTTTCGTGGAAGACAATTTTTGTCTGCGGTTCATCATTGTGTCTTTCCCCCTTTTCAAAGATGCTCTCCAGCGACGTTTGTTTTTTTACTCATTTTGGCTACTAGGATTGTTAGCTCGTGGGCTTACCAAAACACTGTGACTGAGACAAGTGCGCAGTGCGTGAAAGAGACGCGAACGGGAGTGTGTCAATAAAATAATGGGGGCGGGCCACGCGTGGACTCACCGCTCTCACCTCCTGCTGCTGTGCGGCCCGGGGGTTGGGGACCCCTGCTTTAGGGTAGACTCCGCCAAAACATGGACTGATTTAACTTGTGGGATTGTCTCAATGAAAACGATGTTGCCGTCTGCTGGATAAACTTACGAACTACAGTGATTTGCAGGACGGTTGCGGAGTTAACGACTTTGAGCCAGTGGTACAAAAATGTTTTACAGTATTAGAACCCCACAAGATGACAAATGCCAAATATAATTGTATAGAAAAATATAATCTGTAGATAACGTACATGTTTGGTAGGTAAGTCATCCTGGTAGCCTCGTATGAATAAAATATTCTTCAAGAATTACCGTAGCGTGCTTAATCGAGAATATAGGTTTGTTAAAAACAATGTGATATGAAACATCGGAGGAATATGAAAACGTGCGGTATATTCGTTAAGCTTTCAACCCCTGGTGGACACTGCCCATGGGGCATACGGAGAGCGTTTGCCACACCACGTGGTACCAATCACCCCCTTGGCTCATGGACCTAATACGGTGGTGACATCTATTGGCCGACTAAACAAACATCACGATGTCACTAAATATATACATTACAGTACTACATATCTACCAATGGGGTTCATATGTCAAGTCGAGACTGCTCGTCTAGAAACATTTGTAAAACTTGTTTTTTTCCAGGTTCCCATGGCATAAGGGGCCATCCATAAATGACGTCACGCGATTTTTGGACGCTATTTCTCGTCACACGGCGTCACAAAAAGTCAGACCCACCCTCAAATATGACGTTACAAAGCTCTGCCCCCCCCCCCAAAAAAATGTATAAAACACGCTTCAAATCGCTTTAAACTATTGTCATTGTAGTGCGTATTTAATGTGGCCCTGCACTCTGATGTTGTAGGAGAAAACATTTATTAAAAAGTATATTTCATTAAGTAGAACGTGCTGTCTATATTTATTTAAAGTTGCGCCTTTGTATGTGAAGTCACATTTCTCACCCCCCCCTCGCCACACATCGTCACAAATGTCTGACCCCCCCCCCCCTACGTGCGTGACGTCATTTATGGACGCCCCCAAAGGTTAAAACCTATTCTTATTTTTTCATACTTTGATACTTGCAAAAAAGGTCCCATGATATCGCTGCTCACCCCGAGTTATAAATGTTCTGATACGTCCGTTGGTGATGTAAGCCCCTTTTAAATCTGTAAATTAATTCGATATGACGATGATGTGGAATTAAAGATTGGGTAATTGTATAGTATAAGGGAGCTCTAAGAGATGCCATTCTGGGAGGGTAATTTGGCCTTCTTTTCCACGCCGGTCAAGGCGTTTGGGAATAAGTTCGGCGTCCCCACATTTTGTCCCACCACCACCACCAGACACGCCTGTGGTGTACTGTAACCCAAATACGTTTGGGGTGGTTGGTTGGTGGTGGTGAGATTCAATAGCGAATAAATACACGCGCGTGTATACCCACACACAAACACCCACATACACACGCGCGTGTATACCCACACACAAACACCCACATACACGCGTGTATCCACACACAAACCCACACACACACGTGTGTACCAACACACAAACCCACACACACACAAACCCACACACACACGTGTGTACCCACACACAAACCCACACACACACACGCGTGTGCCCACACACAAGCATTAACAAGGTTCTAATAATTCCATTTATATGGTGCTTGCTTAGTCGCCTCTGGCAATTGGGAGTTTTGTTGTTGTTTGACTTGCATCCCACTGGGATTTTTTGCACACAGCGTTGGTATACGGTGCTTTTTTCAGGAATATTTTGCTGTTTTTTTTCATGGATTTTCTGTTTGCACAGTCAACACATAGTCACTTTAAGATTCTATATTTAAAGCTTTCGTGACTGCTAGGATCCATACTCTTTGGTTCTATTGGGTAAAGTCACGTAGGTGAAAATAAAATAACAAAAAATCACGACGTTTCGGCCACAACACAATCGGCCTTCATCAGGTGAAGGAACGAGACTGTCTGGAGGACAGCGCTGGAGTGAGAAAAGCCACGCTTAGATCACGACCTTTAAGCTTAAAGGTCTGGAGGACAGCGCCACGCTTAGATCACGACCTTTAAGCTTAAAGGTCGTGATCTAAGCGTGCTTTTCTCACTCCAGCGCTGTCCTCCGGACAGTCTCGTCCTTTCACCTGATGAAAGCCGCTTGTGTTGTGGCCGAAACGTCGTGATTTTTTGTTATTTTATTTTCACCTACGTCATTTTAAGATGTTTTTCTTGTTCGTGTTTTTGTTTTTTTGTTTGTTGTGGTCGCACCCGATTCAAGAGCCGGATGGCTCACAGGGCTATACCAAAATAAATAAACTTAAATAAATAAACACGCAAAACCCCACGTTACTCGGTGCTTTATTTAGTAGCGGCTTAATTAATCGGTAAGGACAGGCTGAGTGTTGAGGTTTACGACGTTCGGCAGCGGGCAGGGAGGATTCCGTTTAACAGGAGCGGTTTAAAGGGCCCGGAAGTACGTCACGAGGAGGGGGCGGGGCGTGAAGGGGGAGACGCGGGGCCGGACACGCGGGAGGGCCGGACACGCGGGAGGGCGCGTGCGTGGACGTGGGTATACACACACACACGTGCGTGGGTTTGTGTGTGTGTGTACACGTGTATGTGTGTGGGTTTGTGTGTGTGTGGGTGGGTTTGTGTGTGTGTGTGTACACGTGTATGTGTGTGGGTTTGTGTGTGTGTGTACACGTGTATGTGTGTGGGTTTGTGTGTGTGTGTACACGTGTATGTGTGTGGGTTTGTGTGTGTGTACACGTGTATGTGTGTGGGTTTGTGTGTGTGTACACGTGTATGTGTGTGGGTTTGTGTGTGTGTGGGTGGGTTTTTGTAACGCTGTGTGGAAGCTACCTGTGGCTCCGCACGAAGCTTCAGGTCTTCTCGCCCACGGTCATTCCCTCCCTTCTCTTCGCTTTGCGAAACGTGGACCCCCCCCCCCCCCCACCTAGTGGAACATCTTCGCCGGTTAGAAACATTTAGGCTGCCCTCTCTACGATCCATCCTGGGTTTAACCAGGCTGGATTGTGTGAGGAGCTCACATATCCTTGAAAGATCTGGACAAGGTCCCATCGGTGAACTCTTCCGGCAGGCAAGGCTGCTTTAGCTGGGTCATGTAGCCCGCATGCCCAGCCACCGCTTGCCGAAACAGCTTTTGTTCGGCCGGATCGAGGGGGCTAAGCGGGCGCGGCACGGGCTAGAGAAGAGATGGAGTGATGTGGTACAGGAGGACGTGGAGCTGAGTGGACTTGCCGATGACTGGTACCAGCGGTGTCAAGATCGGCCTCTGTGGAGGAGGCTCGTGAAGGACGCTACTGGGCAGTTGGAGGCAGTCGCCCTCCAACAACAACGGAGGGCGGAGGAGCGACGCTCACAACAACGAGCGGAGCGCCGGGTGGCTAAAGCACAGCAGGTTGGCACAGTATGGGGCACAGGTGGTGCATCAGCTTTTTCTTGAACCTTCATGCCCTTGGTTTTTTACCTTGAGCCAATCCCTGTCCATTCCCTTTATCCATTGTTTTTTTTACCCTTTTATCTGGCAACAAAACTGACACCTTTATTACAAGGAGTCATGTTTGCATTGACCACAATACCTCTGATATAACTCTGATAATGTATGCAGTGCATACAGTGCATACATTATCAGACTTATGTTTTTTGTTTGCATTCCGACCGCAGGTTTTGTGGTCAACGCAAACATGACTCCTTGTAAAAAAAAGGTGTCAGTTTTGTTGCCAGATAAAAGGGTAAAAAACAATGATCATATTTTGCTACTGGCAAAGGAGGTTCTAATGGTGGATCCTTTCTGTTTTCCAATTCAACCCCCTTATTTTCCAATCCCTTGAAAAATCTGTCCTGACCAATCACCGTGGAGGCCTTTTTCTTCCAATAGGAGACCAGACCGTTGTTTATTTTTAAATAGCCGTTAGGCTGCATCTGGCTTAGGGTAATTTTTCGGTCATTACACTATGAATCCAATTCTGCAGCCTACTTTATCATAGTATTTTCAATCGTTTATTGTAATGATATATATATATTTTTTATTGATGGTTATAATGATTGTTGCCAGCGAACCTGAGATTGTTAATGTATTTCTATACTCTTTGGCTCTTTCGGTAAAGTCACGTAGGTATAAGATAGAAAATAAAAACATAGCCACTTCCGTGCCCTCTGATTTCTCACATTAACATCGTGCTAATCTCTCACATTAACATAGCCACTTCCGTGCCCTCTAATTTCTCACATTAACATCATGCTAATCTCTCACATTAACATAGCCACTTCCGTGCCCTCTAATTTCTCACATTAACATCGTGCTAATCTCTCACATTAACATAGCCACTTCCGTGCCCTCTAATTTCTCACATTAACATCATGCTAATCTCTCACATTAACATAGCCACTTCCATGCCCTCTAATTTCTCACATTAACATCATGCTAATCTCTCACATTAACATAGCCACTTCCGTGCCCTCTAATTTCTCACATTAACATCGTGCTAATCTCTCACATTAACATAGCCACTTCCGTGCCCTCTAATTTCTCACATTAACATCATGCTAATCTCTCACATTAACATAGCCACTTCCATGCCCTCTAATTTCTCACATTAACATCATGCTAATCTCTCACATTAACATAGCCACTTCCGTGCTCTCGTCGAGGAGGCCGCTCTCCTATCTTACAGTTACATGCTAATTTCTCACGTTAACGTCACTAGCCACGGCCACTTCTTTATGACCCTTGGGCTACACCCATTTCAAACCTTTTAAAAACAGTCTGCCCCAGCAGCAGACCACGCTTTCCCATCTGATGATGGACGCGTGTGTTGCGCCCGAAACGTCGTGATTTATTTTATTTTTCTACCTACGTGACTTTACCGAAAGAACCAAAGAGTATGGGTTCCTGCAGTCACGAAAGCTTCAAATCAAGATTAATATGTATTTCTATTCACGCTTAATATGGACGGCACCAGTGTGCCCCTGATCCAGTTGCTGGAAGTAATATAATGTCTTGGTGACAGCATGTCACTATGCCTTACTCCATCTGTCATTTTAGAAATGTGTTAATTTCTTCATCTGATCTCGGCCGTAGCTGCTTCATCATCCTTTTAAATTGATTTTGATCATTACTATCTATGGCTTTTATTAAGGTTATGAATTGTGAAAGCTTGGACGACTACATCAATTTCCGCTGACTCAAATGTCTTCGTAATAAAAAAAAGTCAGTTATTATACAATATATAACAACCATTTGTTATTTCCTACACTTTGGTTGATAGTAGTCACGTGGTCCATGGTAGAAATACCTTTTTTTCTGAAATAAGCCTGCTCACAGTTTGGATCTTTGTGTGATCCCTTATGGATTATGTGAACCGGTTACGTTCACACGTCAAGATGCTCGTGGTCTCAGCATTGCAGTAATCTTATAGAGTCTCCTTTTTTTAATATAACAACACATTCCTTTTTGCTGCATTCATGCCATTATTGTTAGTTTCTGTGTTTCATTATTCTTACACGTTCTTTTCCTCGGGTTTTTACGTAATTATGTGTACAGTATTCTGTCTTTTGTTTACAATTTTCATCACTTTTAACATCTCTTTAATCGTTACTCTTTTTGTGCTTTCAGATATCCAGTTGTGTACGTTTTTATTTATTTTCCCCGTACCTTTCAGTACAACGTCTATAAATCAGCCCAAGCCTCCTGTAAAACACGTGACTCCCCCCCCCTCACCTGAATCCCTCCCCTGTCCGCCGCCCCCTGTGAAAACAGACGCCGCTCCTCTGTAAAGCAGCGTCAAGGCCCTGATCCAGCCTCTTCCTCCCCATCCTCATCTCTCCTAACTCCTTTGCTCCAGTTTCTCCCTCCCTTTTCCATACCCCACATTTCCCCCAATTTTTTTTTAAAAATATTATCTCTCCCCTTTTACTATTCATTTTGTCTTTCCCCCGTTCATTATACATCCTCGACTCTCCCTTGCTGTGGTGTTCCACCGTTATAAAGTTGCAGGTAGTATTCATCCCCTCCCCCACCCCCCCGAACGTTTATCCAGGTCTGCCATGGATTATGGTACATTTTAATGGACTATCATCAGGTGAAATGACTGTAATGATGAAACATTGCGCACTTTAAAAACCTGAGGAGCAACATTAATCCCCTGCACATTGAACGCTATTCTGACTACGGCACCCCTCTATGAATGAGCAATGTTCCCCGTCTGGGCGTGGTTGCCGTGAGGCGCCCATAAAGACGTGTTCTTTGCCGATTACCATTTACAGTAAGGTTTCCTGCCGTGTACAGAGATTTCTAAAAAAATTTGCGTGACTAGTTGATCATTATCAGACGACAGTGCTGTAGTCGGTGTGGTAAAGTAGGCGACGCCGCTGACAACACTTGCTTCCTCCGCCTGTTGTTGCTGTTCCCTCGCTTATCAGGTTTGGAAATTGTTTGTCTCATGAAGCTGGGGTTTTGGACGCACAATGATAGCGAGAGTGTTTTATGAGCCATCTGCTGTGAGCACGATTGGAGACGATAGAGGTCCACTACTGGCAATGTAAGACGTTTGGACGTGAGATACGAGGATACAATCTCTTTGGCACTTTTCCAAAGTCTTTTGACGTTAAGTTAGCAAGTTGCAGTTATCCATTGTGCGTACTGGGGAGTTTACCACCACCATCATCATCATCAACATCATTAAGGCAAAACTCTTATTATTCCTTGGGGTCATATGTTACGTGCACTTCGATGTGCCTCTTGTCACATCCACTGTCACCGTCATCATAAAACAATCTTGTTCCATTTGCACAGCGTGCCGCAGCTCCTTCCCTGTGCTCCAGGACGCAGCGCTCGGAGACGAAAGAGCGCCGTCGGCTGAGAGATGACGGCGCGTTGGCGTGCGCGCGTCCTCCGCTCCAACCGTAACCACGTGGCCGCCCTCTTCGCCCTCACGTTCCTGGTGGTGCTGCCGCTCTCGTGTCGCCACCTCCGCTACTCCCACTACTTCGACGGCGGCGACCGCCTGGTGCAGGCGCGGGACGAGGCGCAGGCGCGCGAGGATGCGCTGGACGCGGAGCGGGCGCGCCGCTTCCTGCGGCGGGTCGCGACCGAGGGCGACCTCCCCCGGCGGCGCCGCCACCACGGCAACGGCACGCGGGGCGAGGGCCCGGGCGACTTGGCGGTGGCGGTGGTCAGCGTGCGGCGGCTGGAGCCCTACCTGAGCCGCGTGGTGTCGCGGCTGCTGGCGCTGCTGAGGGCGTGCGGGCTGGCGTGCGAGCGACACCGGCTTCTCGTGTGCAACGCGCAGGCGGTGCCCGAGGACAACGTCGAGGCAGGCGAGATCTCCGCGCTGGTGCACACCGTCGCCAGGTGAAACCCTCGGGATAACCGCGTTCATCGGACGGCCCCACGCGTTTTAATAGCGTCTTGTTCGTTGACCTGGGATGTGTTGCAAGTGGATGCCCGCGGTTTTATAAAATACATTGAGGTTTGTCTACAGCAGGGGTGGCCAACCTGTAACAGACCAAGAGCCAAAAAGTGCCCGTGAGTTCTGCAAAGAGCCAAGTGCATAAGTGTGTATATATTGACAGTTTACGGCATAGCACGGGAGACATACATTTATAGTTGCTACTGGGATAGTACGTTCTACGTTATGCACCGTCGATAGAGCCGCGTGCGGTGGATTAAAGAGTCGCATGCGGCCACCGCTGGTCTACAGTATAAGACACTGAATTTGTCCCTCTGCGAGTCTGTCAGTCATTCGCAACATTTTATTGAGCAATTGTCCGACAAAATTAATGATTGATTCTGTCCTGTGGAATTAAACCAGGGAACGATAGTATTAAATGTTGTGTACCACATTTAAACGTTTCAATGAAATAAAAAAAAACTGTGAAGACATTTTTTTTTAAATTGTGGAATGAAGAATGATCTGGGTAGCTAATACTGTAGTTTTCTAGTTTACGTGTATAAAAACAGGGTAAAGGTTTCATATTCTTGGTTATTTCGGTAAAGTCACGTAGAAGGGAAACAATAATGATGATTGCTTGTGTTGCAGTCGAAACGTCGTGAGAATTTTATTGTTTTATATTTTTATTATTTTATTGGTTCCCTTCTACGTGACTTTACCGAAAGAACCAATAATATGAATCCCTGCAGTCACGAAAGCTTTAAATCAAAATTTAGGGTAAAGGTTTATATTTAATTGTGTTTAATAATGGGTTTGACGTTTTGTAGTACATTGGCAAGGCCTATGTTGGCAATCACAAAGCCAATGGCAATGTCTTAATAATTATAACCTCTATTTATAAAGTGCCTTTCATATTGAAGTATCTCAAAGCGCTAACATTTACATGGTTGGCATAGGTCCTTGTACAAGGAATGAAATAGGGGACCCCCTCTCTCCAATTTCACCGCTCTTCATCGCGAAGTGCCTGCAACCCTAGGTCCCTTCGGGCCCGGTGCATTTGCACCGCCTGCACACTCTATTGCGATGGCAATCGCCGGCGGGCCATGAAGGAACTGGAACATTCGGATTCCAGCATCGCTGCCACTTCGTGCAGGTTCTCGGAGAGCGATCCGGACGCAGGGAAGCCGCCGGCGCAGAACCGCTTCGAGAAGGAGAAGCGTGACTACACGTGGTGCCTGCGGCGTGCGGCGACGGCGACGGAGGGGGGCGATGGCGGCGCCGTGGTCCTGCTGGAGGACGACGCGCTCCCGGCGGACGACTTCTTCCCCGTGCTGCACCACCTCCTGGGCGAGCGCCGTGCAGCGTCGTTGCGGCTGCGCCGCGCCCTCTACGTGAAGCTCTTCCACCCGGAGCGGCTGCAGGGCTACTTGAACCCCGAGCCGATGCGCATCCTGGAGTGGGTGGGCGCCGGCGGGCTGTGCGGGCTGGCGCTGACGGCGGTGTTCCTGCGGCTGACGCGCGCGCCTTTCCGCTGGTGGTTGGTCGCCGCCCTCACGCTCCACGCGATGCTGTGCGTAGAGATGGTGGGGCGCCACTACTTCCTGGAGCTGCGGCGCGCGTCCCCGCGCCTCTACGCGCTGGCGCCCGCCACGGAGTGCTGCACGCCGGCCATGGCGTTCCCGAGCGCGGCGGCGGCGCTCGCCGTGGCCGAGCTGCTCGACGCCGAGCAATGCGCGCCAAAGTACGGCAAGGACATGGCGCTGTACGCCGCGATGCGCCGCGCCAAGCACGGCGCCCTTGTACTGGAGCCCAACCTGGTACGGCACATCGGACGGTACAGCTCCCTGCGGTCGTAGCCACCGCCGCCCACCGCCATCAACCTCAACCCCTGCTGCTGTTGGTAGGGACTGCACCAGATATTGCCGAGTGCCGAGTCTGAATGTGGGACCGGTGCCTGCGTAACATCATGCACATGTACAGCCCGTTTGGTCAACCCACTCGTGGGTGAGGATCTCCCCCACGGCACGCGCTTCGTTTGCGGCTTCTTTGACCGTGGGGGTTTGGTCAAGGCGGGTAGCCATAGATGTGGTGGCAGTGTAAAGTTCTACGATGGGTGTCGCTGCACTGCCCTCTGCTGACAAACTGCGGAGTACAACCGCGGAGCCGCCCTTGACAACCCGCTGTGCCGCACAGCGTCTCGCGTCGTAGCCCAAATTGCATTTATTTGAAACTTGACTGCTAACTGCAGTGCATTTGACGTTACAGCCAACCTGTGTAGTCACGCTTCTCATGGTGTCTATTTGCAAAGAAGTCTGTTTCGGGTCCTGCCAGTTACGCTTCATGCTATAAACACGATCTTATTTGTTGTGTACGCTCGTAATGATGTGATGTACTGCATTCACTCGGTGTGATGTTTACACGCGCGTGGTTAAGTTTGCTGAAAACCCGTCTGCCACGATTTAAAAAAAAAAGAATTCCAACAAATGAGTGGCGATTATATATTCAGGAACTAGTTCAAAAATGTATATGGATGGGTACATTGTGCAGTGCTTTTTATAGATTACGTGACACCAGTCAGTTCGGGGCGGTGAAGGTGGTATGGACCGAGGACCGGTTCAGATATAATTTGCCACCGTTTAACCATGGCCAAGAATCCAACTCAGGTTTGGCAGCTTCATAACGTAGTGCGCTAACCATTGCACTACCGCTGCGCCAAAGTTCAGTAAAAATTCAAAGCCATCGTGGTCAAAGCCGCTGACCCCCCAGGGCCACACCTTGCCGACGCTTTACTCCCCTCCGCCGGATCCCACAGCAGCCGCTGCACAGTAAACGCAGAGAGAGAGAGAGAGCTCTTTGGTCTTCCCCATATTTTCCATTCATTGATAAAATTACATGATTGTGGCGCGGCATGTGATGCTGAGGATATGGGGTTATTTGCCTTTTCCACTTTGATAAGAAAAAAGGTTTATTGTTTCATCACTTCAAAAATCTGCCACCTACGCAATTCGAGAATATTTTTTTTAAACCATGAGGTCACGTGAATATGTTGCAACGAGAACCGTACAAGGATTTCAAAGATTCTCACGTGCACCATTCGATGCGAGCATTGTGAGCGCTAAATATCGATTTTCAATCGATGAAACGGTGTCTCATTGAGAGCCTACTTTCTAATTTCTAATGCGTGGGTGTTTTTTTTTTTGGTCGATGTGCCACCACATATCCTCCCCCAAGATCAAGTGAGCCTGGTATGTCTTCCTTATTCATGGAACGTCCTTTCCAGTTATTATATCGGGAGTGGGGGGGGGGATAGAGTTACTGGTACTTAAGCTCCAATGATGGAATTTTTTACGAACTTAGTGATGAGAATATTCGTCAACAAAGTATTATTTGTATTTATTTCAGTCATTACGAAAACCACAAGGCGTGCCGATGACTAGGACTGCCCGATCAAAGACCAAAGCTGTGATGAGACGAAACTAACAAGTATGAATGAAGACGCAGACTGAGATAACGTAGGAACTTTATTAAACACTGCAGTGCACTTAGGAAGCCCTAAATGATAATTGCTGTAGAGTATTGTATAGTATATAAAATGGTTCACTGATTGGCCGACCTGACAATATTGGGAGGCGGGGTGGGAGGCGAGCAATTGCAAGACAAAAGACAAAGATCCCCTGTGTAGCCTGAACAGACTGTAGGGGCAAGTGTTGTTAGCGAGCACCTATGAAGGCTGTCACGGTACGCGAGGGGGTGGGTGGCCAGCACTACGCCAGACCGCCTCTGTCTACCTAGTGGCCATATTTACACATCACACGAGGTACTCAATTGAGGCTGAGTCGACCTAGGGGAGACCCAGGACGGGTTCAGATAATCATCGTCGTTGGTGTTGGCCCTGAGCAGGAATCGAACTCGTATCGCCGGAATCGAACTCGTATCGCCGGGTTCATATCGCAGCGTAGCACTAACCGCTGCACCACCGCTCACCATAAGGAAATTGCACCCCCCCCTCACACCAACATTGAATAACTAAGAGCGGACTACATTTTTGACCGCTGTAGTCAACCGAACGACTAGATAAACTCAACGGATTGACTCGACTAAAATGCCGCAGGTTGTCGCTCACACAAAAGACTGCGGACTCACGTGAAAATAATTCCGATTAACTGCACACTAGTCTCAGCTGTGCCCCCCCCACCCCCCCGTGACTCACTGCTGGGTGACTTTGCTCGGTCAACTTGTGGGCCATGTGGCAGCTGCACACGTACGTGTACCCCGAGTCGCGGAGTGTGAGCCAATGAGGGTGAATATGCAAGTAAAATCATAAAATGCCTTCTATTTGTAATTCATTATGCACTGCAAAATGATGCTTTTGTCGTGGAGTTTCGCTACGCGTTTGTGGTGGCTGCCCTCGAGTGCAATAACGAGGGCCTGGTCATCGTTGTCTTAAATTGTTGTAGCTGACGGTGCTGGTTGTCACGGCTGGTATTGCTTGAGATTTCTAGTTTATAAATACAGGATCGCGAACTCTGTGTACGTGCAGCTGAGTAGTGTAACATTTTATCACAACAATGTCTTTGTAAAAGTAAGGTTCAAACGTTTGATATCGCCAAATTTGGAACCCATGACATTTTGGTACAAAAATTTGATGCAAAAAAAAACTTGTTTGTTTTCTCATATAATAAAAAAGGGCTTGTGATGATTTAAACATTTTTGTGGTAAAATCGGTTATTATTTTCCAGTATTTTATTTTTTAAGTATTGGTTTCTTTCAGTACATTTCGAAACAATGTTCCCGTGAGTGAAATTATAAAAGTTTTCATTTTCTCGCGTAAAAAGTAATTGTTGACGTTTTGTCTTGAAATGAAATCTCGCTTTCACAATTCTCCAAGTGTGTTGTTTTATTTTTTGAGTGCAACCGTTGGCAGCGTAGAGTTTCAAAAATTACGCAACTTATCGTAAACTCCTTTTGTTGAGCTTTAGATGAAAGACTTTTCTGGGTCAAACTGTCACAAGCACGACAATCGGGGCACGGATAGAAGAGCACCCGTGAATGTAACATGAGGTGCGCGGATTATATTTCACATGGTTAAATAAGGGACGGTGAAAAAATACGAAGGGGAAAATGATGACACCCCGTGTACTGCGTTTGTCGTTGTTTGTCATGTGGTAACGTTAATGGATTTCCCAACGCTGGGGCAATCACCACGCCACCATCATCTATCTCTGCGTCCCAACCCCCTCCACATATCGTGGTTATGTAACCTGGCGATGCTAAAAAAAAAAACCCACACTACTGCACAGCAACCATCTTGCAAAAAAAAACATTGAAAAAAATACCATGCAACAATTATGGGAATAAAACAGACAACAATAAAATCTAAATCACAAAGACAAAGAGCCCCCCCACACCGTATAGCCTCAACATAATTTTGGGGCAAGCGCTGTTAGCGAGCACCTATGAAGGCAAAAATTGCAGGCGAGGGGGGGTGGAGGGTGATCAGCATCATGCCCGATCTCTCTCTCTTTCTCTCAGTAAGATGCATCCCAGCCAAAAGCCATGGGCAGGTCATCAAGCCAAATTGACAGCCACCCAGCGAGCAGCCCTCTTTGCCTGTGTGGATGCGGCGGCGGCGGGTTGGCTCATGCCAAACACGCACGGAATAACAAGCAGAAAGTCGTCTCCATTTTTGGCGGCGCGTGAAAACGCATTTGGTCTCGACAACAAGAACAGAGGGTTTCGGTTGTGAAAATTGCCAATAAATGGACGCACACATGGCGTGGCGTGGGAAGTCGTGAGTAGTATCGACGTTGGCCAACTGGGCCGGCCCGATCAACGGTAATCTGGCATTGGAGTACCGTGCTGTTGTCATATCTGGAGCAGCCCAGTTCCCACCTCGCCGATCGCTTGATCCAGAACTCACCGATTCACTCAATTCACTTGCCTCGCTCGCTGACTGCCAGTCGCCTCCGTAGCACTCTTCTGTCGCTACTGCCACCGGTTACCGTTTCACAGCAATTTCACTTTTCATTGATTCCTCCACCCATGTTAAGAACTCGTCTGCCGGGTTTTTTCGTCCGATGCATCATGCTGCATTGAAAGAGCATACTGAAGGTCGCAGCACTTCCAATTCGATACTTCTCCAGCATTTATTAAATACTCACCTGGCTCAATTCATGAAACGTGTTAACCCCCTTTTTCTATTACAACTCTTAATAGAGCTGTGTGTGCGTGTGTTGCTGGCTACAGGGACTCCTCTACTTATAAACGATTTAGGTTCCAGGGGTCTGTTCGTAAGTCGATGTGTTCGTAAGTCCAACTCTGCTCCTGTCGAGTCCAAACGTGTTGTACCCTAAACACGGGAAATGACTTTAAAAGTTATTTCCCGTGTATAATCTTCTGTAGATGTAGATGCCGCTGCTTTTTAACGTTTTGCAGATGTAGATGCCATTTTTTTCATATTCTGCAGATGTAGATGCCACTGGTTCTTCACGTTCAGCAGATGTAGATGCCACTGGCTCTTCACGTTCTGCAGATGTAGATGCCACTGGTTCTTCACGTTCTGCAGATGTAGATGCCACTGGTTCTTCACGTTCTGCAGATGTAGATGCCTCTGGTTCTTCACGTTCTGCAGATGTAGATGCCACTGGTTCTTCACGTTTTGCAGATGTAGATGCCACTGGTTCTTCACGTTCTGCAGATGTAGATGCCACTGGTTCTTCACGTTCTGCAGATGTCACTGGTTCTTCACGTTCTGCAGATCTAGATGCCTCTGGAGCGATGGTGTAGCGGTTAGCGCGCTGCGCTATGAACCTGGCGACCCGAGTTCCAGTCCCGCTCACGGCCAACACCAGTGACGATAATTATTTGGACCGGGCCTGGGCCTCCCCTGGGTCGAATCAGCCTTAATTGAGGACCTGGTGCGGTGTTTAAACATCGCCACTGGGGAGACAGAGGCGGTCGGGCGTGGTGCTGGCCACCCACCCCCTCGTGTGCCGTGCCGGCCTTCATAGGTGCTCGCTAACAGCACCTGCCCCAACAGTCTGTTAAGGCTATACGGGGGATCTTTGTAATTTCTTTGTGTGATACAGGGTGCATGTGTATATATTCGTCGTATTTGTTAATACTTTTTTTTCATTGAGGCATACGCACACAAGTCCAATACAATACGCCCAGGATTTCTGGACGCGGTGGTGGGGGTGGGGCAGAAAATTCGCAAGGGGGGAAGTGGAGGGAACTTTCAAGCGCATGCAGAAAGTCTAGGAATGGATAGAACAACCTCGCTCGGTGCCCCCCAGCTATAGGGGCGCGACGGTGGGGGGGGGGTGGTGAGAATTTGTGCTTATGGGGGAAGGGGAAACAGGAACCAACATTCTAAGGGTATATCTGGTGAGTGTGGGGAGAGGGGGTGACAGAGGGACAAACTTCAAATAATGTAACATACATGCGGATTTATGAGATGGGGTTACACCCTCTCTCCTCCACGACGGGCTCATCCACCTCTCTACTGACGAAATAAATAATTGGAAAAGGGAGGGGGGAGAGACCCCCCCCCACCCCCTCTAGTATCATCGTTTTTAACAGAATCATCCCAATCGCACCGAAGAAGGCAAATTGAGACGCATTCACTTTATTGTTATAAAATGGCATTTTGAGTTTGCTGGGTGGCTCATAGGTAAGAGTGGCTTAACTGGCGGCCACCACGATCCTGGGTTGGAAGAATCCATGCAGCCGCAAATGGATAAACCGGGTTCTCAAGCGAAGTGAAGTTGATGGTCTCAGCCTGGTCACTAATGACTGCATTACCCCCCCCTCCCATCACACTAAAGTTGGTTCAATTCCAGCTGCCATAATTAAAGAAAGCAATATTGATTGTCATGCAACGAACGTTGCTCTGGCAAAGCGGGTGGACCAGATGTCAATTGAAGTTATCTCAGCGCTGTGGTATCCGCTTCCGTCAACCGGATTTTTTTTTATTCACAGGAAGGGCTGCACTGCTTTGCCTGAAATCTAAACGGATATTTTGTCTCATTACATTCCGACAGCACTATCGCAATAATACTCATTTAGGGGGAAAATAATTACAGGCGTACATATACCTTTTTTTTCCTCGACCATGTCATAAATTTGCCTAGAAAACTGCCCAATGTCGTTTTATTGTACATCCCGTCGTTGCAGAACATTCTGGGAACACAAAAGCGCACAAAGGGTCGTGCTGTGTACAAAATGTCAGCGATGTGACAGACGCCAAACATGTCAGTGCATTGTTGTGGCGCACCACACCTTGACTGCCAAGAGACCAGTTTGGAAGACGTTGTTTTGTTTGTTATTGCCATGCTTTTGGTCAAAAGAAAATGTGTTGTGCGGGTTCACGTTTAAATGTTAAACTTGCAAATAAGGGACAAATTGGCAAAGCAAAAGATGCAATGTCAAATAGGTTATTGAATCCATCCATGCAGACATTTGCGTGTTTTGCCCTCATACATGGTGGGAAGAATCCGGTATTGCTGGAGAAAATTCAAGTGTTTTGAGATAACACTTAAAAAGTGTTTGCAAAGCCTTGCTGAGTCTCAAGATTTTTTTCAGAAGGCTCTTGCATTGTGATGTCAGACAAAATTGCTTTATTGAGCATGTTTCATGTGTGAGGAAACTGCAGTCGCTGGAGATAACATTCAGTGATGTCCACAAATAGCTGATCATCAGGAACTCACGGTATTTAAAACAGTGCCATTTGTGGGCATCCCTTAGTGTTAACACGGTCGGACATTATTGTGCGTCGGCGTGTGTGTGGCATATGTCGACTCAGCCTCAAATGAGTGCCTGGTGTGGTGTGGAGACATCGCCACTGGGGAGACAAAGGCGGTCGGGCGTGGTGCTGGCCACCCACCCCCTCGTGTACCATTCCGGCCTTCATAGGTGTTCGCTAACAGCACTTGTCCCTACAGTTTGTTTAGGCTATACGAGGAATATTTGTCTTGTGTGGCATATGTAACAGTATTATACCTGTGTAGCACAATTTGAAGGCTTCCAAGTTTCATATCCGACTCATTACATTCTACGATCCTCGTTACATTCGGTTGAACTTATTTGATTCAATCTTCATCATCACAGCACAACCATTGGTCACGTAGAAAGAGTGGTTTCCGTGCCATACAAAAACATGTTTTTTTTGGACATCATTGGGATAGGCGTGCAACTTTTACAATGCGATATTACGTTAAATTAATATGCAAGGTGCAGTTTTATTGAACACAACTATTGAACCAATATTTATTTCAGAGACTGTTGTACGTGCGGCATAGTTGTCTGTTTAAAACAATCTTACCAGTGTACTGGAACAGTCGCATTTTTTCATGAAATAAAATAAGTTACAGTTGCTGCAAATATTGCTACCGTTTTAAAGAAGTCACGTGAGAAAATGTAAGTAACAGAGACTTGTAATTTTAAAGTGACCCCACTTCACAGTGAACATTGTCAGAGTGGGTGCTTATATGTAGCCTTGGGTCCTTGACATCAGTCTGAGGATACTCTCTCAGCTCTTGTCCTCAATGCTGGCCTCGGTCTCAGGAATTGGCTTTTGGGTGCACCGGCCTTGCGTGCACTGCAACCACCGTACGTGCTAATCGGAGGTGCGGGCAGTCGCCTCGATATGGAGGATCCACCTGAAAGTTTCACCGGCCTTAACCAATGCTTTAGGCTTCGACCTCAGCCCTGGCCTCGTGCGTTCTAGCCTTTAAAAAACTTCTGTATACAGTACTTACTTTGGCATAAAAAACTCACAAAACGGAAGATTTAAATTTAGCAAGAGCTGATAAGGAAAAAACCCTCAATGTAACAAATCTCTCTATATAAGGGAAATTTATGATTATGCGTGTCTGTTCAAA